CAAATAATATAAGTTAGAGTCGCCAAATTTCACATGTACCTTCTAGAATAGTATATACATATATATATACATATACATATCGCCTGTTGGAAGAAGAGGGTTCTGGGTATCCCCTAGTCGCGAGCTCCCGACTAGAACCTCTTACTTGTTTTTGTATTTTTTCACCCATTTCAGCTACATATTTTCGCCACAGATCTTTAAGAATCTAACCTGCAAATGATTTGATTATTATAAGGCAAAAAGGGAAGTTCTTTTGTTACTTTCATTCTCCAAAATAGGGAATAGTTATCGGCTATCGGAAACCAAATCGCGTTCAAAAATTTCAAGTCTCCGGCTCTTATAGGTTCGACTTGGCTGTATGCATACTTTTATGTTGTCGGAGATGCTTTCTTCTAGCTTTAACATAGATAAGCCAAAAATCGCTTAACCCCCTTTACCCATTTTTAGTCGGTTTAGGGCATAAATCGATATATATATCGATTTTCAAGAAATTCGAATGCCTTAAGGGAACGTACTGTGCAAATTTTGTTGACAGTTCTTATTTTTCCTAGAAACAGAAACAAAAACAGAATCAGACAAACATACACGGACATAGCTAGATAGAGAAAGAGAATTATATTTCTGCCCGATTGGGAGGATCCTATTTCACGGCTTCAGGTCGAACCTGTTTGGACGAAGAATTCAAAATGTATTTTTACTGTAAAAATCGGACTCAGCATCCGAACCTTAAGGCTAGAAATTGGTATCAATTTTTAAAGCTGGTATGCTAGATCTCAATTTCTCTGGGATATATAATAAATAAATATAATAATAATTATATATATATACATATATAATAATATTAATATTCTGCTATTATTGACCGCAATTATCTTCTTTAATCATTTAAGCGCATGACTACGTTTCTCAGCAAAGTATCGATACCATAATCGATACCACAAGTGTGCGGCCTTGAATTACAACCACAAGGGTTTTTTGAAGAGACCGTTTAGTACCAGGTAATAGTGGGAAATATGAGATGACATAGCTTTGTATGTGCGCGTACGTAAATTAAGTTTAAGTTTATATTTTGTATTTTAATTCGAATCTTGAGACACAAAGGCTTCTCACATGGTTGGGCGTGATTCGGTTATTATTGGGATATATTTGTCGAATGGGATCGAAGATTTGTTTTGTTTAATTTAAAGTTTAATTAGTGTGAACCAGTTCGAAGGTATACAAACAACTTTCATATAACCGTTTCCCGCTAACTTAACGCGGTTGCGGGTGTAATTTCCGAATTCGCTGAAACGTCGCTTGAAGCGGATCGAAAAAAGCATAAGATCACGCAAAAAAGTCATTTAATCGCGAAAGTGTTGACACAGCCCTAAAATAAATTTGAGCAAAGGTCTTTGAAATACAATTTAGGCCGATCGGATGGTAAATAAAAAAATTGCATATCAACTATTTTTACGATTTTTCCACACATGCGAGTGGAATTCTCAAAACGGTTTTATATATTTATGTTTTTTATATGTAACTGTGCTTGCAATTGACAATTAAGTTTTTCTTCAATTGTTGGTTGCCAATACGAGTGAAATAAACTTGGCTTATATAAGCGGTATACTAGATCCAACATGCCTACCAACTCTTGTCCGTTTTCTTTCCGAAATATATCACTTTTCAGGATATATATCTTTGCAGAACTTCACTATACCATGCATGGCATATTGTATTCGAAACCTGACAAATAGTACATCTTATGTTCACTTAAGACTAACCTCAGAAAGTACCGTAATTACTCTCTTGGGAGTACAGCGACCGTCGGGCAATTTCGATTCGCTCAAGAGAAGCATCCGCCTAATGGAATGGAAGTTACATTTTAAGATTAATAAATTGTCAAGAAAGGGAGATCCAAATTATAGATGAATATTACATTACATACATTATATACACAAATATACCCGAATATCAATTGCAAACTGGTTTAAGTTTAAGTTTAGATCTCGTAGTTTCCAAAACTAGCAGATTTATATTGACATGGACAAATCGATTCAACAATGGGGTACATTATTCTGCGTGTTTGCAGAGAGAATGATCCCTTTATTTGAGGAAATACCACCCAAAAAAAAAATTGCATTTGGGGAAATTCCCAAAAAAATTTCTTTATTTCGGCAAATTCCCAAATCAGTTTGTGGTAAATGCATATTCTGCCATAATTTCGTCCGGCTGAGAGAGGCATTTCATCACAATTCAAGATAGGTCAAACTGTCCGCCTAAAAGGGGTGTTAAGCGTACAAACATAAATACATATATTCCTCTAGAAACATATTATTTAGGTGATTAACTCAATTTTGTAGCCAAAATATTCGGTTAGGGTATTTAAGGTTGAGCCCGAACTGACAAGCCAAGCAACTTTGTACCCGACTAATGAAGACATTCCATACTGATGGCTTATGCTCGATGAAGTATTCAACTATAAAAAGAGAAAAAAAATAAGAAAAAGCCTAAACCGGTCCTTTCAAACTTTATTTTAGAGTCGTCCGCGTTTGTATGTATGTTTGTTTGTATGTATGTACGCAAAACTTAAGCTTTTGTGCCTGTGTGTGTACACAATCATCGTCTTGTGTGTGTGTGTATGTGCATGTGTGTGTGTGTGTGTATACACATATAATATCACCCAATAAACATAAACTTAAAACTGTGTGACACGTGCTGGATGATTGAAAGCTGAGCTAAGGCTTAAATTAAAGTTAATAAATAAAAAAATAATAATATAATAAAAATATATGTATACTATCAGTACTATATAGCATAAAAAAATATATGTTTATATACTGTACAACTACTATATAATCAATACTATAAGTATACTCATGAGCCGAACCTTAAAAAAACAAAATATATTATATATATATATATATTTTTAATGGTTTGGTTCCAAATTAAAGACCCAAAACTTTCAGTAAAACGGGCAATTATATACTAAACATGTTGTTTCATTAAACTTTTGCAAATATGTTGACCAAATAATATGTTCATTCAAATGACCCAATTAACAATTGCGATCTTCTTTCTTCTTTCTCAACATATTTATATTTTATAAAATTCATATACACTCTGAAAGTATTTTAACAAGTATTTTTATCAGGCAAGATAGGGTTAAGATTGCTCTTACGAAGAGGAGAGGACAGAAAGAGATGTATGTATGTGTGTGTGTGTTTGTGTGTGTACGCGGCGTGCTCTCTTTCGAGCTTGTATGTTTGTGGATGGGTTCAATACATCTGAAGTCGATCTAGTTATTTATGTGTGGCGGGCAAAAAGGTAAAACAGGTTGCATAGGAGGAGTTTCGACGAAAAGAAACAAAATGGCGAAAATGTTAAATCACTCACAAAATCCAGCATCTTGGCCTAACAAAACAGTTTGCAATTTAAATCCCATCTAATTGTCTTTATGTACACTGTTTATAAAAACCATTTTTTTCTTCTTCTTTTGTTTTTCATCCGATTGGCTTGAAATTCAGTTTTAAAGTTTTTGATTATCATAATCATATCATATAGAGACATTCCCTTAAACAATTCCAATTCCTGGAATTCAAACCCGAATTCTCGAATTCCAACAAGAAAGGTGTCAGGAAATGTCTTAGTTTATTAGAATTACAAAAGTTCACGTTTGTAAAAGTTTCATAAACATAATTATTAAATGATTGTTACTTATGGCACATATAAGAATAAATAATTATTTATTTTCCAAACTTTTAATTGCAATCGACCATTTATTGTCGACTTAAAAATTGATTTCAAAAACATATTTTACATATGTAGTTCTATTAATTCAATGTCCAGTTATGAAAAAGCCTTTGAAATTTGTCTGTCTTGAAAGCTTTCATTGTTAATTCTTTCGTTAACTAATTATAATTAAAATTACAAGTGCTTAATTTAATTAACTACTCAAATAAAACCAAAAAAAATAAACATCTTAAACTGTTCCTTGGAACAGTTTAACTGGGCGAATCCCTGAACCTTCTTCTGCCAATTGTATTGAGAGAATTTAAAACAGACGCGCATTTGAATGTACTTACATATGTATGTATGTGTGCGCATGTACACAGAAATTGTGGATCATGTTGAAATTTTCAGCAGACAACAGCCTTAAGTAAGAATGTAGTTGCAATTGATTAAGTTATTTGATTTATAGCTATGGGGTAGAGGTATAAAAGGAAAGATAAATAAGCTTTAATTACTATTCAAAAAGATACATGTCAAATTTGACTCTAGCTCCTAAAACCAAAGAGATTTACTCAACAGATGGGAAACGGTGCAAGTTCTCAATTATCAGAACGAAGTACTGCGCGGACAGTAGGATCCATTCTGGGATCGACCTGTTCATGCATACGGACAGACATCCATGTCTGGATCGCCTCTGCTAATGATCAGAAATATATGTAAGAAGAGTTTCTTCTACCTGTTACATACAATTGCTCTACACCATTATACTGGGTATAAATATTCAGTGTGCAGTGGTAGCAGCCTGTTAAATTACTGAAATCCACATTAATCGCATTTTACTGACTAAACTTCGCCAATTAACAGTTGTTTGTTAACTGCGATACGCCCTAGAGCCGCACTCGAGACTTATCGATAGTGCGATAACAAAGCGCGCAGTATTAAAACCCAATTTGGATAAGTTGGCAGGGCGCTGTTGACAGTGTTGACAGCGCGCGTCGGTTATGTGACCTGTCTGTTTAAATTTAAGCGGAAAATTCAAATTTTACATCTCGAGCAGTGGAAAAAGAGCAATACTCACATAACCATTTGAGTTTTAATTGCATTGATTTGGTCGCAAGGCAACTAATATAATTAAAAATTGTATTAATTAACAGTTTGAGCATAGTTGGCTTATAAACAATCTATACATCAGTTATGCATCAAATCTAGGATCAATAATGAGAATAACGCTTTTCATAAAAGTGTTCACAGTGAAAGAATAAAATACAAAAATAAATAAATAACAGTCGAAGTTTGAAAAATGCTTACTATTATTCAAATGATTTGACAAAGTTTATTATTATTTTCTGTCAGTTGAAAAAAACGTGCCTAGGTAGAAACAAAGCGGTAGCCGACACAACAGATAAATAATTACAAAAAAAAGGCCAACATTTACGGATTAGTTTTTCTTCTCCTCTTCCTTGTCAACCTCGGGATATTCCAGCTTCACACCAGGCTCGCAGGTGAAGATAGGACAGCAGTAGGGAAATGGCGCTGTCTTATTGGTCTTCTCGGTATCCAGCTTACACTTGTCGTTGGCCAACGACAACGGCAAAGGACCGCAGTCTTCAACAAGTTCCAACAGCCTGTATATATATAGATATTACGTTGTATATATATTGAATCATACAAAAATATATAATTTATGATCTTACTTTGTGGGATTCTCTTCGTTTTGAACGCAAGTTGAACGGCCACAGAATGGCGTTAATTCCCACGTCTTTCCGGGCTCCACTGTGGCACAGCGAGTCGATGCGAAACACATTCCAGGAAAATCTTTAAAAATACAAATTTAATATAGATTTAAAAAAATCAATAAAATTAATATAATTTCATTAGATCTTTATATAAATGGAAGTTTACATATAACAAGACTTAAGAAATTCAACATGTTTTTTCTCGATATAATCTATCTATATAATATTATAGGTCTTATACGAACTTCAAAATATTACAAATATACAAACTTTCCGTTTGCCAAACAACTTACAATGTCTGTGACTCGAAGTATAAAAAAGAACAAATAACGAATACTCATTCCATTCTCTTGGTTGGCATTGATTCAAAGAGATAAATCGCTTTGTAATTTGTATGTAGGTTGTAGCTCTATGGTATTATTGTACTCGAATGCTTTCGAAACAGCTCAAGCGAATACAAATTCGCTGTGAATGTAACTGTGACTGGGCCAGTGCCATAAACTGGCTTTCGGTTTCGCACAGCTTTTATATGCACATAAATTAATATATATATATAAATATATATATATATATATATTAGCTGCCACGACTGCATTATGTTTAGTTGCAATCAAAAATCAAACTGCCTTATACACTAATTCACAGCGACAGCTTTTGACTCCGAAAATGGAAAGGATTTCATATATCCGAAAACCCGTGACTCACCTCGGAGCACATCAGCCGGAATGAGTCGTTTGTAGATTTTGATTTCACCATCTTTCTGCGCATCATCTGCTGCTGTTGACTTTTCAGCGGCCATCGCAATGGAAGGGACCAGCAGAAAGGCCAGAGCCAAACCAGCTATAATTGAAGTAAACTTATTCATTTTTTCTTTTTTTTCGTTCTTTTTTTAACGACCGACAGATCGACGATTCCGACCGCCGACCAGAAACAAGTCCGCTTCAAGCGAAAGTGAACACCGAATTGAAACTACCGGACCAAGTATTACCACTATTTATAGGCGAAATCGTGCTTGTGGAGATTCAAGTTTTTTTTATTTTGATTTTTTTTTGTAGATATGACTCGCCGCTCGGTCTGTGGCTGACAAAACGGAGCTTTGTCGACTTGGATGTTGACGTCGATATTAGCGTATGTATGACAACAGTTACACATACACATACATTTACATGCATGTGTGTGCCTAGTTTATAAGACTATGTATGTATGTTTAACTAGATGCATGTATGTATATATGTATGTATGCGCTCGTTATATATTGCATTAAAAATTTACTGTTGCTTATGAAAGCTATTTCTCAAAGTTAACATATGTGCATGTGTATGTGTGTGCATGTGATACATAACATACACATGTATGCACTTACGCATGCAAAAAGAGCATTTGCTGAGCCGGTCCCGAAGGCATGTCACCAAATTTGGTACATCTACTCTTAAATACAACTGATCCAGTTGTAAACCAAATTACTTACATATATAATACAAAAATCGAAACGTAAATCCTGTCTATCCTCTTCTCGGTAAGCAATTTTCGCCTGCTACCCTGAACCCATTAAAAATTGGTAAAAAGGGTATAATGTATTTGTGCAAATGTATTTAACAGGCAGAAGGAAGCATCTCCGACCCCATAAAGTATATATATTCTTGATCAGCATCAACAGCCGAGTCGATCTAGCCATGTCCGTCTGTCCGTCTGTCCGCCCGTCCGTCCGTCTGTATGAACGTTAGGATCTCAGAACCTATAAGAGCTAGAGACCTGAAATTTTAGCTGTAGTTCCTATACAAGAAATGTAGTATACTGCATAATGTAAACGTTCAGTTTTATTCTATTCGAATTGTATATAGACAGCAACAAAATCGATATACTGTATATCACTTTTAATTTATTTAAGTAGGTTTAGTTAGTTTCCTAATTCAACGTATCCATATAATAAAGATTGAAACGAATTGCCTGATATCTTTTCGAAGAATCGTTTGGGAGAAAAGGACGCGAGAAGCTTGACCTGGGCAAAATCGGGTAAGGCTATTTAAATACTCTTGGGATGATATTAATACAAATAAGTGGTTAGCTAAAGCTGTCCATGAAAATACAATTAGATCTTTATTTAGATTTAACGTCGTTCGAAAATAATTTCCTATTTTTGTGCATTCCAAGATTACTAAAAAAAAATTAACCGCTGAAAAATTGTATATTAGTAATATATGTATTTGAATTAATTTACCGTTCACCAGTGAAATAAACGAAAGAACAATTTTATAAATTTTTTAAAATTCGAATTTCTAAATCTCTGTTGATTTTGAATAATTAATTCGTTAAACGCCCTTTAATTGCAGTTAATTGCCAAATGCACCAGCTAGTCCGGGCGATTGATAATGTATTTTTCAGCTACAATCATTCCGCCAATTTTAGTGCCAAAATAAGGCGGACAGCATAAACAATGGGCTGGTCAAACAGAAAAGAAAAATACTGTTTTTCACATTCAACAAAATCGTAAGTGTAGCCAAATTTTGTAAATGTACTGTGATTAGTATAAATATTCATATTATTGACAAAAAGGAAAGTGTGTATTACATTTGATCCTTAACTCAATTGATGTATTTGTTTTTTTAGTAACATTTACATTGTCCGACCGATAGTCGAACCAACAATATATTGGTGACTATCGGTGAAATGGAAACTATCGATAACAATTTAGCTGCAATCGTTACACGTCAATTTTTAGTCACAAAATTTGTGTGAAAATCTAGAATCTATTTATTTGAGCAGAACACAAAAGAGAAAATGGGATTGACAATATCTAGTTTATTAACGCGACTATTTGGCAAAAAACAAATGCGCATTCTAATGGGTAGGTCTCGAATGCAGGTTGATTATTTTCAGACAACGGCCCTTAGCGGCTAGCCACGCCAATACGTAATGACAATACACCTCCTCTTTAAATTGACGGTAAAGTTCCAGCCACGCAGCCATATATGCATCTACATAGAGCATACCAAGTTCTCCCATCAACTCTCATGTATTCATGGCATAGTATTTACACGTACAAATGTTCACGAGTTGAGTATGGAGTAAAATGTTTTTGTTTTGTCTCTCTCATGCACAGTTGGCCTGGACGCAGCCGGAAAGACAACCATACTGTACAAATTAAAGCTGGGCGAAATTGTAACGACCATTCCAACAATCGGATTTAACGTGGAGACCGTGGAGTACAAAAATATATGTTTTACCGTTTGGGATGTCGGCGGCCAGGACAAAATTCGACCGCTCTGGCGTCACTATTTCCAAAATACACAAGGCTTAATTTTTGTGGTCGACTCGAACGATCGCGATCGGATAACCGAGGCTGAAAAAGAACTCCAAAACATGGTACAAACAATATATATTATATATATATGTTTAAATGTTTAAATTTGTTTCATTTAATTACTAAAGCTTCAGGAAGATGAGCTAAGGGACGCGGTGCTTTTGGTGTTTGCCAACAAACAGGATCTACCGAATGCTATGAGTGCTGCCGAACTAACTGACAAGTTGCACCTGAATCAATTGAGAAACCGCCATGTAAGTTCTCTCACGGCTATTTGTTGGCTAATTTGATATATATTTTTGTTTTTTTAGTGGTTTATTCAGTCGACTTGCGCAACCCAGGGACACGGCTTATATGAGGGTCTAGATTGGCTGTCAGCTGAATTGGCTAAAAAATGATTAATTGTATCAAACTGTAATAATTTCCAATCGAGCGCTAAGATTTTGCTTTGTCTTCACCATGAAAACAATTACTATTGAATAGATTCTTAATAAATATGTATGTGTGTATAATAAGTCAAAATCTTTAAACATGTTTGCAATGAAAAACAAAAAAACAATTATGATTAAGAACAATGCGTGGATTTAAACACAGAGGGGTTTGCTTTATATATGTATATAACATTTTGTAATCAACAACTTTAAATTACGCATACAAACAAAAACTATACAAATACAAAACTCGCAGCCATCAAAAGATAAAAATGTATGTACAATGTGTGCGTGCTGTTTGTGTGTGCTAACAAATCAATTCAGCATAAAAATACATAAAGATAAATATCAATTATTTGCTAATACATTGTTAACTGGCTGCGTCGTATACGAGAGAACGGAGGTAACTTGGGCGACACATGAATATTGCCATCAAAAAAAGGTGTATAAACTTGTTTTTAAAAAAAAAATATATATATATATGTCTGCATGTACACGCGTTAGTAAGTACAGGAAAATTGAAAATTGGTTGCCTTTGAAGGTAACCGGAACATTGGAATGCGTTTGTATAGATAGTCCATATACAAATGTGCCTAAATATATATGTCGATCCACTTGAATTCTATATATATATATATATATGTGATCGATTTGTGACGCAAAGATAAATAACAACTGGATTATTGTAGCATTTCTCCATTAATACTTATCATATACGTAGTGTCAAGCATTTTGCAATGCAAGCGCAATAATACTAAGCTATTCCATGAAAACTTTGAAGTGTGCGTCAGCCTGTGCGACATGGTCAGTTACTCAACATGGCAATAAAGATTGTGTTGCTGCGCTCAGAGGTCAATGTCCAAGGCGTCCGGTGCCAAGAGCATGGGCTCGCTATGATTCGTCTCGTCTACCAACGAGGATAGCGAGTCATTTATCATGACCGAGGATAAGTCCACAGACTGGTGCTGATCATCATCGACTGCATGCGATTGCTGCGATGCAGAAAGCAGCGGATCGTGTCCAGAGCTATCGCAATCGTTGAGCATGCCAAACGCAGCACTTTGTTCGTTTCTTCTATGCTGATGATGCAGCTGCTGTCTTCTCGCGTGCTGCTGCTGGCAATTCTCAGATGAGGCGGCGGCGCAGCTGCAGTCGCCACCTGTTGCGGCGCAGTAAATGGCAGCAGCATCCACGGAGCCACTCTTGTGTCCGAAACATTGTCCATTGGCTATGGGCGAGTGCGGGGCGGACCGTAGCAAATGGCTGCTGTGCGAGGAGAGCATCGGGTCACCGCCCTGCACCGGATGCTTGCAGTCCTCCATCAGCTCGTCAATTTGATTTAGGCCCATGCCAGGATCACTGTTTATCACCGGAAGAAGCTGTGCCACAAATGGATTCAATTAGTTTGGGGTCACAGCTTGGAGCTTGATACTTGCCTTATTCTCGACGACGACATCCTCCATGAGCGAGGCACTGTGTCGACTTTGTGCCACAGATGCCGAAAGTGTTGGGCTCGGGCATGACTTTAGATACGAATTGGCCGGCGTCGGCGCAGATACAGATGTTAGATTGTAGTCGGCGAGTTGAATGCCATGCGATTTGGCCTGCATTTCCAATTCCTGCAATTGAAATGGGTCTAAATTTAATCCGAAATTTAGACGCAGCACAATGCAAATGTGATTAATCAACTTCCTACCCGTATCCGAGATATCAGCTTTCTGTTTTGCAGCTCCATTTGGCGCTGACGACTTTCGTTTTGCCTCAAACGAGACACCTCGTGCTTCAAACATTTGATATAATCAACCGAAGATTTCAGAATTGTGCCCTTATTGGGGCGTATGTCGCGCACAACCTCGTAGAAGGCCTCGCTGCCTTTGGGCAGCAAAGTGCCCAGCTCCTTGATGCGATCATTTATATTGAAGCGTCGCCGTCGCTCAACTGGAAATATTTCTAAATAGTATATATATGTATATAGTATAATAATTGTGCTCACTCATATTGTGATTGTCCTTCTTCTGACGATCCTTGGCCAATGCATTTATTTCGGCGTCAGTCAAATTTTGTGGCTCCTGCTTAATAGATAGCTCCGAGCCGAAGGTTCTATCGAAATTAAATGAATCGTTCTGAAGTATGTCATCAAAGAGATCGTCTGCCTGCAAAAGCCAAGGAATAACAATTCAACTTTATATCCTTTTTTATCCTGCCTCACAAATGCTTCGTTTTAGATGTTTTCAACGTGTATTTAAGAACTTTGTGAACTACGATATCGATTCTATATCGATTTTGATCGATTGCTAGGCAACGGGGCAAGTTATCGACTATCGGAAAGAAACTGGAAGTACCTATTTTGAAGATCTCCAGATCTTGTGCCGCCTATTTCTCAATCCAAGACAATGGGGAATGAAAATGTGTATAACTTGGGATAACTTATATTCAGATCTTTATGAATATAGGGTTTGATACGAATTTGAGGGAATACATTTAAGACATAAAGTAAAGATGATGAACCATGATACCTTCTATATATATATATATATAGATATATGTCCCTATCCCTTTCACAATATCCTATATCCCTTTGCGATTTTTAGAACAAGGCTGACCAAGGTTTGTTAATGATGGGAGCAAATCTTTTCGTACAGGTAAGTACAAATTGGCTAATGACTAATGAGTAAGGACTAATGCTTAATGAATATCTTTCCATCAATAGAAAAGGCATCACATAATCATAAAATCATAAAACTTCTGCTGCTTCCCAGCACCTAAAGCTAGGGCCCTTTGAAGGTTTGACTCCAAATTTGATTTGTTAGTTATTTAATTTTGTGTTTGTGTTTTTTTTTTGATGTACACACAGAATATAAGCCACACGATGATATTGTGTTGTTCAAGGTAGAATTTAATATGATTTTCGTTTAGCACAAATTCAGGTAATTGTGATTATTAAGCAGTCGTGCTCTACTGATTATGAACCCCGCCGGAATCGACCGAAAAAAGTTGATGATATTGATTGCGTAAGTAATTGACACAACATGTAGATGAGGCCTCTGGAAATACATACATATATGTATCTTGCTTTTTGGGCTGTGAATCAATTTCTTTGAACATAAATAAGTACATAAGTTGAGCACATATTTTGAGCTCGAATTGCAAAGAGAAGAGTTGTCAAGGCATGAGAGTATTCGGTTGTCCGACCTGCCGTGCATATTTAATGCAGCCAAATCAACATTTTGCATTACTAACTAGCAAGTGTTTTTTTTCTCGAGTCGACTCTGACTTGCCGTATGTGCCTGACTAGGCGATACCCTAAGTGTTACCCTTTACATTTTCATCTCATCATCTTTGAGTTATGCTCAAAAATATTAAAAATCGATTTTGATCGATTGCAGGTCCAATGTCTAAATAACTAATGACTAATGAACAATGGCTAATGACTAATGAACAATGGATAATGACTAATGAACAATGGCTAATGCCTAATGAATAGGGACTAATGCCTAATGGCTAATGACTAATGAACAATGGCTAATGACTAATGAATAAGTACTAATGCTTAATGACTAATGCCTAATGACAAATTACATTGAAAATGTTGTGATAGGATATTTGATTAGTTTTGGTTTGTTTGATAAAGGATCCTATGAACATGTACCATATATCAACTTTCAAATGTTTAACTAATATAATACAGAAAAGCGGTTAATGAATAATAAAGGTTAATTCAAATGTCTTCACTTACATCGCTGTCAAATGAGGGTAGCTGAAAGCAAAGAGAAAACAGGTTATGTAGGTTAATATAATTGTTTTTTGTTATTCGGGTTCTCTAGATTGATATTGAATAGTAAACATTTGATGGTTTCAACTTCAACTTGTAATCGATCTGACCAAGCGAACTAGTCTCTTTTTTTATACCCTCACTTCTTGACTATTTTGCATAAGAGGGGTATATATACTAGGGTCGGTTCAGAGTATATTTCGATTTCGATTTCGTCTGTAAAACAATTCGAATTAGAACCTTGAATATTTCAAAATATTTTCTTCCATATCGTAGGCTTTATTTCATAGATCCTGCCATTTTCTAAATAATAATACATTACTATACAAAATATACTTTCTTTTAAAGATCTAAAAGATCTAAAGGTCTAAAAATGACAACCAGAAAAAGCATTTGTTGAAGAAATTTCCATGCTCGGAGCTGGGTAAAAGGTGTCTCCTCGTCGGTCACTCCCGACTCAGGCACTCTTACACACACACTCGCACACACACACACACACACACACACACACACACACACACACACACACACACACACACACACACACACACGCACACACACACACACACACAAAGGTTATTGGGACATACGTGACAATTAGTGAGAGCAATGAAGAGGGGCAAGAAGTATTATTGAATGTGCGTCGCGACGGGTCGGATCGGATCGGTTGCCAGCTCAATTTGATATGTACATGCGTTACGAAACATTACGAATATGGGCTTAAAAATCAATTAGGGTATCGTTCGAAAACTTCCTCATTTAAGTCAACATTAACCAGTCAATAAAGTTGACATTATCATGAAAAGAATTTAACGGCAGCAATATGTACAATGTGCGTACTTAAAGAATGATTGAGCTTACGGAATGAATTCCCCTTATATATATGGTTTATTCTTGTACTTCGTTCAATTCTTTGCTTTGTTATTGTATTTTCTTATTATTTGAAATGTTTTTTTTTTCTCCTTTTTTATATGCCACATTCGTGGGATTACTGAAACTAATTTCGATTTCATCCATCAGCTGTTCCTTACGAAGCGTGCAGTGTGCCCAGAAAAAGGAGGGAAATTAAGGCCGCACTAAAAGACTAAAAAGGTTTTTCCTTTTTAATATGCCACATTCGAGGGATTACTGAAACTTATTTCGACATCATCCATCAGCTGTTAAGGCCGAACTAAAAAATTTAACGAAAACAGCTCCGAGGCTGACTTTGATTCGTTCGAATTTCGTTTTGCTTGCTTGTGTGACCTTAATTGCAATATGGAGAACGTTTTATGTTTTCGATATTTCACGTATTAAATATATTGAAATGGGGTTAAAGAAGAAAGAGACAGGTGGATGGAAAGCAACTGAAAATGTCCAGCATAGGAAGTACATATTCTCCACACAATCAATTGAGGCTTAGAAAAATACATTTTAATCCTTCTGTCAGCATTTTGCGTTTTCGCCGCGCCTTAGTTAAGTTCAAAACCAATCTAAAACCATTTCAAAAATCCCACTATGTTAATTACAAGCGCTCGATTTATTTATAGATCAAAATGAAATTTATCTTCATACTTGATAATTAATAATCTTTTCATATAACTTTATAGTTCTAAGCATTGAAATGATTCTAATTTAATTCTATTAGTTATTCTATTCTCGACTCGTTTTATGTAAAACAGATAACAAGAAAAATGTTTAAGGTTTTATCTGAGATTAATTGCCTCCTTCTATCTGTTACATACATATGTATGTATGTATGTACATAAATACATACATACACAATTACAACATAACCTATTTTGCCCATTTTCTATGAGAAGGGGCTGTAATGAATATTTTAATTAACTCACATACCAAATCAGGAGACGGTTACACTATAAGCCATATTGTCTTTGATTACGATTTTTATTATATTTTGAGCCCATGTACGCACATATACATACAAGCACTCACAGATTAGTTAGTTTGTAATGACATAAATTCTGGCTCTCACACAAATATATGTATATATGTATGCACATGTGTACATACATGCGTACACATACATACGCTAGTGTGGAGCGTATAGTTTTGTCATACATGACGGCCTTAGCGATAATAAAAAAGAGAACCTAAATTGCGCACGTTATCTAAGCAACAGAAATCTTATTGTCATTACGTCTACACCCAGGCAAACAAAATAAATAACTTGTCAGTACATACATACATATGTATGAATGTTTGCACAAGTGTGTGTGTGAGAACGTACAAACATAAGACAGAAGCGAATTTTACAGTTTTGAACCGAACATTCAAAGGAGAGAGATGGAGAAATAACTAAAGAATATTTTCCATTCCTACCACATACACATGCATACAAGCACATATGCATATATGTGTGTTAAGGAGCCCGCATTGAGCTTATAATTTGTTTCATTTTTAATACATTCCTACATAAATATGAATTTTTGCACAAGTGTGTGTGCGTTTGAACGAATTTAAAAACAATATTCATTCCTAGACACATACATACATATTAACATTCAAACACATATATATGTATATGTGTGTTAAGGAGCCCGCATTGAGCTTAAAGTTTGTCTCGTTTTCAATACATTTCTACACACAAATGCATTAATTTGTTATGCATACACATACACATATTTATTTGTATATTTATATGCATATGTAAGCAGTTGAGTTAACAGCTTGCCGGTTGAATTGAAACCGATTCGAAAAGTCAACTAACCAAATTGTGAAATGCCCTTCATATGATTTCCCCTTGAACCGCCAACATCAGATTATACCGTATGTATGTACTAATATCGTTTACGAGCTGAGAAATGTCCCTTTACGCATTTAAACACGAACAGGTTTGGATCCCGAATTCGAATTTATAAGAAAAACAGTTGCTCAAAACAAAAAGCAAAGCAAAAAACCCTGGACCCAAACCATTAGAATAGCGGTACCGTATTTGGTAAATGCCAATTTTGGATAGAGATCACATTTAGGCCGCAGCTTCTAATGAAAAAATATACGGTAAGCTCCGAATTATTGGGGTTTGGAGCCCTGATAAAATGTCATTTAGGTATTTACCAATATTTATATAAATCGTGCATTGGATAAGAACTTCAAATGAAAAATCGTCATCAAAGTAATACCAACATATAAATTGATGTTATGTAGAAATGTCCTGGTAATTGTAATTGGCGTAGTACTGTACCCACATATAGATATGTATGTAAATAATGTATTGAATAGATATGAAACAATATGTGTATTATCAACGACAATTGCACAAATATTTGTTAATTATAATTAATTGTAAATATCGCCAGCAGCAGCGAGTGCCGTCCGGTCTGTCGCATATTCGCTTACACTCGTTCATTCAGTTACCAGCCATATAAAAAAAAACATTCACATAAAAAAGTCAAATTAAAACAAGTTTCACGATCGGTTGCCAAGTTACCCACAAGTGTGCATATATGTATGTATGCATATGTATGTATACGTGTGCATGTACAATTGTATTCAAATATAATTAGTATGCCCAAAGTAAATTTTTTCGTATGTAATTACATACGTACATATCGACATGTGTCTGGATATAAATACATACATACATTCGACGAATACCCTGCCCAATCACAAAGTTACACACACACACACACACACACACACACACACACACACACACACACACACACACACACACACACACACACACACACACACACACACACAAAGTTAATAGAACATTTGTTGGCTCGAATTTTAAAGCTCGAATTAATATTAGTGTCAAGCGAGGGCAAAGACGTCTGTCAGTGAGCAAGTGTGCGTTGTGCTCTCCCCCCACCCCCCAAAATAATGAAGTGCTCTCTCCTTGTCTCTCTCTTAAGTGCTTGCACTGCAATTTAGGTTTTTGCTACTCAGTTTCTGCAGAGAGTGAGTAGACAGGAACATACCTTGGTATGCCTGCGTGATATAACGCTGAGTACCGGCATATTTATACGTCGGCTCGATCGCTCAATTCCTTTTTGGCTCCCTTTTGGTTTGCTCGGTGTCCTGGGCGTAGGAGAATCCGGCCTAGGACCAATCCTACTATAAGCAACTGGTGTCGACAGGCGACAACGCTTGCTGCGCCTCTCCGACAGACTGGCGGCCGACAACCAAGGTAGCACGTGCATTAGACCTCGCTCTTTTTTTTTAGATTGTTATTACGTGCGTTTCTCGGTGTGAAGTCGTCACGGTCATTAAATTTCGGTGCTTTTATAAATGTGTTAAGATCTGTTATCAATCAGGATTTGCTTGTGAGTGTGAATGCTTTCGATCTGTTTATTTATGTCTTAGGTCTTAACACATCTCACTCATCCTTAAATATCCTTAAATTGTAGCCGTACAAACGAACCCACATCATTATTATATATGTATGTTTTTTACACTGCCGCCGGTTTGGATTTGGTTATGTAGATTAAATAGATAGGGGCATGCTTTGTTTAGCGCCTCCTTTTTGTTTATCTAGACCTATGTATACAACAATTGATCGTACATTTGTGAGACAAACAACCACTAATAATCCATTCAATAACGTACTATTGGAAAGAAATTGCGCACACAAATTTTTCATAAATACAAGCCATGACAACCTGCTTGATTGACTGTTTTAAGTCGTCAGGCCAATGGAAAAATACCGTTCATTATTTACATTCACCGCAGCTTACGATCAATCGCCGCATTTGAAAAGCACAAATAAATCCCAAAAGAAAAAATACCAGACGCAAGCAGTCTGACAAAAGCTGTTTTGCGTTGGCGATAAAAGCAATCGCACTCAATCAGTGCTGCCCATTTAGCTACAGACTCAAAGGCAAAAGCTACACAATTTAAGGAAATTATATTATCTAGAAATCTGGGTATTTTTAAAAATAATTGACTAATTTCGGTATTAGGTAAGTATTTTGAAGAAATGCAAACCTTTTAATGAGAAAATAATTACACAGCGAAATTTTTGCCGTGGTTTTAAAGTTAAAATTAAATAGACTTATTCACGAAGCTCAATATAAAAAAACTTAATAAACGTGTGTGTCAGAGATTTGGAAAATTCCACCCACATCAGTGGTAAATTGGCGGAAAACGGTTGCTAGAAACTTTTTTCTTTACCATTCAATTTGATTCAAAATCGTTTTCAGATGTCTTTGTGAAAATTCATTTGAGACGTGTTTCACTCATTTCGTAAAATCCGCGACTCTTGTGACTTTAAGTTTCGTCCGGTTATCAATTTATCAAATCACCGTAAAAAAAACGTAATGCATACGTGTTTAAGCGATTCTGTTTTATTAAATGAAATTTCACCCGCAACTGTGGAAAATTGGCGAAAAAAATGCAATTATTTTGGATCGACGTCGAACTCAACTTCAAAGATTTATCGCTCAAAATGAATCGGATTTCATTATGTTTAATGAATATAATAATGAAAGGCCTATCTTTCTTCGATCTTTCTTAAAACATGCTTTCAAATGGACCCAAGGTTCAAGAAAGTACGAGGCTTATAAATTGGATTTAACGAACCAGATAAGGTTGATGTCAATTTACAATGGAGATAAAATGTAGCCTGCAAGCTTAACATGCAAATATCTACGGCCTGTTGTATAGAACGGGCAATTATGAATTATACATTTCGTACAGATTTCAAATATGGAAAATTGGGCTGACGAAAGTATTAAATAAGACTTACCTCGGACGCACTTGTTGCCACAGAGCTTAGACTTGGCGACATTGGAGCAGACGTTGATTGCAGAGGACTCGCCGTACTGGCCCCAGAGAAGTTGGAGCTGCGCATGGTATTATTTACCATTCCCGAATTGCGACCCGTTATAGATGAGTTTGAATTCAAAGCCGCTTTGCTGTACAAGCCCTTAGGCAGATTTGCGCTGCCATCGCCTGCATTTTGGACATCCATGCCGTTGCCAAAAAAACTTGAATTGCAATTTCCGCTGCCGGCTCCGAATGGTGACATAAGCGCTGAATCCTCGGAATGCATTGATTTCTTACCGACACTCGGAGCATCTCCTCCGAAGCTGTTCGGTCGCTCATTATGCAAATTTCTGTTCACTTCGCTGCCGCATTGCAGATTCCCAGTCGAAGCCGAGTTGTTGCCAGCTTTACTCTGTAAATATGTGTGTGTGAAATATACCGTGAAAACTCTTTCTTATAGTTCACATCATTTAATTCTCACCTCGAAATTTTGGCAGCCCCAGACGGATGGCTTGAGCGATTCACTGAGATACTGTCTAACTTGGTTCTTTTGCTTCTGAATAACGTGATACCTCGTTGGATTTTCAAGAACTGTGCTCACCTAAAAGTGTGAATAAAAGTCAAATCAATTGATTGTTGAATAAATGTCAATGTTTGAGGCTTACCTGGAGCACCTGAGGCGGCACATCCACACCTATGCTCTGTAGAGGTACTTTAAGTGCCACAGGACTGGAGGCGGGCAGCCGTTCCTTTTGGCACAGCTGCGATGACTGATTCAAGCTGGATGAACTGCCGCTGCCGCAGGCGCTGCTGCTCCGATTGCTATCCGTAACCTCGAAATCAAAGCAGCTCGGCGGCATCCCAAACACATTGAGCATCGTTTGATCCTGCGCCTGCAGCATCTGCTGCTGCTGCTGTTGCTGCATCATCAGCTGCTGCTGTTCCTGCTGCTGCTGCTCACGCTGCAGTTGAAGTTTCAGCTGAGTCCGAGACGTGGGCATCGCAGTTTTGAATGTGGGTCTATATGGAACCGAAGAAGAAACAGTAGTAGTAGTATGTAGTATGTAGTATGTAGTATGAAGTATGTAGTATGTAGTATGTAGTATGTAGTATGTAGTATGTAGTATGTAGTATGTAGTATGTAGCATGTAGCATGTAGTATGTAGTATGTAGTATGTAGTATGTAGTATGTAGTATGTAGTATGTAGTATGTAGTATGTAGTATGTAGTATGTAGTATTTAGTATTTAGTATTTAGTATGTAGTATTTAGTATTTAGTATTTAGTATGTAGTATGTAGTATGTAGTATGTAGTATGTAGTATGTAGTATGTAGTATGTAGTATGTAGTATGTAGTATGTAGTATGTAGTATGTAGTATTTAGTATTTAGTATTTAGTATGTAGTATGTAGTATGTAGTATGTAGTATGTAGTATGTAGTATGTAGTATGTAGTATGTAGTATGTAGTATGTAGTATGTAGTATGTAGTATGTAGTATGTAGTATGTAGTATGTAGTATGTAGTATGTAGTATGTAGTATGTAGTATGTAGTATGTAGTATGTAGTATGTAGTATGTAGTATGTAGTATGTAGTATGTAGTATGTAGTATGTAGTATGTAGTATGTAGTATGTAGTATGTAGTATGTAGTATGTAGTATGTAGTATGTAGTATGTAGTATGTAGTATGTAGTATGTAGTATGTAGTATGTAGTATGTAGTATGTAGTATGTAGTATGTAGTATGTAGTATGTAGTATGTAGTATGTAGTATGTAGTATGTAGTATGTAGTATGTAGTATGTAGTATGTAGTATGTAGTATGTAGTATGTAGTATGTAGTATGTAGTATGTAGTATGTAGTATGTAGTATGTAGTATGTAGTATGTAGTATGTAGTATGTAGTATGTAGTATGTAGTATGTAGTATGTAGTATTTAGTATTTAGTATTTAGTATGTAGTATTTAGTATTTAGTATTTAGTATTTAGTATGTAGTATGTAGTATGTAGTATGTAGTATGTAGTATGTAGTATGTAGTATGTAGTATGTAGTATGTAGTATTTAGTATTTAGTATTTAGTATTTAGTATGTAGTATGTAGTATGTAGTATGTAGTATGTAGTATGTAGTATGTAGTATGTAGTATGTAGTATGTAGTATGTAGTATGTAGTATGTAGTATGTAGTATGTAGTATGTAGTATGTAGTATGTAGTATGTAGTATGTAGTATGTAGTATGTAGTATGTAGTATGTAGTATGTAGTATGTAGTATGTAGTATGTAGTATGTAGTATGTAGTATGTAGTATGTAGTATGTAGTATGTAGTATGTAGTATGTAGTATGTAGTATGTAGTATGTAGTATGTAGGATGTAGTATGTAGTATGTAGTATGTAGTATGTAGTATGTAGTATGTAGTATGTAGTATGTAGTATGTAGTATGTAGTATGTAGTATGTAGTATGTAGTATGTAGTATGTAGTATGTAGTATGTAGTATGTAGTATGTAGTATGTAGTATGTAGTATGTAGTATGTAGTATGTAGTATGTAGTATGTAGTATGTAGTATGTAGTATGTAGTATGTAGTATGTAGTATGTAGTATGTAGTATGTAGTATGTAGTATGTAGTATGTAGTATGTAGTATGTAGTATGTAGTATGTAGTATGTAGTATGTAGTATGTAGTATGTAGTATGTAGTATGTAGTATGTAGTATGTAGTATGTAGTATGTAGTATGTAGTATGTAGTATGTAGTATGTAGTATGTAGTATGTAGTATGTAGTATGTAGTATGTAGTATGTAGTATGTAGTATGTAGTATGTAGTATGTAGTATGTAGTATGTAGTATGTAGTATGTAGTATGTAGTATGTAGTATGTAGTATGTAGTATGTAGTATGTAGTATGTAGTATGTAGTATGTAGTATGTAGTATGTAGTATGTAGTATGTAGTATGTAGTTTGTAGTATGTAGTATGTAGTATGTAGTATGTAGTATGTAGTATGTAGTATGTAGTATGTAGTATGTAGTATGTAGTATGTAGTATGTAGTATGTAGTATGTAGTATGTAGTATGTAGTATGTAGTATGTAGTATGTAGTATGTAGTATGTAGTATGTAGTATGTAGTATGTAGTATGTAGTATGTAGTATGTAGTATGTAGTATGTAGTATGTAGTATGTAGTATGTAGTATGTAGCATGTAGTATATAGTATGTAGTATGTAGTATGCAGTATGCAGTATGCAGTATGTAGTATGTAGTATGTAGTATGCAGTATGCAGTATGCAGTATGCAGTATGCAGTATGCAGTATGTAGTATGTATCAATCAGAGCAAACGCCTGTCATTCAAATTGGGTCAAATAAAAACTTGTCTTAAGATAGGGAGGAAGGATTACCTACCCACCCGTCACTGGAGGCAGACCCATAACGCGGCTCTCTCTCGTTTCGCTAACAGTTATATCACCCAAATCTACAATGCTCGGATCCATTTCGAGTATCATTTCCAAATCTTTATCTATGCCAACAGTAACTCGAATGTTAGTGGCACTCATTAGTTTATGTTCAGAGCCAGACGGCCTTTTGTCGTTGCTCGCTGCTGCAGCATCAAGCTCATCAAGTTCCATCAAAGCGGATGGTTCCACTCCGACTTCAATGTCTGCTGCCAATTGGTTATATTGTTGGCCTCGTGGTGCCACCTGTGCCTGTGCCACCTGCTGTTGTTGCTCTGGGTAGCCATTTGGGTCCATTTGGATCGGAGACATTTGCAATGTTTGGACACGCCTTAAGAACTCTTGGAACTCCTGTAGTCGCTCCTCCGATAGTGGAGAAATCGGCGCTGTTTGCTTCATACCATTAACGCTCCGTCTTCCTGTACTCTCCACCAGCAATTGACTCTCCAGGTCAGAATTGTTAGGCGATTGACCAACACTGAATCCATCTTGCTTATTTTTAACTGGAATCTTATTTGCCGTCTTTTTACCCCAATAGGAAAACATGTTCTTGTACTTATTTCGCGGATTTAATTGTTCCGTTGCTTTAATTCAATAAATATTCAATCCAACATCAAAAGGCCTTGATCTTGTGTATGCAAGGCGAAATATGAATGCGGAAAAACTGATCTTTCGTTGAGAGAACTGTTGAATGCGAGCCTGTATGTAATGTGCATATAGATATATTTGTGTATATGCCTGCATAGATACAGATACACCTATGGGTATATATTGTATCTACACACATACCTTTATAATAATGGGTGACTATTTTAATCGTTGTTCAAATGGATTCAAATCGATCCTTTTCCTATTTTCCAAAATCATTTTTCAAACAAAGATGAGGTCCAAAGTGGAAAGGATTTTATGTATTCAAAATTATCACTAAAATAAGTCGAAGTATAGCACTTGCCAAAATTAATTTGCTTCTTATCGACCCTGTATTTTACTATATTTATGTAAAAATATATAAACATTATGTATTTTTATGCCCACAGTATATGCGCCTGTATTTGTGATCTACCATATTGGCCGTAGTACAGACTTGCGCCTTATGCAAAATTCTCTCATTGAACGTTTCTCTTAACATTTCTCTTAAACCATATTAACATATAGTGGACGATTTTAACAATTCCAAGCGAGCAGATATTTGAATATAAGAGACCAGTATTAAGCATATATAAGTCAGAAGAGTGTGAAGGGCATTTTAAGCTTATACTCCTTCACGTTCGCGTCAGGAAGTTAAGAAAAACTAGTTTACGACCAATTTGAGACTGGCAAGCCACGAAAATCTACATCTTCAATTCTAACATTATCGCAATACCCTTAAGTCAGTATATATTAGTGTGCTTTGCACTGAAGATAAATTAAATGTGATTTAGTCGAGACTGTCCATTTGCGGGTCGAACTAAGACCCCGACCAAGAGCTCAATTTCAACCCAAAAGGAAACTTTGATGCAAATTTCGTCTTCGTGGCTTTTACGCTCAGTCAACCATTCGGGACAAACTACCTTATTTATATAGTACATATGTCTATCTATGTATATATATTATATAGTATATATTTCGAGAGAAGCTGCTGTCGAAAAGCTGTATAGCCAGTGTTGGAGAATTCTCGGGATTTTCTAATTGACCGATTTTTTGGACATTTACCTTAACTGTTCTATAAAAAGTAACTTAGGGTATCTCAAAAAAATAATTAACATATACACTTATACAAGTTTACATATATATATATACATACATATATATGTTTATTCATTTGGTACATTAAACGAATTTCGAGTAAAGCTCTATTATCAATGGCCCATCGGTCCTTCTAAATTGGCAACGCTAAATTTCACACATTCGTCATAAATAATAAATCTTTGTATCTACATATGTACGTACATATTTATGTAGATCATTTTTATATGTACATATGAACACACATAATATATGTATGCACATACATGTATATAGGTAGGTATTGATTTCGATATTAGAGCCATTTATATGATAGGACTTTTTTAAAGAAAAATAAAAGACGTTAACCTCTCATTACATACACACAGATACATATACATATACATATGAATGTGAATATATATGTATGAACGCAAGCATACAAATATAAATCCCGATAAGATAATAAAAGAGTGCTAATCATGCGGAAAATATAACCGTCGTTGAATACATACATACATACGCTTGCATGTGCAGGTATGTACATAGATACGTCCATACATATGTATGTATTTTTGAATGCCTAAGCGTGCCTACATATGAATGTTCATACTTATAAATGTGGACATTGACATACATACATGCATACATGCATGTACATGTACAACTCCATGTAGGCGCATGTACTAGTACTTACATTTCATCGGTTCGTAGAGAGCGCGTAGACTTCAACTCGTAGAACTCGACATTCTCCGAATTGCCCCCTAACGTCACATTGGGCAGAAAATCCATATTTGAGTCGCTATCGTTGAGCAAATTTAGGTTTAAATCAAACTCCAAGTCAAAGCCCAGGTCAATGCCGGATTCCGCCATGTCTGGGACGGAACGATAACAGTCAATGGGTTTGCTTGTATCAAAACTAAACACACACTCAAAACTGTTACTCGTTTAATTAAAATCAGTTATCAAAAGTGATTGAATCTAATTGGATACGTTTCCACATTTTTGCACAAGTTTACACGCGTCTTAGAGACTTCAGGCAGATCCACGAGAGTAACCAGTAATCGATCGACATATAACTCTCAATTTATTGCTGGTACGTACAGAGAGAGCGTGTTGAATTTTGTTTAATTGAGAGCAGCACTATAAATACATATGTATATCAGTGTTGATTTTTGGTTGGTCGATAACGATTTAAAAATTAAAAAAACTGCTATTTAGATAAATATGCTGAGTGTTTTCTTATGTTTTAGGAAAAATCCGACTCCACATTTATTCTACTTTTAAAAATAATCGACTAACGGAAAACGAAAGAAATTCTAAACAAAGCGCAACAGTTATCGAAATGCCGTGTCGAAATCGTATGCATACTGTCCGATAGCATTTATATCAAAAAGCACCAGTGGTTAATATCGTTGGCTCTGCCGATAAACATCTTTAAGATAGAACAAATTAAATAATAGAAAAAAATTGTCATTCCAAGTGCAATTCGTAATAATATTAATGTCTTTGTGAGTTGGATATTTCGGTTGCGCATATACAATCACATCGATAAGGAGTTGCGGTTGCAGCTTGCTTCGTTTTGTACGTCTTGCATACAGACAAACGTGTACATACTAGCATACATACATACATACATACATATTTGTATTTGCGTTTGTGTAACTTTTGTTTGTCGCTGAATACATACATACATAAATATTTCTCTTGTCTAAAATTTGTCACTGAAATTCCAATAAGTATACTTAATATAAATAGATTTGCATGTGCAGCAACGGTTTTAAATTATAATAAATTTGCTAGTGGCTTGGCTTCTTTGCGACTTACATACATATGCGAGTTTTTAATTTGTGTATGTACCATACAATAAATACCTACATATGTATATATTTATTTGCGCATACATATCTATCACTTGATTTTTAGTATTTGCTCAGTATTTAGTATTTACATATATGAAATAATGAATGAATTCTTTTAAACCCAGCCCAAGTGACCAGTCGTCGGCAAAATGGACAAAAAGATCTCCTCTACATCGCAGCCACGCATTTTGAAGAAGAAGCATTTCAGAGTAAAGCATCAAAAAGTAAAGCTATTCCGAGCTAATGAGCCAATTCTTAGCGTATTTATGTGGGGCATTAACCACACCGTAAGTCTGTCACACAAAATTATGCACACTTATTAATAACGCCACCCAATTTCTAGATAAACGAATTAAGTCATGTCAACATACCTGTAATGTTGCTGCCAGATGATTTTCGGGCATACTCCAAAATTAAAGTCGATAACCATTTGTTTAACAAGTATGACGAATTGGGTTAAATTTTGTATAGTATATACATGGCATTTTCTATTATTTAGAGAGAATATGCCGTCGCATTTCAAGGTAAAAGAATACTGTCCCCTGGTGTTTCGTAATTTACGTGAGCGATTTGGCGTCGATGATGTTGACTACCGCGAATCCTTGACCAGGTCGCAGCCGCTGGGCATCGACTCATCGGGCAAGTCGGGTGCACAATTTTATGAAAGCTACGATAAATTCTTTATAATTAAGAGTCTGACATCCGAGGAAATTGAACGCATGCATGCCTTTCTCAAGCATTATCATCCAGTGAGTCCCCGTATACGCATAAATATTTATTTAAATAACCTAAATGCCATCTAACTTTTTCTCAGTACGTTGTTGAGCGCCATGGAAAAACCCTGTTGCCGCAATACTTGGGCATGTACCGGATTACCGTGGAGAGCGTGCAGTATTATTTTGTTGTAATGCGAAATGTTTTCAGCTCTCAATTGACCATACATAAGTATGCTTGAATTGGTTACAAATTATTTATATTGTATTTAAATAATTGTTGTCTGTAGGAAATTTGATTTGAAAGGCAGCACTGTAGATCGCGAGGCTTCAGAGAAAGAGCTTGAAAAACTTTTACCCACATACAAGGACAATGACTTTATAAAGCAAAAGGTCAAATTGGAAATCGGAGATGAACCCAAGAAAAAATTACTCGATACTCTAAACAATGATGTTGATGTAAGTATCAAACACGAGACCAACAACATTTCTCTTTTGTATGCATTTAGGTCTCTAAAATATAGAAAAAAAAAACGCTATTGGAAAGTTGATGGAAAACAGTTATATCAAACTACTTTTCCATCAGATCCATCAGCTCGGGCTCAAACATATTTTCAAAAAACGTAAAAATCCATTTGAGGCGTGCGTTTGAATTGTAAAAGAATTAATACGTGTTAGAGTTCTCTAACCATGCGAAAAATTCGCGAATTATATTAACCTAAACATACTCGAACAGCTCCTAACCAAGTTGCATATAATGGACTACTCTTTGCTGGTTGGCATACACGACTGTGTGCGAGCTGAAGAGGAGGCTCTTCAAGGAGACAGCGCCCAAGCTACAGGACGCAGCGAAAACAGTGAGAGCGAAGAATGCGATAGTGGTGAACGGTAACTGAGAGAAATTTAAATCAATATATATAATAATATTAGAACTGTTTTAAAAGCTGGACGTATAACACACCACCAGATTCCCCCAGAGGTGCACAATATAAGGAAGTTGTCTATGAAGTCGACATTTATGCCATTCCAAGTATTGAAGGTAAAATGCAAAACGAAAAATAAATCGGACTAAATTTTATAAATCGAAATCATTTTCAGAGAGACGAGAAATCTACTTCATAGCTATTATCGATGTTTTGACTCAATACGGCGTCAAAAAACAGGTATGGGATCAAATAATTCGGGTTTAATTCGGAAATTATAAGATACATTTGGTTTTGGTTTTTTGTATTTTAGGCAGCGAAAGCGGCAAAGACAGTTAAGTATGGTAGTAATGTTGATGGAATATCAACTTGTGATCCTGAACAATATGCCAAAAGATTCCTGGAATTTATGGATAAAGCTATAGAATAAGATATTTAATTGTATTTGTCATATTAAAAATGAATCAAGTATACACATCAAATATGTCGTAACATTGTTTCAATTTGCTCTTCGCATGTAACTCGTATCAGAACGTAGAAATCCTGTTTCTCTATTTTCACAAACTATAATCGAATCGAAATACAGACCAATTCCATCCATATGTCAATTGGCCATCATCCATTAGTCAGGACAAAGAGTTTTATATATATAGAGATGATCTTTGCGACGATGATATTGGTCATGTAAAAAGGTAGTTTGCCTCGGAGATATATGTGTTTAGACTAAAAGAGTTTGGTACATTGATCATTCTTGTATTACTTCTATAACAAAATATAAATAATAAGTAAGTACAATAATTTGTTTAAGTTATTTGATTTAATTTAAAATCATTGTGCGTCCAGTACCAAGAGAAATTACTGAAATGGAAACAAACAAATCATTAAAATATATATATATGTAGGGACTTTGAAAGTGATACTAACTACAAAACGATTAACCTGATAACGGGGGCCAATCGAAGAATTGCGCTCGAGGTTTCGCATATTTTCAAAACGCTCGCGAATACTAGAAAATAATGAAATTTGACATTATCACAAAAGGGATTCGAAAAGTTTTGGATGGATAGAGCTTACGCCTTTGCGCTTTCTATTGTTGAATCATCGGACACTTGCTGCGAGTAGATATCAACATAGCCATCAATAAGTTCCCGCTTGATTTCATTGGCCTGCCATTTTTCAAATTTGGCGCGCAATTGCTTAGCTCGGGCCGCGCTCTGTGCCTATAATTCAAAGTTGCATTATTCACGATGATTTCTTCCTCTACTTATCTCTTACCTCTTTGAGAGCTTCGTCCCCATTTCTTGAACTTAATGCTAAAATTTCTTTATCGATTTCAGCTTCGTCATCGCTCTCCTCCTCCTCGTCGTCGTCCTCCTCCTCCTCCTCCTCACTATTGGATTTGTCATAATATGCCCGCCTATCTTCCGGCGGAGGAGTGAAACACTTTAGCGGTTTCGGACTGTAACATTCAGCTTTCTTGGATGTGTTCTGCTCCATTTCACGAAATTTGTTAAGCATTGTTGACGTTGTCTGTGTTTTTTGCAGCACATTTTCGTCGAACGACAAGTTTTGCTGCTTTGAATCATCCGCTTGCCCCGAATCGGAATCGGGTGACGGCATCTTGACAACACCTTCCCGAGGCGGAGTTATGCGGAATTGGCGTTTCTCACTGCCTTTTGGACGATAGGTTTCAAAGAATTTGAACTTCTGGCTCAACTCGTCGGTGGCTATTTTTACATCCTCCGGCTTGGCGTCACATTTAACCACATCAATGTCAGCATTCTGAAAATCATAAAAGAATCAATTGTGTTTTTTTTTGCTTTTTTAAAAATGTACTCTGAGAACTTACCTCTGAAACAACTTGACTTTGGCTCGTGCATTTGCTGAGAGCCACAGGTCGTTGTTTTTGAAACTCCCGATGGCCATTCGGGTTTGATACCAAGTTTGCATCTAACTCCATAAAGATGCTTCGCGACTTTTTACTTATAGCTAAATATGCAAAATTATATATTCGTCAGTTGCAATTCAAAAAACAATGAAGCCCTTTTTGCTTTTTTGCAGTCTAAGATTAAATACAATTTTAATGATATGTGCAATATAATATAATATTCCGATCTTGGCCACTAAATGCAGCTCATCAGAAAGCAACTAAATTTTATACCCATTGTTTCCTTTTCAGCTTGATCATACACACATACATACAGACTTACATATGCACATATATACATATGTACCTACATACATATGCACACATACATACATACATATGTACCTACATACATATGTACACATATTCATATGTACACACATACATATGTACATACATACATATGCACATACATTCATATGCACACATACATACATACGCACATACATACATACATATGTACCTACATACATATGTACACACATTCATATTCACATACATACATATGTACATACATACATATGTACACACATACATATGCAGATACATACATATGCACATACATAAATCCATATTTACATACATACATATGAAAAAAAAACAACAAAAATAAACAATAGAAAAACACAATAAAAAAAACACAAAAAAATCAACAAGCTAAGCATGCAAAATTGCAAAGCACACTTGAATTCTTGAGAATCGAGGAGGAGAGCACTTGGTAGAAATTCGTTTTATTTAAATTTGCAGCACAGCGAAAAATAAGCTTGGTCTGCGTTTGGTGTTAGAAAACAAACATGCATATGCATACATACATACATAAATGTATACATACATGCATGCACGCACTAGCACATACACACACACGCACGTGCAAAATACTTGTTGTTTGTTTACAAATATATGACGAGCCAGAGTTTGAACCAAAACCTGGTTCATGAGCTAAAAAGCTAAGGTAGCGAGTCGGTTCCGTTAACCGTGAACCTCTGAAAAAAAAAAGAAAATGGGTTAAATTTGCTTACCAGACTCAAATACATCGGCATCCTCCGACAGTCCGGAGCCGTGACCGTTGCAATTGGATGTTTCGACATCGTTGCCCTTATCATTAAATATTGCACCATTTTCGAAACGTTCCTTAATGGATCGAGCCGCTGCTCCAATTTGTATATCCGGCTGTTTACCGACGGAAGTGATGCCATGCTCGGATTCGGCAACGGCCTGCTGATACATTTCCTTGATTTTTGCCTGCTTGCCCATGAACAGGCGCGAGCGTATACTCTGGATTTCCTGTTTTCGCTCCTCGCGTCGCTCCTCCTTCGACTGCATGGTTCCCTTTTCGAACCTCGTCTTGATATCGTTCATGGCATCGCCAAGGCCCACGGGCCGCTCCTTTTGGGTGCTTCTCTTCGAGCGTATCAAGTCGGCGTCCTCATTCTCTTCGCCCGATTCGTCGCCGCTGTCGGGAGCATTATTTTCGATCTCGGCGCTATTTAGGCGATACTTTGTTAGAACTGAAGTGCTGCGCTTTATCACTGGACGCTGCTGCGCCTGCAATTGCTCCTCCTTAAGTTTATTCTGTTCGACATTCTCGAATAGTTCAAATCTGGAGCGAACGTTTAGCTGATGCAGCTCATCGAGTCCTAGATCCGGTTTGTCAGAGGCTAATTGATGAAACAAATTGTATTATTAACCAAATTTAAATACTGGTAAGATGGTAAATTTTGGCCAGAAAATACCCCAAAACGAAACTGACCACAACACAAATTAATCTCGATGATTTTTGCCTCTGCTCTGCTCTACATACAATTTTAAATGCACACATGCCAACGCTAGGTACCCTTACCAACAATAACGAGTTAATTACACGAAAGAATTTCGCATCGACGTGGCAAACCCTTTCATTATTTTATATTACTCGTCCCTTCAAAAGGGAAGAAAAAAATGAATTTGTTCGAATTGTTGCTTGTGCGCACACATGCACACACATACATTTAAACGATCCCCTACATAATGAGAGAGCATTGAGCGCACTGAGAGTAAGCCAAAGCAGTTGCACTTCCACTAAGAGCGAGAGTAAGCCAAAGTAGTTTCCTGTAGTGGGAGCGAGATAAAAGACAGCGATGCCGTTATACCACACAAATCATATCTATTTCTTACTCTCTAGCTCTCTGTTCTGGTTTGCTCTCTCTCAGGTTTTGATTATAATTCTCTTTGGTTACAGAGCTTAACTTACCCCGAACCACGTCGGGTGGGAGCTCGGTCGGCTGACTTTCGCGTATGATGAGCTCCGTTTTGCGGGGCTTGGGCTCTTCGTCCAGCTCAACGACCTTGGGCGCAAAGAGCCTGTCGAATTGAAGGGGAATAGTGAAAGCTGAGGAAAATATACATATGTATGTAATTTTCTGAAGTACTTACAACTTGAAATGTACATTGCAGTACAGATTACCTTCGTGACTTTGGTAGTTATCGAACCTGAAATGAATAATTAATTAGGTTCTCTCTCTCTCTTTTAATTTAATGTTATGTTATATGTGTAATGTTAATGTTATATGTGTACGTACTTCAATTGTTTAGCGCAATCTTGGCAGCGCAAGCAGGATTTGTGGTATATACCTTTGCCAGTCTTGAACTGAACTATGACCTCTTCCATTTTATAGACCGGCTTGGAGCAATGTCGACAATGGGTCTGCTGCTCATCTTGCAGATTCTATCAGATTAAAAAAATATTCATACTTTACACTTATGGACTCCAGATAGTTAAATATATGGTATATTCTTGTCATTGGAAAATGATTTGTGATATTTTTTGATCGAAGTGTCTAGCAACATGCTCTGGGATTAATCGAATTATGGAGTGGCTGATTAAAATGTTTGGATTAATTAATGATTTGCTTACACTGAAGATTTCTTGGGCTTTACTTGAATCACTTGAACGTACATGGATTAAATTGCGCTTCTGAAGGGCGTCGAACTTGTTAAAACTGCTCTTCTGCGAAATACATACATACATATATAATAATAGAATATGTGAGAGGGAACTAACGAAATTGTTGTGGTGAATATGGGAATGTAACTTACCACAGATATATTTTGATTATCGTATTCGCATTTCTTTGGCTTTTTCGCTTTGCTCTTCTTTTTAAGAACAACATTTCCATCCCCAATCCCCTCATCCGCATTATTTCCCGACATTATATTTGTTGCAGGAGCTTCCACAGCTTTCGTATCCTTCTTAAGAGCTGAGTTTGTCGATTCCGTGTCCTCGAGTTTGGTTTCCACAAATGTCTCAATTTTGGAATTCGTTTTTGTTACCTTTTTTAGAGTTTTTCTCGTTGTTTTTATTGACTTAGAAGCCAAGTGCTCTTCCTCGGCGTTTATAACAGTCTTTATCTACACATACGGATTGCATTAAATTAATTAACATATATTAATATTAATATATATTTGTACTAGCGGGTATAACCCAGCCTTGCCCGTGGCACGTATGTTATAAAATCAATGTTCTCAAACAAATTTGTAATGATTTTGAAACTGATCGGACGGTAAACAAATAACTTTCATACAAACGTTTTCCGCCAATTTACCACTGTTGCGAGTGGAATTTCCCAAATCGCTGAAAAACGTATTCATTACATTCTTATGTAGAGCTTTGAAAATAAGTTTGAAGCAAATCGGACACAATTTAAAACTTCGCACAAAAAATCTTTGAGTCGCATTCCACCCGAAAAAGTTTGGATTCTGCGAAAAGTGTGAAACACGTATCAAATGATTTTTCTTATAGATCTTTGGAAACGAATTTGAGCGCGAAACTTCACCCACCAAATCTTTGACGTCCATTTCCACCAAGGAGGAATGAATTTTCCTAAAAGTGTGAAACACCCCTCAAATGAATTTGAACAAAGATCTTTGAATATAAGTTTGAGGCCGATCGGATGGTAATCAAAAAAGTTACATACAAACGTTTTTCGCGATTTTTCCACACTTGCGGGTGGAATTTCCCGAAACCCCGTCTTAACGTGCACCTACATCACATAAGGTAGCTACAGTGAAAATTTCAGCTTCCTAGCTCTTACGGTTTGGGCTGTGCGCTGATCACCAATCAGTCAGTCAGTCAGTCAGTCAGTCAGTCAGTCAGTCAGTCAGTCAGTCAGTCAGGACAAACAGTTTTATATATAGAGATTAAGGAAATTCGAAAGTATGTCGCAATTGGAGACTCTTGAGGGGCATGGGAATGTTTTAATAAAAATCGAGGTAAAGAAAAAGTTACCACAATTATTATTAAGTAATTACCCAAATCCATTGGTCGTCATCTATTTTACATAGTATTTTTATTCCAAGTGGAGAAAGGATAACGCATTGAAAGATCGGACTATAAGCACCGAAGTTATTTTAGAATGTGTGGGGAGAGGTAGGTCGGATCTGAAGCAGGGTATATCACGATTCGAGGCCCTCGACTCTCTTCACATTTCGCATTTGGTCTCGGCAGATACAGAAATTGGTGCCACTTCCGTGCCCCCCCCCCCCCCTGATCCCCTTTTGCTGTATATACTACCTGCTAAAATTGTTGGTTTCGTATTTGCTCACCTTTTTAGTTTCCATTGGGCAGACAGGGGGCTAGCACAGCGAGCCTTTAAATATATAAAGATATACATATGCAAATAATTAATTAATTTCGATATACATATGTACATATGTATGTACAAACGAGTTAATTACATACTTATGTGCATGATTTACCTATAAATACGAATGTATTATTCGTATTGTATATTATGTTATCTTCGCGTACCTGAGAGACCTAAATGCACATCTAAATACATACATGCATACATACATACATGTGCCTGTATAAAAATACGCATACGTTCGGAATTCGGACACACATCTGCATACACACACACACACACACACTTTCACACGCATGTATGCGTGTGTATACCTACATAATTATACACACTTGTAAATGACCAAATACCGTTGGTAGATGCTCTCAATGTGAGAGCGGGGGGAGTGGTGGTGGCAGGAGGAAAGATGCGTCAGCCTCTGCCCATCAAAAATGCTATGCATGCAATCTTAAAATGGTGTTCTATTTTTGTAATAAATATTTTTCAAAGTAAGTTTTTTAAAAGTCCGTTTTTGTGTGAAATTACACGTAAGGGGTATGCAACGGCATTTGCATTCACTTTACATATTTATTAAGGGCTGTATTATTTTGAATAGTCTAAGAAAACCCTTAATAAAATCTTACATTCATTAAATAAAAAATTGTTAATTATTATTATTTGTATAATATTCGTATTTTGCGAATTAATTATACATTCAAACATCACCTTAAAGAGTGAAATGTCGCTTCTCAGTTCCTTCAAGATGTATTCACCTCCACCACAAGCTTCCGTTACTTTTTCACTTAGGCACACGACACACTGATCAATAGTTCCTTGGGGCAAATCCAATCGTCGACTGTTCGGATCTAGATATGAACACAGAATTGGATGCTGGCAATGAGAGCATTTTGAAGCTTTGCCACTGTGCGTATACATATACACATATACATATGTATATGTGTGGAAGCTTTTAATATATGTACCTAGTCGGTTTTTACCGGCAAAAGTTCTGGGATACCTCTCTGTGCAAACAATGACATATTTTTGTATTTAGGTGATTCAGTTTTATAACACAAAAGGATTGGAAAGAAATATGTATAATAGATTTTTATAGATTAATCTATAAAATTATCTCTTGATATTGTTCAGAATTGGAGTTGATAGGTAAATATTGAAGGAAAGGCCAGGTTTTATCTGGAAAATGGAAAGCGGGTTAAAAGTTTTAAACATGCTAGTATATTAATTAGTGCTTACCATTCATTTAATATTCTATTAGTTAAAGAAGTCGATGCTGGGCAAATTATTTTTTGTTAATATTAACACTTTATTTAAACGTTGAAATATTCTAATCATTGAATATTTAATATTTATGCACGTATAAATATTTTCTTAAGTCAAACCTAAGAGCAAAAGTAAAATAACTGAGATGAAGGAACCAAATATACAAAACAAAGATAAAAGCAATTAATACATATATATAATCAAGCACGTTTACAAGAATGACGGTCACAATTCGATTGCAATTCTATTGGGCTTTTACCCATTTATAATGCAATTTTATTTATTTATTACTTATAATCAATTGAGACCCTCGACTGTTATTCGTTTGTTGTTGTTGTTTTTATGCCCTTTATATAAAAGTTATCAATTAGATATTTTCGACTTTGACTATCGAAAACATTCCAAGAACTGAACACATTAATTAAATTTACAATATTTTGTTGTCGATTCGCTCGTTTTTTGTTTATAGAATTGTGCCATACATAGACATAACTAAATAGATTGGGAAGTCCGATATCGATATAGATCGAGTATTACTTTACGCTCAAATACTGAATATTTTTGCAATGAATTTAATGCTACAGGTTGGTACCATGTATATAATGTATGTAGTTTTGTATATTGTATGTGGGGGGATATATGCATGTGTATAATGCTTATATGCCAACCATAAAAAGTCTCGCAATGCCTAATAAGTTAATAATTAAATGCAAGCGTTCGATTAGTAGTATAATTTGTAATGCCACTATTTTTGCTTCATTTAGCCTTCTTGAGATCTTTGCCTCCATGTGAGTGCATGTACATGCTTGCAAGGAAGATAATGTGCTGGAATATAGCAGCTATTTAGGTTCTTAAATTGAAAACCAAGTAGGAGTTGTGTTAAGTCTATCACTTGTATGGCAGTGTGTTGTCAATATATATATATATATACATATATACATATATACATATATACATATATACATATATATATATAGACTAACAACAAACAAGCACCGCCCTAAGCCCTTAGATGCATGGCAATTAATTGTTCCATATTCTGCTAAATATCCTTTGATGGTGCTTTCATCTTTTGTGCGTGCGGGAGTAAGTTGGTATTTGACGTCCTATTGCCGATTGGCCTGTCAACTGAATATGCCTTATAGCAATCCATTTCCAACAAGGCCTGCGAGCCAACCAAATTAATTGTCGTAAGTCCCGTGTCAGCAGCCGTTGTTAAAATGGGTGTAGTATTTGCCAGCTTCGAATTGGTAGTTATGATTGATTCGGATAGATGCGTTTGCGATTTTGTAGCCCCCTTTATGGAGTTTATTGTGGACATAGTGGGTAAACCTGCAAAAACAAATAGTCACATTATTATTGATATTCCTTTAACGCCGAGGCTATCTTTTTTTTTTATATTACACTCTGATCCGCTGCCGACAGCCACAGTGTGAGACAAATTCGATAATGCCGATGGATATCTAGATAGGCCGATAGTATTACTATTAATGCCACTAGCATTACTGCTATCCAAAGCCACAGCCGTCGGTACACTTTCTAATGTTGAACATTTAACGCTCGTTTTGCTTATGATGTCCGCCAAAAGATCAACAGGCAACGCGGAATTGCTAGCTGGCGATGCTGTCGCACCAGACAGATTGGGGCCGCCAAATCCAACATAATTAACGCGGCCACTGCAATGGCTAATGTTATCTCTTTCAGAGGCTGCCGAGCCTGTGGCAGCTTCATTACCACAATTCGGTTTCATACCTGAAAGAAATAAGCAGGAAAATAAAGAATTGAAAGAGATGTTGTAGATGTCTACTAAAACGTACCTGTCACTGGTGATTGGTCACCACTAATGCTTCCGCCGCCTCCAATACTAGCGCCGCCAGCGCTGCTTGAGCCGTCAGCGGCGCCTCCGCTTGTACTGCTTGGAGGTCTGGGCAAACGACGACGCAGCCATGGGTGCTTCAGGGCTTCCGAGGGCGTTAATCGTTTTTCCGTATCCCATTCGAGACATCCACGAATAAAGTTAAGAAAGAGCGGATCCTTACAGCCATCTAATGCCTTTGATAGGCTCTTGGAGCAGGGTGGTCCACGTGGTTTGCCTCGCCGTGACTGACCACCGATTAATACCACCATACCATCGGGCATGGTCCGGACAGTACAATAGCGTGGATACCCCTTTGGACTAAAGAACGTTTTCGCTCGCTTCGAGCTCGCCAATAAAGTTTTGCTCGGCATTCCAAGAACTTCGATAATGCACGCTAACTGGTCGCTCTCATTTTCGCCCGGGAATAGGGCATGCCCCGACAATAGCTCAGCAAGAATGCATCCGAGCGACCACATGTCAATAGCTCTGCCATATTTGGCGCCCAAAATAACTTCGGGTGCACGGTAAAATCTTGATTGTATATATGTGTAGACACGTTGACTTTCAAAGCATGACGATCCAAAGTCAATCACCTATGGACGACATAAAAAAGTGTTTTTATTTCAAATGGAGGATGGATGTATATTTAAATGATTTATTTACCTTGATACCAGAACGACCTTGCTGTTTAAGTAACACATTCTCCGGCTTCATATCACAATGAATTATCTCGTTCTTATAAAGTGCATCCAGGCATTGGAGCAAGGAATGAGCAAATTTACGTACCAGCTGCAGGCTGAAACCCTTAAAGCCATTCTTTTTGATCAACTCATATAGATTGATGCTGAGCAGCTCGAAAGTGATGCAGGTGTGATTCCGGAAGGCAAAATAATCATACATATGTATAATGTTCATGGTGTTGTACTTGTCGTGGCGCCTCAAGTGATGCAGTATACGAATTTCCTCCTGTGCCTGGCGATGGAAGCGTTTTTCGTTTCGCACAATTTTCAGTGCAACATGTTCATGCGTCTTGTGATCATAGGCTTTAATAACTTGCCCAAAGCTACCTTTGCCAATTATTTTAAGCATTTCATAGCGATAGGCCACGTGATCGTGCGGTATATGTATATAAGCGCCCTGCTCATTGTCGTAATCGGAATTGTTGGGTCCATAAATTCCCGGGCGTTTCTTAGCATTGGCGCCAATAAAGTAAATCTGCGGGTAGGCTAATATTTCGGTTCGCTCGTAAGGCGTCAATTTGTGCATGTAAAGAATCATAACTTGCTGCGGCGAAACAACTAGCGCCTTTGGCTTATCCTGCAGTGCGCTCTTCTGCTGACCAGACATAATTATTTGTTCATGAAATGTGAAATGCTCGCTGCCAGCTATTACCGATTTCTGATGCTGTGACACCAAAGCTAGTGAGTCAACTGCCGCCGCATTTAGGGACAAATCTCTATCTTTTTGCGGTGAAGTTGGGGATGCTTCCGATTTCGGCGTCACAATTGTAACGTTCGGTAGAGAGCTTGCTACAAATTTGAATGGAAATTTATATAAGTATATTATATTGCATATATATATATATATGTATGTACCTTGAATTGATTTTGAGACTCCGCATCCATCTATGGTTGAAACGTGCACCCTGGGATGATCTCCAATATAGTTGGAAATCTCATGCGTTGTCGGTTTTGAGGGTAATTTACGATCCTGAAAAATTGCCGTCGATCCGTAACTGCTGCTATAAAATGGCACCTCCGTACAGGAGCGATGCGATAAACTATTTGGATTCATTTGACTTCCAATTCCAATTCCACTTCCACTGCCGCCTCCGGTTTGAATTTGATTTTGGGGCATAGTCATGGTGAGCATCGCGGGCGAAGCTTGTGTTTTACCCAACTGCATCTCGATGGAAGGCGTTGGCAGCATATCCCCGGTGAAGGTGCTGGCATCTAGAATGGCGTTCGCCGTCGACAACTGAACATTATTTGTATTCTGTGTGCCGACCATTTCGTTGTATCTATAGCTATTTAGCTGACTATTGTTGTTGTCCAAATGGTTTAATGTCCTGGTGTTGGTGTTGTTATTATAGCTGGGATTGGCCTTTGACAGCCTCTGATTATTGTTGCCGGGGTCTGTAGATGTTGCTTGCTCTTTAGTTCTAGCCGAGCCTATTTCATATTGCTTGGCTTGATTCTCTTGAGGGGATTCGCTTGGAGCAGTGCTTGATTCTCGCAGGCCGAGGTTCTTTTGCGATTTAGTAAAACTGTTCAACGGTTGCGATCTATATGACAATGACATTACTAATCGAACTGCGCTCGCCGCCGGCAACGAATTGAAACTAGTTTGATTTTCTTCAGGGACTTTGAAATGATGCACAACGTTCTCCGACTCGCCGCTGACTATGCTGGAGGTGGTGCTGGCAGTTAGATACTCTAATGCAGTGCCATATCGGTCGCTATTCGAATCGATGGATGATAATCTACTCTGAATCTCGGCTTGACGCTTAAGCTGACCACGATCTTTTGATCTCGATTTGAACTCTGAACGGATGCAGCTGTTGTTTAAATCTATATCTTCACAGGATTCGCCAGATTCATGATCCGTTTCACTCTCGTTCACTAAATTGGATGCATTTGCCGAAGAAAATGAGCTTCGATTCGAACTTCCATTACCTGGCAGCTTGTCGTCGGCGGCACCGATTTCTAAAGATTTATGCCTGGCCACAGCATCGATTAGCAGCGCTGGAGTCGTAAGAGAAAATAAGTTATTTCGAGTCTCTGCCTGCCCCCAAATGCACTGCTTTATGGAAGCTGCTCGAATTTGGTTGTCCAGCGATATGGCGCCCCTCTTCACAGGTGAACGCCGGCTGAATCTAAAATCTCGATCATCGCTTTGGTAGCGCTTGCTCAATTTTTGGTATCTGGCATTTTGCAAATGCCCCAACTCAATGTTCGGCTGCCCCGCCTTTGCTTTGTTAAGGTAAATGCTTAGGTTTCTATAATCGTGATCGACCACAAATTCGCTTAGTGTTGGTGTGCCTCGCCGAACTGTTGCAAATTCAGATTCAGATGCAGATGCAGATGCTGGATTGTGATGATGGACTAGTGGATAAAAATTGGATGCTATTGAAATATTCGGCCGTCTGGCAAATGGGCTGTCCAATAGAATCGATCCCTGTTGCCTTTTTGGCACGTATTTTAATTGTCCACTAGTGCCCAGTTGCGTATGGTCTGGTTCTATGCTGGCAACGTCGTCATCGGAGTCCCTTTTATGTCTCGTCGTTCCAGGGACAGCTTCCAAATAACCCTTGTTATCGTACACGTCCGTTTTCCTGTTGACTTGCCGCCCACAAAGACCGCTCAGTATGTTAAAGCTTAGCACATTTTTTAATGTATTCTGCTCTTTGCGTTCAATTGTGCACTTTTCTAGACTTTTACTCCTCTTTGTGGCATTTAATTTATTTGGGCACTCACTTTGCTTCCACATCCAACAATACGGTTCCTTTGCGCGTGTTCGTGTGATAATCTACCGATATTATTCATTGTGGTTAGCAGTACGAATTAATTGATACTCGTCCGAAAACATTAATTATTACTACTGAACCGATTATGCCTATATATATTAATGCTTTTTTTGTATAAATGTCCACAGCAGTATTTCGACACAATTGACACGCAGTGTGTACATATGTATGGATATAGTTTTTTTTTCTCGCTATAGTAGCAGTAGGGTTGGTTGTTTGAGCAACAACCAGATACGATATATCGATAGGTTTGCTCGACTCTATCGATATCTTTGTTAAAAATAGCTTATCGTGCAATGTGATATAGCAGCAGATTTAAAACCGTTTTTGTTTTTTAAGTTATTTGTTTTACCTCAGAAACTGTTTAGTAATTACATTGGCTTCCCGTGCAATGAAGGTTTTTTAATTAGTATATGTATCGATAAGTCAATATCGATTATACGCATATTATTTTTCTAAATAACATTATTTTATAAGTAAATGTAATTATAATTTTTAATCAAATATGAAGTGGAAAGCCAAGAAAAAATACAAACAACCAGCATGAGTGCACGCATGTGTATATGCAATAACATATGTATAATCTCACAAATTCTCTGCTACTCACAAAGAAATCTTATGCTCAAAGCCGATCTGAAAATGAACAGCTTAAAACAATTCTAACTTAAAACATTATGTATTACAAAATTTGCTTGTGAGATTCCCTTGGATGGTCACACACACACATGGTCGAAAATACCGATGTTATTAATCGTCGGTAAATTTTCGATGATATATTTTGTAAATATCTGGCAGTCCTGGATGCGAGCGTCAAACTATCGCCGACAAGAAATAATAAATATCGAATTTACGATTTGGCGCAAGCTGATATAAATTGAAAATTGTGCAAAATATACTAGTTTTTTAAAAAAAAGTTAGATTCAACATTAGTTAAACTTGCATGCCGTATTATTTATATGTCAATAAATGTAGATATATAAGAAATTTACAAAATAATAAAAATGGGCTTTAAAAAAATCTAAAAACGACTGAATGGAGACAAACACACAAAGCCAAAGCCGCTGTAAAAACACATCAATCCATTTTTTTACCCGGCACTTTACCTTAACTGCCCCATTGTACGTGTTGCTAACTAATTTTCGTTTATAAAAAAATAAGTTTGAAATTAGCAATATAAAATACATTTGCTAATTGAAATTTATATGTATTTATTTTCAAAGACTTATTTTTAAGAGATTTATATTATATGTTAGGTATGTGATAAACTGTCTCTTGTGTATCTTAAATAAATAACTAATTTCCATAAAGTGCATTTGATCCATTTTAAATATGCATATATATATATATATATATATATATATATATATGTATATATTTATATATTTTTGTTTTGTATGCGTACATATTCGTTATATTTAATTCATATTTATATCCTGCAACTACTAAAACTATGTTTTTTTCAATCTGTGGTAATGCTTGTAAATAGTTGTACGCGCTTGATGAAATTACACAGATAACACATTTATACTATAAATCGTTTAATTATTCTCGGTTGAATATCATTAGTAATGTACGTTATCTCTTTTTTAATCAGCTATTGATAAATATTACTACATAAATAAACCCGCTTAACATACAGTTACTGTTATGTGTATATATATACGTGCGCATATATATATATACACATACACATGTATGTATGTACGCAATATATATATATATTTTGGTACGCACACTCAAGTGGTTATATAGATGAGCACACATACTTTCACGCAATGCATGTCGACATATGTACATATATATGTACGTTACTACTTAGTTTGCCATAAACCACAAGATTCTATATGTAGGCCATTTAAATTTCCTATCACTTTATTTTAGAAAATATTATTGGCTTTTGTTGTTTAATTTTGATTGAAATCACAGTTTTAAAAATGTATTAATACGCACATATGTATATATGTAGCTGCCCGTAACGTATTATTAACTATTAAAAAGTTAACACATACCACACCAAAAAAAAATAAAGAAGAGAATTATGCATCTCCAAAAGCAACATAGTATATCCGAAAATATATTAGGCGAACCAATTACTTGTTGTACAAATACAATTTCATTTACGTCCTGGCACATCTTTACAAATATTTATAATCGCAAAATATCTTACGATATGTAAATGCACACAAACATGCTTTACAGTTATACGCAAGGCAAAGTTTGGTTCGACCTAAGTATGAAATAAAATGAAGCAAAACAAGGCGGTGATTTTCATAGCAGCACCTAACCAACAACAACCTTAATGTTTCGTAGATCCGTTACATTCGGATGCATGTATGTATACATTATTATATGCCATTTCAGAAAAATGTTTTTATCGCCTAGCAGAAGATGCTAGCGAAATTAACATTATACCCCATTGACAATTGGTCACTCTGAATTGACACACTGGAAATTGAGCCGAATCGTGGAATTTATAAGTTAATACATATGTACGTAGTGTGTAAGTATGTAATCAGCGCTTTGAAATGCGAACTGCTCGCCATTTAATGTAAATATAAATTTCTGTTATTTTTCTTTTGTTCTATTATTGTTAACTAGCAGGTATTACCGGGCTTTGCCTGGGACAATTGATTTTTTGCAAACTTTAGCTATTACTTTTGAATTTTCCAACCATGGAATAATTCGAATACGCTCACCCAATTCCAGGCAGTAGAGTCAACTGTTCCCAATCAGTTCCCGTTTAAAGTCAATCGGATGAATAACAAAAGGTAGCTCCTATTTCCCTCCATATTGATTAACAATTTAGGTGGAGCTTTGCTATTACGTTTCAAGTCGGTCGGACGGAAATTATAAGAGTGTTGTATACACAGATCAAGATACATACATATTATAAGAGTGTTGTATACACAGATCACGATACATATTTGGATAACTTCCCTGGCCCCGTTCCCAAAAAAAAAACCAAAAAAAAAACAAAAATAAATCAATTTTATGAGCTATAGTCATGCTTTAGTAGATATATATATATATATTTGAAAGATCGGACCGTAAGCACAGAAGTTATTCAAGAATGGACTTGTTTTAAAGGGTGGAGCAAAGTAATCAAAGATGCACAGTCGCTACACAGCTTGCGCAGTGTGTGTGTGTGTGTGTGAGTGTGTGTGTGTGTGTGTGAGTGTGTGTTTGTGCATATATTTATTTGACATACTCGGGTAAGAAGGTATTAAACGGCAGTTCTGAGCTGGGCACTGGGTACCAGGGTACGGGGTATATCTATATCCTTGTTAAGTATGTGTGTTCGTACGCAGTGAGTGCTCAAAATATAACATGCAAATGTCCAATTTCCACAATACTTGTACATATATATATGGAAACAATTTTTGAGAACAACATTTTTCATTTTTGGTGATTAATTTACCTTGATTAAATCATATGTTAAGTATACATCAATATGTAGTTATATATATATATTTTTTACTATTTAGTATTTGTTCGGTTGTTCCACGTTATTGAGAGTCATTTTGCTACCATATAAGTTCAATATTTAAATTGAATGTTCTTTAATGTCAAAGAAGAGAAGAATGCCAGCTCAATCTACACATGCATGCAATAAATGCCGGGGGCTCATTAGGTTCTCCCAATTTAGGTGTCCAAAAACATATTGAAAAAGGCAATTCGATTTTCTAATTTACTTCATTAGTATTTTATTGTGAGCTAATTATTTATGTTTAACCGAATTTGTTTTCGGTGGGAATGCTTTTTAGTGAAAGCAAAACCGTAATTGATTATAACTTCCTATTATATGTATATAACACAGGTAATTTTTTTTAGTTTTTGTTGTTCCATATATTTTTTGGATATACAAAAAATAATCAAATTTTCTTTCATACTCGTGTGTGTGTGGGACGACGACACATACTTAATCAAGCAAGAGGATGCACATTTGACGCATGCCCAAATGTCTTTATATATATATATATATATATATATATTGTATTCACACATAAACTTCGTGCATATACATATATATTGTTTGTGTTACATATTTAGCGGACTCTTGTGCTGCCAGCCATTTCGAAATTCAAAGTCAAAAACTGTACGTAACTTTGGGAATCCGGATACTGAACACTTGACTTCTTGTATACAATGGAAAGGTAATTGTGTAGGCATGTGTGTGTGTGTGTGTGTGTGTGTAAGTATATAGTAAGTAAATAATTCAATTATCGTATTTCCAAAGTATTGTTATGTATGTGTACCATATATCGATTTTTTGTTGTCTCTTACATTTACAGCCCTAAAATCTATGAACGATAAAGAAAAATAAATCTACAGGCATACAAAATTCTAAGTCCATTCGTTTATCAGTCGATCCACTTTATGTACTTCACATAACATAGTTGCGCTTTCCAAACTGAATCATTTTCGAATCAAGTGTGTGTCAGTGTGTGTGTGTGTCAGAATGCTATGCCATGGTCATCATCATCATCATTATCAAATTAATCATCAACTATGGAACAAACGAATTGAGATATATAATCATAATCAGCTTCCCTACCGGCTGGTCGATTTGGCCCCTGTAGTGCTTGATTTTGAGTACTCTGGCGCCACGTTGAGTTGCTGCCGGCGCCAGCCGCAGGTGTCACATTGGAAACGTTTGGCTGCTGCTGTCCACCACCGGTAATAGTAGTTATATTGTTGCCGCCACCAGGTGTGTTGTTTTTGGTATTGTTGCCACTGTTGTTACCACTTGGCGGTGCACCACCATTTACCGAAGAGTTCATATTACTTCCGCTGCTATTGTTGTTGCTACCTGTACTGCTGCCAACTGAGCCCGAGCTGCCGCTGCCGCCGCTTGCATTGCTGGCTGATCCAGCTGCATTCGATGCACTGCCATTGCCGCCGCCGCTGCCATTGCCGTTGCTGCTGTTTCCTCCAGATATGGTCGAACCAGAGCTGCTGCTGCTGGAAACGCCGCTGGCGCTTATGTTGCTTCCGTTGCCAACACTTCCGCCGGATAATGTGCCGGAGTTTGTGGCGTTCGAGGCTTGGGGCAAATGTTGCAGTATATTCTGCACTTCGTTCTCGCTTGGCGATTCGGCAAATATTGTTGTATTACCGAGAACACAGTTGTTAAGTGCCATTTGTGCTTTGTTAGCCTCCTCCCGTGTTGTATATTTACATAAGGCAATTCCTTGGTTTAGATATGGGTGGAAACTAACAAGGGGACCATGTTGCATACACAAAGTTCGTAAGGTAGAGCCGTCAATCTGCAAGCAGAGCGTACATATTTGAAAATATTTACCTTTGATAAGCAATTATTTATTAAAATAATTAGTTAGATCTTAATTAAATTGACCTAGTCGAGCCCCGTCCGAGTTGTTTACTCTTCGATTGTGATTAATTAAAAATTGATCTATTATTAATGATTATTATTTTGTACATACCTGAGCATTTAGATTTTTCAGTAGCAACCAACTAGAGTTCCAGGAAGCGTTAGCTCCAGTCCAAGTCGTATTTGTGTTGGGCACACCACTACGATTAGGAAGCCAACCGTTTGAGTTTCCGGCAACCGTTGGTGATGGTGTGGTGGTAGCCGTAACGCCGCCAGATTTGTTTGTGCTCAATCCGGGCGGAGGTCCTCGAGATGAGCTTTTATTTAGAGGACTTGTCCAGAGTTCTGAGGTGGCACATTGTTGACTGTTGTCTGACCAACTATATATACAGAAATTTGTGTACAATATTGAAACGTGTTTAGAACCGTTTTTTTTTCAAACTGTTTTTCGTAGCCATTATTGCTTATGCACTTATTTAAAAACTATGCGGTTATAGAATCATTGCTCAAATTTAAAATTATTCAATCAAATAGCATCATATTATATGCAGAGTTTTGCAAAAAATATTGAAAGTTAATCGAATGACTAATGTAAACATAAAACAATTAAGCATTTTGCTTGTACTAAGTATATATAAAAGTAAATATCGTTTGTTGGTCTAAATATCTTGATCTTGATGATATATCTTTTATGTTTGAAAACCTTTCCATACACGAATTTTAAAATCTATCGGATGAAAAGCAAGGGAAACCGAAAAGGAAAGTTTTCTGTGCATTTGAGATACACTTCGGAGCTCGAATGTGTTAAAGTTCCTTTGTTAGCGCGTGAAAAGTTATTGCTGGTTGGGCTGTAATTAAATGTTAAATTGTAAATGTAAATTACCTAGGAAAATTTTGGTTTGGATTAAAACTCCACGTTGACGACGATAAACTTAGTGGCGGCAGATCAGTCGGAGAGTTTTTGCCGGTTGTGGCAGCAAAAATATCAGCATCTTTTGGCGTCGGATTAATGGACAATGGAGATCTAGCTACGCTGCCAGGAGTTATGCTTGGATCATCTTCAATGCTTTTGATCTGAGAACCCTTAAAAATAATTTTCTGCTTGGGTAGTTATTGGAAAGAATCAGCATGTCTACAGTTACCTTCCACGGCTTGCCTGGCTCAAACTCCTGCACCAAGTCGGTATACGCAGCTGCTGTCGGTGCAACTGACCAGTCTTTGTTCTCGTTATCAATTGAAGGATCTGGCCAACCGTCTCCAATATTGCGCCCAGTTGACCAAGTACTATATTTTGATAGAAAGCGAGAACACATTTGTTCAATTCCATGTGCATCAATTTCAATTGTTTACTGACCCATCGTTTTGTAGGCCCAGCGAACCCATGTTGTTTGAGTTGCTAGTTAAATTTTGTTTTGTTGCGCCCGGAGCTCGTGAAAAATCAGTGCTGTCCGTAGCGATGGTATCCTTTTCTAATACTGGAAGCTTCCACTGATTTAAGCGGGACTGCTGATTGGGAGCACCCTGATATCCACTTGGCTGCGATTCAACGAAAGACACAATTTTATATATAGTTAATCAAAAGCGAGATACATCAGAGGTAGGTAAGGTATTAAAAGTTATTGCATTCTAAATTAAATAAAGCTTATATGAGAACATTTTATTTGAAATCTTTCAGTTGGAAACTAATCGCAGTAATTGTTTCTCGAGCATGACAGCTTTATATACGTGTTGTCTGCGAGTTCCTATAAAATGTTATGCTATTTCTACACAAGTAGGCAGTTTTTTTAATTTAAGGCTTAATAATTAATTAGGTACGCACCTTATTAAGATTTAGTTCTGAAAAGTTTCCTTGAAGTGTAGTTATTGCATCATGATTTCTTAAATAGTCATTTCCAGAGTTATTTATGTGTCCGGATGGATGTTGCTGCTGTTGCTGTTGCTGCTGCTGCTGCTGCTGTGAATTTTGTTGCAAATTCTGTTGCTTTATATAAACAGCCTGTTGTGCATTTATTTGGTTTTGTAAGTTTTGTATCTGTTGTTTGTATTTTGCAATGGTTACATTGACAACCATGGGGTTAGCGTTGCTGCCCCGAGAAAGAGATTGTTGCGCTGCTTGAAGATGCTGCGATACGATAAATCAATTGCAATCATATTAAATGGTAAGTAAGTATATATATATATAAATCACCTTTATACTGCTGAGTAGTTGGTTTAATAGATTTAAAGTATTTTGTGTCAGAGGCTGGGTCAAAATTTGACTGGATATAAAGCCACTGTGAATGGCCAATTGAATTTGCTGGCCAAGCTGGCGAATGTGCTGACCAGATGGCTGATTATTGGCATTCGATGCAATATTCACCGCCGGCGCTGCACTCGTTGCGTTCTGGCAAAATGCAACCGATGCATTCGCATTTATCGACTGTGGTCCTCCTCCGATCGCGACATTGTGCGGCCCACCTTGGTTCAAATATTTTTGTACCTGAAGAACTGCCATATTCGGATTATTGCTAGGTGTACCGCTCATATTAGTCATTAGGTTATTCTGTAAGAAAAAACTATATATGGATGCTGATACATATATAGATGCTGGTTTTTTAATTACCGGAGGGAATGACATCGATGGTTGTGCGCTGCCAACAGGATAACGTTGTGGGAATCCGCCACTATTTGTCGTATTCGAGTGATCAGCGTAGGAACCAAGTACCTCGTCGTGACGGCGCCAGCCATCCATTGCCAGAGACGAATTGGGATTTGCACGCAGCATTTCGGCTGCCTCTTCAATATTCATATTGGTACTCAGTAATGCTCTTTCGACGTCTTCCTTTTTGAAGCCGTTCTCAACCAAAAGTCTATATTGCTTGCTTTGCTTAACCATATCTGTGTTAAGGATGCCAACACCAACATTAATGCCAGCGATTTTTTGCTGCTGCTGCTGCTGTTGCTGCTGTTGCTGGGATTTTCCAACAATGCCGCCACCATGTGGCCAATCAGATGATAAATCGCCGCCTTCCACATTCCCACCAACTGTGCTCGCGTTGCTCCATCCAGAGGATCCGCCACCTGTTGACGGCAATTTAGTTTGTTTATTACCCCAGCCGCCGCCGCCGACGCCACCCGAAGGTGAATCACTCCATGAGTTTGCGTTTGCTCCAATTTGTGCAAGTGAAGTGCTCTGTTTATCATCGACCCAGTTGTTGCCCGCCACGGCGGCACCGCCAACAACGCCAACATTGTGACTATCATCGCCCCAAGAGCTTACTTGAGCATTTCTACCTCCGCCGCCGACGCCGCCGCCGCTATTATTGGGATGCACCCACATGGCACCGGCATCGGGCTTGCCGTGCTGGCCAACAACTCCACTGGGTCCGGGAGTGTTTGCCAGTCGAGACTGAGGCCCAATACCAGCACCACCGACCATTGGATTATTGGGATTTCCACCGACTGGAACATTGCTATTGCCACCGATACCACCGCTGCCGACGATGTTGCCCGTTGGATTTTGGGCTCTCATTAAGTGATTACGACTCATTGAGTCTGTCATGTCCTTCCAGTGGGCACCGCTACCAGGTAAGCGCGATTGTTGTCCCCATAGCGAAGTTCCGTCATCATAATTGGGAATATTGCGACGTTGTGGTGGGGGTGAGGGTTCCTCCCATCCAGTGATTTGCTTGGAAATATCCTTGGGGCCACCAACGACCGCCTGTGTAGCTCCCCATTGCGCCCCGACATTACCAGATACCGAACCAACACCAACACTTGGGCCAATATTTGAGCTTGGAATATTTGAACCTGTTGCGCTAACAACGGGGCCGACCATTTTGTTAATATTTTGAATCTGGTTATGAGCAATCTGAGGATGATGTCCCCACATCTCTGATGTGCCATTTAGACGACCAGATATACCACGCGGATCGCCACGAATCGGATCCCGTGGATCAATCATACGCAAGTCACGGGGATCTCCTGTAGGTGCGCCCACACCGCGCATCGTAATTGGATCACGCGGATCCACGTTTCGGATGTCCATTGGACCGGCTCCTGCCAGCGGGCGCATATCTCGCGGATCGCCCCAACCATTGCCAGTACTGCCGCCAACACTGCCGCCAGCTCCTCCAACCGTTCCGCTTACAGCCAAATTGTTTCCACTATTTCCACCTATATATATGAGAAATGATTCAAAATGCATCCAATCATAACAGATAGCCAAATATACAATGAACAAGCCATAAAGTATATAAAAGAGAAATTAAATTTTTCTACAGAACTTTAGGAACAAGTTAGGCTCATCAAGCGCTTCTTCCTGAATATCTTTGGCGTCCGTATAAACTACACTAGAATCTTGATCTTATTGATATCAAGATATCTCCCCCTTTGTATGTATATATTTAAAAGTGATGAATATTACTAGATCAACGGAAGTCGGAGATGCTTCTTCTGCTGTTTTTTTTATTTGCATCAAACAAATAGTTGACAAACTCCAAAATGGAGAATATTCTTGTTTAGATGAGAATTTGCATGCCGATAAAATAATTGTAAAATAATTGATTGTACTTACATCCGGGAGCCACCGCAGGCAGGGCTCCAGTTGCCGGCGCATTGTTATTTCCAGTAGAGTTTAAGGCAACTCCGACTCCAACACCAACGCCCTGTCCCCATTGGGGGCCAGTAGAGGCGCCAACGCCAGGAGCATTAGCACCCACTGCACCCACACCAGACGTTGCGCTATTGGATGACTGACCTGTCCATACGCTGGTGCTATCGGCTCCATCATCATCCTCGCCCCAAGTTCCGCCTAAATTTGATGAAGGCGTATGCCCCCAAGATGGCTTTGGCACTTGTTGAGCGGGTGGCTGACCGCCGTTGCGTAAATTCGATTCCCACAAATCGGTGCCATTGTTAATGTTTGGTTTCCACATTAGAGGACCCGATGGATCCTTATTGGCCGGCTCCGGTGAACTGGGCACCTCCCAATTGGTATCTTGGTTAACGTGCTGGCATCCCCAGCCATCCTGAGAGAAAAGCGCCTCGCGCATTGTGTACAACTGTTTCAATTGATAATTAGCTGCACTAGCAGATGGCGCATTCCTATTTCCAATTCCGACTAGTCCTTCATCAACTTTGCCGCCATCGTCATTGTCATTAAATGAACTCTTACGGCTATTGGTAATAATCTTGTTTTCAATGGTTAAACTCTTCCTTGTTCTTTTAAGAACGATATTTCACTTATCGTTTTTTCCGAAAACTTCTTCTATTTGTGATTGTTGTTTATATTGCCTACAAAAAAAAACGATATCAATATTAATGTAAATGTTAATGGGTTTTTTTTTTCTATTAAACTTGAGAGTATTGCAAGGATTCACATGCCAACTTTTGTGTCCCTAGATAGCAAGTATATTCCTTTAAGTATATTTTATGAAAATCTAATTTTTCAAAAGGTAATTATTACGAGTTCTGTCTGTATAGTGTGTGTGTGTGTGTGTCGAAAAGGTAAGCAATTTTCTCGTGAAAGGTACACATATTAATTTGAATATACAAATAAAATTGATAATCAACTTAATATCCGTACTGAGACACAAAAAGTCGAATTATTTTTGATTATGCATTATCCACTTAATTCTTCTATGTTGATTATATTATTATTTAGGTTTATGATACATTTTACACTTTTACTGAAAAATGTATTCATATGCATCAAGATGTGTGTGTGTGTCCGTGTATATAAACATACTTGACAACTCTGGTCAGTAGTCATTGACGCAATCACCCTATTTAACTCTGTACTTTTGTTCACTCACACATTTGCAGATACACAAAAACACACTCATACGCACGACGAATCAACAAATATTCTATACCACATACACATGAACTTATACAGATTTTCATACACATACAACTTATATGCGGAGCATCTTCAAGACATTTCAAGTTTGCATGTATTTTATTTATTGATAATGTACATTGATGTTTCGATAGGTCAACATATGCATAATTAAATTTTACATCGTTATATTAATAAATGTACATTTATACACTTTATGCTTATTTATACTCGCTCATCTACATATGTATGTATATTTACATGCAACATTCAAGATTTGACATAAATAATACTTTAAAATGTTTTTTTCTTGTTTTCTGAACATAAATCGATTAAAATTAAATTTTCTGCACAAATATGTCTAAAGACAGATACATACAAACACATGAATGTATGTATGTTTCTAAAAGCCAAGCCACTTCGACGATTTCACAAAGTATGTATGTATGTATGTTTTCATGAACATCTGTATGCCAAATTAAATTCTTGCTTCACACATTGTCCGAAAATCCCCGGAAAAAAAATAAGTTACACTGCATATTGATCTTAAGTGTATTCACATTCGTAAAATAAAGTAATGTATCAAGCGGATTAAAGCAAATAATTACTTTTTGGTGAAAGAATTTATCACTCCACACGTTCAATGGGACGGGAAAATTTACTCTGTATAAATGGCTGCTCCCGCAATGTTGCCACCTAGCCAGGTTTTATTCAAACCCATTTTTATAAACACACTGTCCATATATAGCACACTAAAAGTTTGTCACTTTTTTCCAAATACCTGGACAAATACTTGACAATTTTAATGTAATTGTAGACATTTTGAATTATTTACACTTTTTTCATCATTAATGTCTTATATAAAATACCTAAAACGTGGCAACTCTTTGTAGGAGTTATAGCTATTTCTTTCTAACTTACAAACATAAAAAAGACAAACAGATGCATACATTTTTATGTATATATGTACATGTGTTAGACTTTAGTTATCCATGTCGCGTTGACGCGTTTAATGGCGTTTTTACCTTAGTACCGTAACACACCCACAATATACTAATAAAAATATGTGTAAATCTCCAAAATATAATACACATTTTCATTTAATTTGTATTTTTACCTATTTTAAAACGCACTTGCGCCGATACGTTGCTCTCGCTCACTCTTTTTCTGCGAATCTGTGTGACCATAAGCGGTCAATTCAAAAATACTCAAACAAGTATAGAAATAAAATAAGGAACGTAAAACAAAAATACTAATTGTAGTATTTTTGAAATAACTATAACTTCAACAAAGTGTTGCCACGTTTTAATTATTGTCATTTTATATAAGACTATAATTTATATAATAATAATAATCGTATGAAAATTCCATTAGAAATATCAAGTGTTCCTTCAGAGATATTTAAAAAGGCTTCAATTTATTTTTGCCCTATATACCAAGAATTGGAAAGTTGGACTCGAATAAAACTTCTGCTGCCAAGTTGGAAGAAAGATGATAGCAATGGAGCGTCGTTCGGTTTTTAGAAGTGTCAGGGACCTTTTCAAGGGCTCCTAGCGTTTTCCGCGGTTAAATATGTGAGCTGGCCAAAAAGAAACGTAAGTGGTATTACTTTTGGCTTAGCTGTTTACTGATATTGTCTGCTTCCTTACCAGAGATTGCGTGGAGTACTTGGAGCTGCAGCAATGTAGCAAGGCCTCGCCAAAAAGAACAAGGGATTGCAGCCGCCGGTTTCGGAATTGATGATATTAAATGTAATGAAATCAAGATTATTCATTATTATTATTATTATTATTATTATTATTACAAGATTATTCACCAATTGGTCAATTATCATCAATTGCCGTTGTTATATCCTATTTTAAATGCGACTCATTTGAAAACAATTTTGTGAAGTACAGCTAATTAAAATATATTGGATTGCCAAATCCCTTTCTCAAATTATAATTTTTAATTATATTTAAATTGTTCCATGGCCTAACTAACGAGATAAATTCATCAATTTCTAAAAAACTGTTTGTTCTGACTGACTGACTGACTGACTGACAACGCGCACTTTTCGCAGAATACAAGCGAAATGCGATATATACATTTTTGGCGAAGTTTTAAGTCTTCATAAATGTATACATATATTTATTTATTTATTTATTAGTGGTCGACAAAACGAGTGTCTTCCTAATTATTCAATACATTTTATTTACAATTATGAAATTTAGATGCTAAAAGCCTAGATAGAGAACACAAATTTCAAATAGCATCACCGACCGATGGAGGTGTTTTATTTGCCAGTCCGGCCAGCTGTGCCCCTTTTCACAGCTAATTTTGTCAGTGACGCTATTAGAGCCTACATCTAAGAAGAAGGGTGTAAGTAGGAAAAAGTGTTCTTAAGTAAAATTAAAAATAATCTTAATTTGCTATATTATTTAAGAATATATCATAAATAGGAGAAAAGAAAGTAAAAAGATTGTTAATAAAGTAAAGAACTGTATGCTAGATATACAGAGTGTTAAGTAGATAGGATAAAGAGATAGTATTGGGAAAGTAATGGGAAATCACCGACCCGGTGGGGGAAAATTTACAGCCTGTCCGGCAAGCTATGCCCCTGCTCATAGCTGGGAATGGTCAGTGACTTCCCGAAGGTATCCTGAAAGCAACGATTTTATTAGGGGTAGAGAAAGTTCGGTAGAGAAAACGTGATGCAAACTATTGTAATTTTTACATAGCACGCGAAAAGGATTGTGCATAGCGTAGTCTGTTGTGCACGTAGATAGGAATAAGGGGCGGTAATTTCTGGTTGGTCTAGCCGGAACAGAGAATTGAAGACGCCCTAGCAGAAAAGGAGAATCTATATCGCCAACAACCAACTTATGTAGAAAGACAACACCGAGAATTGTCCTACGGTTGGTTAACGACGGAAGGTTAAGAAGAAGCAGCCTGCTGGAATAGGATGGCAACCGAAGATTAGGGTCCCAATTTAAACCTCGTAAGGCAAAAAGCAGAAATTGCTTCTGAACAGATTCAATACGATCCTGGCTATTGTTATACTGCGGAGACCAGATGCAAGAGCAGTATTCAAGGATAGGGCGAACAAGAGAGATGTACAGAAGTTTCGTTATAAAAGGATCGTTAAACTCTTTAGACCATCGTTTAATGAATCCAAGTACACCTTTTGCCTCATTAACGATGATATCTATGTGAAGATTGAAACAGAGTTTAGAATCAAAAAGAACGCCTAAATTCTTAACTGTTAGTATACGTTGCAATGGAGTATTGTCGATTGTATAACTGACCAGATAAGGTGTAGTACGATTAAATGTCATAAACATACACTTTGAACAATTCAGATGCAATTGATTGGCCGAGCACCAAAGTTGCATAGCGTTCAAATCGTCTTGAAGACGAGAATGATGTAGGGGATTGGTGTATGATAGAATAAGTTTCACGTCGTCCGCATACATGAGTACACGGGCATGGGATATAACAGAGGGAAGATCATTTATAAAAAGAGTAAAGAGTAAAGGTCCAAGATGACTACCTTGAGGAACACCAGAAGTAACGTGAACCTGTTTAGAGGTAGTCAGCCTCAGCATTACTCTTTGGGTCCTACCTTTTAAATAAGAACTAATCCAAAGCAATAGAGACGGAGGGAAACCTATTCGGTCAAGTTTAAAAAGTAAAATGTCATGGTGCACGGAGTCAAACGCCTTACTGAAGTCAGTGTAAATGACATCAGTTTGCATTTTCGAAAGGAAAGCATCATTTACCAAGGAAGTAAACTCAAGCAGATTGGTCGTAGTAGACCGATTCTTTACGAATCCATGTTGAACAGGGGAAACAACTGATTTGCAGAAATGCTGCAAATTCGAAGTGATTATTTTTTCAAATAATTTAGGAATAGCGGACAGTTTTGCAATGCCCCTGTAATTTAGTATATCAGACTTTCCACCTTTCTTGTGGAGAGGAATGATATAAGATTCTTTCCAAAGAGATGGAAAGACAGAAGAATCGAGGGATAGATTAAAAAGCTTTAGCAATGGATAAACAAGGGAAGAACTACACTCCTTGAGTAGACAACTAGGGATATTGTCAGGCCCAGGAGAGAAAGAAGATTTTAAAGAATTTAAAGCTTAAAGGAGAGAGGAATGGGAAATAATAGGGGGAAGTATAGAACTAGAGGAAGTAATAGTATAAGGGTAAGAATTATTATTAGAACAGACTGAAGAGTAAGTTGATTGAAAAAAATTAGCAAAGAGGTTAGCAGAATCAGAGTCATTGCTAGCTTTATCCATCCCGAGAGAAAAAGAAGATGGCAAACTTGAAGATTTTCGCTTCGAGTTTACAAAATTGTAAAACTGTCTTGGATTTAGGGAAAATTGCCTTTTGCAACGAGTTAGATAATTCTCATAGCATTGAGAATTCAGAAGAAAGAAGTTCGACTTGGCTATGGAATATTTAGCCAAGTCAGTACACGAACCAGACATTTTAAACTTTTTAAAATATTTTGATTTTATATTTTTTAGATTCGTTAATCTGGGAGTAAACCAAGGTGGCTTTGAAGAGGTAGTCGAAGGTATTGACTTGGGAATACACATATCTAAGAGGGAGTTTAGGGTGTTATAAAAAAAGTTAATAGCAGTATTCATGTCAACCGAGTCATATAAGAAAGACCAATCGGTTGCATAAATAAGCTGATTCAGCAAGGAATAGTTTCCTTTGCGAAAGCAACGGCGGGGCTTATTGGCTGATGAGCACGAAATGAGAGGATTACAATTGAATATTGCAACCTCTAAAGTAGGATGATATACATCCTCAGGAAGAGATAAAGGAGGGGACCTAGATACATTAGAAATAAGGTAGTCGTTAACAAATACAAGATCAAGTGTTCTATTCAAATGATTAGAAATTGAATTGATTTGAAACAACGAAAGGTCAAGCATGCAATCTATAAAGTCATGCTGTGCTGAGGGCACTAAATAATTTTCGGCAGTGAAAAGTGACCAAGAGATGTTCGGCAAATTAAAATCACCCAACACAATTAATAGGTCATTATCACGCACGTGTGAAGAAACTTCTTTAATACAAGAAATATGTTTCATATAAACTTGAATATCAGAAGAAATATATATAGTTATATTTATTATATATATATATATATATATATATATGCCTGCTTGTATATATGTATATGTATGCATTATTGTTTTGTGTATATGCAAATATACATGCATGCGTAGATGTATGAATAAATTTCCGGATACCTACATACATGCACACAAACATACATACATACTCAATATAGATGAATTTTTGTATACATAAATAAATGCATGCATACATATATGTTTGCGTGCCTGTCTGCATATTTATGTGTGCATGTTTGTACATATATGTATGCATGTTTGTTTGTAAATATACAAACATGCACACATACATACATTTGTTCAAACATATATGTACATACACACATACATAGGTATATACATATACACATATGTACGTACAAAACGTCCATATATACATACATATCTACCTACCCCTCCACCTCCTCCTGCTCCACCGCCTCCTCCACAGGCCGTTGAAACCAACGTTTCCTGCCTTGTTACATTTCAGCGACCTACTTGAATTCTTGAGAATCGAGGAGGAGACCACTTGGTAGAAACTCGTTATATTTAAATTGGCAGCACAGCGATAAATAAGCTTGGTCTGCGTTTGGTATTAGAAAACAAACATGCAGGCATACATATAGACATTATTGAAACATACATGCATTCATACACTAACACACACACACACACACACACACACACATATATTTAATACCTATATCCCTGCGTATAATATACTTGTTTATGATTCTGGGTCTTATACGTTCTGATATCCTTGCATTCATACATACGGATACACGGACAGACAGACGGCATTTGATTATGTCTGACAGAAGGGCCTTTTCTTCAAGTTGCAGTCCCATCTCATCATCAGGAAGCACGTTTGGCATATCTTTCAAAATCTCTGAGCATCAAAGTTTCAAAACTCTGCAAGGAGTGTGGTCCATTGGATTAACTACCACTGGCTACATACAATCCCTACAATTCCTGTGAGCTGCCTCATCGGTTGCTGGGCAAACTTGGCTGGGCAGCGGATTGGAACAATTCATATCTGCCAAATCTGATACATGCCTGGGACTGCGCTTTATTGAAGGGACGGACGATCGTGTACAATTGCGTCGCCCGTGGACCGAAGGCGTGCCCATATCCCAGGCTGTGGTCTTGCTGAGCATTCTGAAGATCATTTAAGAAGAGGCTAGCAATGTTGACGTCGATTCAAAAAGTTGATTACGATCTGAAAGAAATGCATATTAATTTGCTGCTAGTGTGTATCATAGAAATGGATACCTACTGCTGAAAATGCATTAGATGACGCAGTGAGTCCGCCACAGAGACCTCAGTAATACGCTGATGTGGTGGATTATATGCCACCCAGCCGTTCCACGCTGGGAGTAGCGGAGGGGCTTAGACGAGTAGCTCCTCGCTGGACCAGATGAGTGCCTTGTCTAGTGCCTTGTCCTGTCTTCACGGGGACGTGGATGTTACGGGCGGGCAAATTAAGCTACCGATAATTTAGTATAGCGTATATTCTAAAAAGTGTGGAGTTTTTACCCCTTGGAAGAGATTTCTGTGTGTCATCCCAGTTACTTTATTTCAAATTTCTTGAAATTGATCTTTAGTGTTCTGTTTTATTGAATTTTCGGTTCAAGTTTTGTGAACAATATAAAATGAATGGTGCTACAAATAAATTACATGGGTATGCAATGTATATAAATAATACTTGTTAAAGTCCAAAATCTCAAGATATAATCAACCTACGATAAATGCAATGCTTTCGCTATTTAATATAAGTACCTAGGTATATAATGTTATATATAGAGGGCAGTTTTCCACTCTGGGACCAAGAGATATTATTTAAAATTAATTATGTACTCGCGTATGTGATGTTGAATAAAACATTTGTCGGTTATAAAATATACTATATATATATGTGCAAAATTATTTGATAAATTGTGACCGATAGACATAATGTATGTACATGTGTGTATATGCGCGAATGCGAATGTATACAATTGTTGATGTTTAAACGAAATTAAATTGATTTCAGCCTCAAGTTTTAAAAGGCATATGCGTCTGTCTGTCTGTCTGTCTGTCTGTATATTTCTATTTGTATGTGTATATACATTTAACACATTTTGTAGTGACATTTGATTTAGTAAATTATAACATTAATTTTGTCCAAACGTTGCATATACATATACACATATACATATACAAAATAATAATAATATTTCCATCTGCTTAATAAAGTAAATGTAAATGCAAAAGCGCAAGTAAAAGACAAATTCTTGAGTATACTAATTACAAGTGAAAAGTGAAGCTAACCTGATATTCTCTCACTTATATAAAATATAAATAAGTATAAAATTGCTTTAGCAGAGGCCTGCATGTCTATTCTTGTGTATATATATATATATATATATATATATATATATATATATTTTACTTACAGTTAATAAACTACAAAATGTACCTTATATTACGTAAATTGTATTTTCTTGTGTCTCTCGTTCACTTTGTATGGTAAAATAACTTTAAGGTTTGTCTGTATGTCTGAATTATTATTGCTGCGTTCATGCTATGCTCTTGTTTTTTCCTAATTTCGTTTTGTCAAACAGTTTGATAAATGCGTGCATAAACATTATTCTATATTTGAATTTATCGTAATACATAAGCTACTTTATTTCGTTTTCAAACAAGTCGATTCGACTTTGATTTCGACTTGATTTCGCGGATTTCGCAACATATAGCACAAACGTAATTTATACATTATCTTATAGATATATCTTAAAAAATATATACTGCTTATATTATTGTATCCAGCTGCCGCGCTTGGTGTAAAATCTTCTTTTGATGTCCAACTAAAGTTATACCCATATCCGATAGCAGTTGCGCTGTTAATCTTGAGATCTATAATTAGACAAAGTTAATTTACAAGTTACATTTTAGCAATGGTTTTGGGTAAAACATACCTGTTGAGCACTCACTAAATTAGCCTCTCTAAAGTGTTGACTGTATCTTGACATTTTAATATTTTCTAGCCAAAGATCAGTACTAATAAAAATGTTATGACCTCGTTGTGTGTCCAAAATATGTGTACTATCATTTTCTGGTGAATTTCGGGTCGTTAACAGCGATTGCGGCTGCCTGGCCAAATTATCCAGTGTCGAGACAATACTGGCAAACGATGGCCGATGCGTCCTCTGCTTCTGCCAGCAATCCAACATTAGCTGATACAGGGCCTCCGGGCAATCCATCGGGGCCGGCAGCCGATAGCCCTTCTCAATACTCTTTATAACATCCTATCCAATGCAATATTTAAATATATATTATTTTTCATTATCACACCGCAAATACCGAGTTCACATACCTGATTTGACCAGTTCCAATAAGGACGCTCTCCATATGACATAACCTCCCATAAAACGACACCATAAGACCAAACGTCGGATGCTGAAGTGAATTTACGAAAAGCTATTGCTTCCGGCGCTGTCCAGCGAACTGGAATTTTGCCCCCCTGCAAGAGACAGAGTCGCAATTGAAACAGAAATTAGTTACAGCATAGCATTCGTGGAATTCAAATACACCTTCTTAGCCAATAGAAACCCGGAAGTTGGGCTCTATGAGGATCAGAGGATAATGATACTGGTAGTGGGATGTTGAAAGTACATGGCTTATATAGTAAGAAAGTAAGAAAGTGACTATAAATCGAGACTAGTTTGCTGACGGACAAAACGAACAGACGGACATGGGTATATCGATTCGGGTTCTCATATTGTTCCAGAATATGTATATACTCTATGGGCTCAAAGAAATTGTTTCACTTTTCAACACAAAACTATAATACCGTCTAGATGGGTGTAAAAAGTAGGTTTCAAATTAGTTTGAATGAATATTGAAGAACACACACACACACATATTTAAAATGTACTCACCCGAGTCGTGTAGGCGTCGCTGGCATTTTCGATTTCGCGCGACAAACCAAAATCGGCAATTTTGCAAATCAATTGGGCATTTACGAGCACATTTCGAGCTGCCAAATCGCGATGAACATAGTTCATATCACTCAGATATGACATTCCGCTGGCAATGCCACGCAGCATCACAATAAGCTGTAGCGTTTGAAATTTTCCATCGTTGACGCGCAAAAATGTATCCAGGCTGCCGTTTTCCATATATTCGGTTATAATCATGACTGGATTGGAGCGCGTAACCACACCTTGAAGGTAAATAACGTTGGGATGATCGAATTGTCCCATTATCGAAGCCTCCGTTAGGAAATCACATCGAGCTTTCTCTGAAGACCCTGCGAAAGATGAAATGTTATAGAAATATTCTTAGATAGATCGACTCAGCTCGTCGCCCTGATAAAGAATATATATGTTATATATACTTTACGGGGTCAGAGAAGGCTCCTTCTGCCACATGACATACATTTGAACAAATGGCCTTCACCTTGTTTTGAAAGTTATGCAAAATTATAATCGTACCTGGTTTCAAAGTCTTGATAGCTACGTCAATGTCCTGGACAAAGTTTGGCGGAATTTTCAGTCGACCGCGACACACATCACCGAATTCTCCACCACCTTTAAAAAACAAAAAGAAGAAAGTTTAAAATAAAATTTGTATCGAAATGAAATGAAACGTATTATTTACCAATTATTGCCTCGATGGTAATATAATTAGCATCAATTTCACGAGCAAATTCCCTTATTGCCTGGTTGGGATCCTCATAGGTATGAGGATCCACGTAGCTGCGGCTGCTCCCAAATAATGGAGTTGTCACTGGAAAGCAAAATACGGGCAATGTTTGAATTAAGCACAAAAGTCTGCATACGTATGACAAGCAACGTGAGTAGTATATAACATATAAATAAAAACATTCCTTAAAAATAACAATAACAATGTTTGAATGTAAATCGATTTTGGTTTCGATTTAAGTTTAATAATATATATCAATTATAACGTTTGTTTGCTTGCGTAAACCCACACACCATAAAATCATAAAATGAGAACGAAAATAATAATAAATTATATACCATTCGAATGTAGAGTCTTGACAATTGGAGTTGTATCCATGGCATTTACTAAAAGTAAAGATAAAAACACATTGATCACAAGTTAAACAAACAAATATTTTTAAATAACAATAACAAAAGCAAAAACGAAATTTGATAGCCTCCGTCTGACTTTAAAAAGAGTTCTACATCATCTGGCAAAGAGTAAATAAATGATTTCAATTGATTTAAACGCATTTGGCTAATAAATGAAGTAAACTAATTTAGGAATGTCCATATTTTCCCATGTATGTATGTACAAAATTGATATATGTTTGTATAATCTAAAATTGTATAAATTGTATATACGTTGAGGTATAAAAAGTTAAACAAAAACTTACTATATGTCACAACGAGTCCTTAAAATGAGATCGGGGTTTGGTAATATTATGGATAGGGATATAAACAATTAGCATGTGATTATTGTATTCATTTTATTTTTGCAACAACTTACAAGAAATAATCAAATTGGATTCATTCCCTTTCATTATTTCAATTAATTTTTGTATTCAACAAAGTAATAATCAAATAAAAACTATCATGTTTGATAATTAATTAATGGCATTTAGAAGGAATTACCAGTTTTGCGCCAACTTTAGTTATGACATATACATTTTTAATTGATTTATTACACTATGCATCACAACAATTGCTTTGTTAACGTGTGTTGAAATCGATATTGTTATAGATATATAATATGTAAGAACAATTAGTTATTAAATGGGGCTGTAAAAATAAGTTTAAAGTCGATCGGACCAAATCTTTGATCCACATTTTCCACCGAGGAAGCTTGGATTCTGCGTAAAGTGTAAAACACGTCTCAACAGATTTTATAAGGATCCTTGCAATTTAATTTGGAGTACGAAACGTTACCAAGCACATCTTTGACCCTAATTCCTCGCTGGGAGGAATGGATTTTCCACACCTCAATTGAATTTGAACAAAGCTGAGTTTATTAGTTTTACTTGTATTAAGATAAAGTGTCATTGCCTCAGTTAGTTTTAGTTAATTTGAACCAGTTTTCAACTCCAACTAAATAACAAACTGAAGATTGTGCCATCAGTTTAGACGTTCTCTTAGTTGTTTTAGTAATTAGTTACTAGAGAGTCCTAATTTACCCTTCTATCTTGAATTTTACTCAGTGAAATCCATTTTCCATAATCGGAATGGATTCTATAAAATTAGCGATACCCGTATTGAGTCCTTTATAATATAGAGCTTTCCAAAAACAGGTTTGAAGCCGTTAATGGTAAACAAAAAATTAGATACATAATCGTTTTCCACCAATTTTCCATGGTTGCGGGTGAAAATTACAAAACTCCGTCTTACATTAAAAAACGTATCTATCGAGCAATTTTTTTTCTATTTTCAATGGGTGGAGTGCATAATAAGGTAAATCTCTTCCTTTGGACTATACCTTTGCGATGATTTATAGATTAAGAGCCGTGTTGTCCTATTAAAGTGTATAGATAGAATGTTTAAAATTACCTTCATTACTAGCGTAATCCATTGGCAATGGTAGATGATTAGTGGACTTTTTATCGAGCTCGTCTTGATGTTTCGATCTCATGAAGTATACAGTTGCAACGATAAAGATCACAAGGAAGAATACGCCCGTCACAATGGCTCCAGCAATGAATCGTATTTGCATTGAATCCTCATAAACTTTTGGTTGGGCATCAACCATTTGAAAAGTCAGGCATTAATGTGTGCAAAAAATTAAATAATTAAAAAGATTTACCTGAACCGACAGATTGATGAGTCTGGGCATAGACCATATTGCTGTAAGAACCAAATCCGTTGATTGTTTTGCAGCGCACTTGAAAGCCGTATTCCGTATTTTCCATTAGATTATTGATGTGAGCTTTAGTTTCCTTTGTGTTTAATGTTGTTTTATTGATAGCTTCCAATTCGGACTTGGGAAACCAGCGCACCTCATACAGTTCAACGGGAGTATCAGTTTGACCAGGCTTATCCCAAATTAGGTCGGCGTCTTTGTTAGTTATAGCTACGACTCTTAAATTGAACACAGTTGATAGCATAACTGACTCTGTGGTAAACACAATTTCGGCATGATTTGTTTTGATTTCGCTAAGATCTAGTTGATAGCTGTTGCTGTTTGAGAAACTAGAATTATTGCTAAACGGCATTTCGCTATTTAAATACGTTTCGTTCGCATAAGTCCCGCTCTCTACTAGATGCGAGACACCATTTGTTGCATGAATTTGTACTGTATAAGTGGTCACTGGATCAAGATTAGTGAGCGTTATTTTCGTCTCATTGAACGTGTCAGTTGATGGATTAAACATAACATTTGCGTTGCACATACTGCAACGAATTTTATAAACGACATCAGTGCGATAGTTTTCTACACCATTTGTTAGCAGCAAATCTTCTTTTGCGGGCGCTGTCCATGATATTATTGCGCTTGTTTGGTCAACAAATAAAAGTGTGAGATTCATGGGTGCTCCAGGCGGCCTATAACATGGCATATGTCTTCCGTCTGCCGGATGCCTATAGTACCCCGGCATGCACTTGCACATTGGTGATCCGGTTTTCGAACTATTTGAATTGGGCGGGCATGCAACGCATTTACGTACTTCTGCCGATCTGAATGTGCCAGCCGAACACTCTGAAATATATGATGATACATGCCTTAGTTTATTTGCATTCCATGCAGAGGATAAAGAGAATACTGACCTGTACAAGTGTTATTAACATCGTTTGGCTCATAGCCGGCCTTGCAACGGCAACCGCCAGTAAGAATAGTCCATTTTCCATCCCCTTTGCATAGGTAGGTTGGTGGCTCATAGGACTCGGCGTTCTCAACACATGTGCCATTTTGTTTCTCAATAATAGTTATCTCCCGGCCGGTGGGCGTCTCGTTAAAATGGGCAAAGTTCTCGGTAACAGCAGGACACGTTATATAGTAAACTTTAACCGCGAGCACACTTATGCAAGCGCCTTGATCGCGGAACGCAAAGTAGACACCCTTTTTGCTAACCGCGATACTCTTTACTTCGGTATTTATATCCACATCGGAATTTTGATTGAAGCGTCCCTCACCAGCCGCAATTCTAGCGATTAGCTTGTAACTGTCCGTTTGCCATGGCGGTGGCTCTCGCGTTGCAGCATCAAATTCGTAGAATAACAAACTGAACGTTTCCTTGCAGGACAAGGCATTTCCTATCAATTAAATATTGTTAAGAGACAACTGAAAATATTACAAATTCTCGTTACCTGGAAACAGCGAACAGTCTCGAATCGTAAATTGTATTTCTATATACAGCCGGTTGGCAGGGCCACGGTCAATAAATGGTGACCAAAGCCAGTTGTTAACATTGTGATAGGCAACGTCACACACCACATAACTCCGCCAGTTAATGCCTTTTACAAAATCTGTAAATGATTCCTCTACCCACTAAATCAAAAGAACAGCATAAAAATACGATTAATATATTCTTCGTTTTCATCTTCTCAATTTTAAATAACAAATTTGAAACGTCTTTTTCGAATCGCATAAATTATAATTGACGTATTGTGCTTTACACCAACTCAAAAATGAATCTTTTCCATGAATATAGTTCTATGAAAGAATGCCCGAAAGATGATTTGGTTCACAATAAAGATTAAATAACTTGGAGCCAAGCCAATTAATTTATTTCACCATATTTGATAAATTCCTAAAAATTGTAGAATGTTTGAACCAAAAAATTGAATCATGGATATGGAAAGCACTCTCGGAAATATCATAAACGATATGAACCCCTGATCTTAACCAATTTGGGACATATTCATTCGAACAGACACACGGATGGCAAGGCGATAATCCAATTGTGCAAATACATATATTATGCAGAAAAAGAAACACCCCCGACCCAAAAAAAGTAAATACTATTCCGTATCATGACGACGCAAATCTAGAGTCGGTAGCAAAGTGTGCTGATAATATAACCGAGATGTTCTCGAAAGAGCATAATATCAAAGACAACTCTTACAACTTAAAGAGCCTAAAATAAAAGGGCTGCTGATTTTCTTTAAATATTTTGTGTACTGAGGTTTTAGTCGGTACAAAAATCCGTATCAAAAGGGGTTTTTTTTTCAACTTATTATACGTTAAATACATTAATTATTGGTGTTATTTCATAAGGTTTAAACCTTTGTTCTATATAAGATAAATATTTGTTTTATAAAAAAAAAATGGTTGCCTGTCACTTAACAAATAATCTTTCAATACATATATACTTTCAATATATTTTAGAATAAACTTTTTGAACTATTATTTAAATTTATTTTGTAAATATTTCGCTCTGGCTTAAAAGACACCAATTTTCTATCGAACACCTCAGTAGGGAAGATATTGAAGTGTTTGACGTAAAAAATCATACAACATTTTTTTTCGAAAGATCAAGTCTGTGCGGTGTATAACAAGACACATAAAGACATATAGCAATTGCATCTGAGGTAATATATATTTCATATAAAGCACGCAAATCATCAAATAACGCAAAAGTTGATCGTAAGTACAAAGTTTTTCACTCGACTGGCGTGGTGTTTGAAGAGCGAAAAGCCACACTAAATATCTTGAAGAGCGAAAAGCCACACTAAATATCTTAAAGAGCGAAAGCCCACACTAAATATCTTGAAGAGCGAAAAGCCACATTGAATATCTTGAAGAGTGAAAAGCCTCACTGAATATCTTGCATCATATTTAAATGTATGGGCCTTACTCAGCTTAGTATTTATATTGTTTGAAGAGCGAAAAGCCATATTGAATATCTTGAAGAGCGAAAAGCCACACAAAATATCTTGAAGAGCGAAAAGCCACATTGAATATCTTGAAGAGCGAAAAGCCTCACTGAATATCTTGCATCATATTTAAATGTATGGGCCTTACTCAGCTTAGTATTTACATTGCCTTTGATTATAACTTTGAGCTGGAGAAAGCTGTCTTCAAATAAGCATTTATATAAACCTTATGCAATCGGATATGCATCCCGTCTTTCTGTTGCGATGTTTGATTTAACGTCTACAGCACTGTTAGCCGTTAAACAATTTGTTTGAGAGGATACAAAAATTTATATACATACGCCTGGAGTTTGGGCCTGCGGACCGTATGGGTATCTTGTCCATTCCAGAGTAGCCTCCCTTGTTGTGTCCAACAAAACAACTGCAAATAAGAAAACAAGAAAAATAATGCAATACAGATTTGAAATAGACAATGATTGTTCGATTGATTTAGTTACCTTGATCAGCGTTGGCAATATTTAAATGATTTGCAATGCATATTATCCATATCAACTGAAAAATTGACAATTTACTGAGCTGTCGAGACTCACGAATATTGCACTGCATCGGCATCTGAGACTGTTTTATCTGCACTGGAAATTGTGTGCAAGCGAGTTGATTTTTGGAAAAATCAGTATCATGACAATTGTTTTTGATTTCGATTAGTCGGAAGCTGCGGTGCTTTGATTGCATTTCTTATTTATGAAATGCACTTTGTTTTGTATCCTTCAAATTGATTCGCCTCGTCAGGAATGTGCAAACGTATCCAAGTTATGAAATTTTGTTAGTCTGCTTTCGACGCAACGATTTCAATGAATGCATCTCGATCGTCTTTCAATAATATTTGCATATTATGCAAGTGCGTGCTGTTGATTACAAAATAATATGAATATGAATATATTTAGAAATTTAATTGATTCAGCTATATATTGGGTTGTATTGACTGTGTTGTTCGATATAAAGACTAAAACGAATCGCGAGCAGAAGTCACTCTTCGGCTGAGCCTCTATGGGAAATGATCCAACCTTTTTATTATGCTCATAATGCTTTGATCGTATCTAAGAAGCACAGGGAAAATACCTAATGCCGAGTATGGTTAAGATATATTGAGAAACAATAAGTTTTTCATACAACTTAATTTTCGACCGATCATTCCTATAGCAGCTATATGATATAGTTGTCCGATGTTGATATGATTTTCTATATATATGAGGATTATAGTTAAATTAATAAATGCCGAGTTTGATCAAGATATCTTGATAAACAAAAAAGTTTTCCATACAAGAACCAACTTTTCGACCGTTCGTTCCTATGGCAGCTATATGATATAGTGGTCCGATGTATATAAGATTGTTCCTATGACAGCTATATGATATAGTGGTTCGATGTTGATAGGATTTTCTATATATATGAGGCTTATACTTAAACTAATAAATGCCGAGTTTGATGAAGATATCTTGATAAACAAAAAAGTTTTCCATACAATAACCTACTTTTCGATCGATCCTATGGCAGCTATATGACATATATACGACATATGTGCTGCGTGCAACAAAAAGAGCGACTTATGCAAAGTTTAATGACGATAGCTTTAAAACTGAGAGACTAGTTCGCTTAGAAACAGACAGACGAACATGGCTATATCGCCACGGTTCTTGATCAAGAATATATACACTTTATGCGGTCGGAGATGTCTCCTCCTATGCGTTGCATATTTCGAGAAAAAATTATAATACCTTCTGCAAGGGTATAATGATATATGATTAATATAAAACATTCATTATGTCCGGGATTGTTTACAATTAGTTCGTCCAAAATTTTCTGAGTAGACCCAAACACTTTTATCCGCTTTCTTTGCTGGGAAGATGTATTAAACCTTAATGGGTATATTCATTGTGAGCGAAGATATCCTTTCATAAAATTAGTTTTCTTTTAATATTGGCTACATACCATTGAAGTCTTACATATATGAAAACGAATATACACACATGAACATTTGTGTGTATGTATGAGCGCATGTAAAATTATATACGACTTATTCCCACTTTGTCGCTAGTTGTACTTGCAATTTTCGGAGGTTCAAAATTGACTTCTATTTCCAATATGTGTTAAAATTATCATGAACAAAATAGTTCTTGAGTTTTATTTTGAAATTTTGTAAACTAAAAATTCACACGCGACACACACACATTTTTCTAAATGTATATGTAAATAAATACATACGTATGGTGTGTATGTGTATATGGACTCATTCACTATTTCAGCCCGATGGCAGGTTTATTTATATATGAAGTTTACTTGAATAAAAGTACCACATATTTTAGATTTATCACATAAAACGGCTTTTTTTTTTGCAGTTATTCTGTTATATTTGTTTTTGCCTTTGCTGATGCATATATGTATATGTACATATAAATCTCTAAAAAAAAGCGACAGTGTTGCCACACTGGACACTTTTTAACGTTGTTGAGTGGACAGCTTTCTTGTGTTTTCCAACATTACAAAATTCCGCATGCAAACAATAGCTCGTTGCTATGAACACCATTCTATCGATCAGTACTTAATCGACCATTCTTCCTTAATCGTGATAATAATGCTTTGAACCATCAATTTAAATAAGATCAACATCTTGCAAATATATATATATATATATATATATATGTACATATGTTCTTTGGTTAGTGGTACTACGCAGTCACGGTCCTATCACTCATGGTCAGTCCGACCAAAAATCGAAAGCTATCGAAGCTTGATCTTGAGACCTAATATTTTATCTCAGGAATAATGGCTCTCAATGCACGCTATACCATTTTGTAGATACATGTCTTAAGAAGATTTAGGCAATAATTTTAAACAGTTCCATCTGACAATCGGACAGTTTTTAAAAAAATTATTTAATTGTTAACCAACCTCAAGTAGTTCTTCAAAAGGTCTATCGAAATATTAGTACCTTCGGGAACTAAACCACATACATTCAGTGTTGAACAATTTAATAGAGTAATGGGCGGGAACCATGCAATTCGGATTTAATGAGGAGACTCATAAATAATTAACTTAATTAGACAAAATCAAATTTCTTGAGATGTAACAGGCCAACGTCAACCGAGTAGTTTTTAAAAATCAAAGCAGTAGTTCAGTTTCCGATTTGCGGTTTTTAGGCTTTTATCCCTGATATACAAAATTTAATGAATGTAAACACCTAATTTCCTAACCCAAAAACATTAAATAATTTAATTTTGTTACAATTATGCATTTAAATTTATTTGGGTGTGTGTTTAAAAACGTTTATATATGTAATTATAAGTTAGTGATTCCGGCTCCGGAACCAAGTTCCAAAAATCGGCTCTAGCTCACCGTCGCTAATTTGACGCACGCCAATTCGTTGTACATTAACTTTAACGCGCGTCTCTTGTTTTTTGGACGTGGCCATAGACGCGACCATAGTATAATTGAAAAAATAAATATTTAAAAATAATAGTCAATATATTAAACATTTTATTAAACTTTTCAACAGTTTTATTATGTTGAATGCAGATATAAGTACAAGCTGGCCCTTTCAATTTGAAAAAATTTAATTACCGATTCCAAAGTTCGTTCACTTTGCAATTATAGTGTGACCAAATATCGCTTTGTCGAATATGCAGAAAAGCATCTACGCGGACTTGAAAAATCAATATAATTCACATTACATTATTTTTGCAAATTGTTAGTTCGTTTATAAACTAAATTCGAAGTCGGAGTAAAATTTCACTCAAAAGGTGTAAAACGTTTATTAAAATTGTGAGTTTAATACAACAGTTTAAGCCGTGATTTGTGTAAGTCGTTACGCATGTTCAAACATAAATCATATGTAAAATTTATATAAAAAAAACATATTTATATACTTTGTATATATACATATGCATATATATAATGTCAATATATAATATACATTTATATACCTAACAGATTGCGGACTTAGAAGTGCTGAGCACGACATGCATGACGAGTGTACATACATACATATATTTACATATATGTATGTATGTTTGTATGTATCTGTATTCACATTCATATATTAGTTTCAAGTTTAGTAAAAAAAATCGATCGTACTTTACGCAAGACTTCACCTCTTAACATTAATACACACAGATTTGTAAACTATTATAATGCGTGTTGCTCCAATCACGCTGTTTACTTAAAACATACAAACGTAAACAAAAATTAGACTACATTAAAATATCTGTATGTATATGCGCGCATATGTACGCATAAACATTTGTGTATTATGTTTAGGAGCAAAGATTACAATTTTTGTTAAATATTAATATTGAAAATTTCATAAGAAATGAAATTAAACATTCAAAAAATTCCTTTTTGCGGTTAACACATACAAAAACAGTATGCACGATACATACAGACGCTTTTTGAACGCCAGTCTGCTCACATTTCACTCATAACGGAACTGTTAATATACATATGTATATACTAAGTCCGTGCATGTGTGTGTATGTATGTATGTATGTATGTGCATACTATGAACAATGCGAACAATATTAAAGCCTAATCAGCTCCTTTGTCACCTTTGACTCTTAAAAAATAACTGCATATTTATATACTTACTATATACATACATATATACACACAATCAATTTACGTGAGCGAACGTATAAAACAGATTGAGAATAACTAATAAAAATATTTGATTCTTGATAAGACGCTCTAATAATCCCTTTGTCTGAAGGAGCTATAGATGCCTGAGGACAAACATTTTTAGAGGGTATTATATATATATATATATATATATACATATATGTATATCGAATATTGACCAAATTCGGCATTAATTCGTTTCACTAAGCTTCCTACATATAAGAGAAATCATATTTACATCGGGCATTATATCATATCTTCTCGACATCATGTATTTAAATCGTCACGTATTTTACTAGGGTATTTGGTTATCGGCGTGTCAAAGACACATATTGCTTAAAAATGAATTCTTCGGCATCCCCTAGATAATTGTTCTCCCTCGCTTATGCGGCTATATAAATTGTATATAAATTCTTTCAATATTCATGATATTTTGTCGAACGGGTGTATACAAACATCTGGCATACGTCTGCAAATTTGTTTCATTTTCCAAACCTCCAGATCTTTCGTAGTTTAACTAGTCGAGGTGCAGATCCAGTTCACCGCATTCTAAATTGCATTAACACATAAGGGTACTAAAAAAATATATATATATAGGCGGGTACACGCACAAAACCACCCACACAATTAACGAGAAAGAAGTGCTATCTTCGGCACACCGAAGATTTAATACCCTTGCAGACCCAACCTTTTCAAAATGCTCATTATGCTTTGCCCGTATCTAAGAAGCACCGGGAAAATAGCTAATGCCGAGTATAGATATAGCATAACGTTTTTCATGGAAAAAACCTCATTTCCGACCGATTGTTCCTATGGCAGCTATATGATATAGTGGTCCGATGTTTATAGGATTTTGTATATATATGGGTATAGTACTTAAACGAATAAATGCCGAGTTTGGTCAAGATATCTTAATAAACAAAAAAGTTGCTCATACAAGAACCTACTTTTCGACCGACAAAATTGTGATACCCTCTGCAAGGGTATACAAATTCAAATAAGCAAATTGAAAACGAATCCAACCGAGTGTGTAATATTCCCGTTAAAGTGTTGTTAAACCTCTTGCAACAGATTTATTTTGAATATGAGACTTGTGACTCCAACTTTTAAAACTAACTAATTGATTTTCGATTTATGATTTGGGCATGAACACATAGAAAGGAAGTTAGTTAATACAGAAAAATGTGGGCAAACTCTAAAAGTGCCGTTCGTGAGCTTCGATAAGCCTTGCTCTAAGTTAAGATGCATTGGGAAAGAAATCCCTCTAAGAAACTTAATGAAGATTATCTAAATATACGCAAATTTTTTAAAACAAAATCATTTTACGTAGTTTTCGGTGTTAATTGTATGATTTCTGATTGTTTCACACTTAGCGGGAGACGTCTGCTTCCAACTCGGCGAGCTAAATGTACTAATTGTTAAAAAAAATTTCGATGATAATTTGATTTAAACAAATTGAAAGTTATGCCACTGTTTGGCAAAAAAGATTCAGGCAAAAAGCCCAAATCCAAGGATACGAAGGAGCTAAACAAACAGATGTCAATTGAGGAAAAGTACAATCTCCATGGCCTCCTCGGAACGTAAGTGTTTATAAGATTTTAATTTTTATTATATCGATTAATTATTATCTCTATTTAATATAGGGGTGCATTCTCTGAGGTGCGCTTAGCCGAAAGCAAAGATACGCCGGGTGATCATTTTGCGGTTAAAATTATTGATAAAAAAGCTCTGAAGGGCAAAGAGGAATCGTTGGAGAATGAAATACGCGTACTGAGAAGGTGAGTTTAATTATATTCCAAAATATATTAGTTTTAAGCGAATACAACTCGTTTGTCTGGCTGATTTGTCCGCATAATTCATTCCGGGATTAATGGGATTATTTTGTAAGTAAATTATGTAATGAAGGTGCACGTTCCTCCACTCCATATAACTTTTTCGTTTACCATCCGGATCGAACGGCTTCAAACTTATTTTCAAAAAGATCTTGTTTTACAATTTTCGGAATGAACAATACAGGTCAAAGGTCGTATGAAAGGAAAGTCAGTCTATATTGGGATTCAGCTTCTTACAAGCGAAAGACGCTGATTGCAATTCTGGTTCTTAATTCAATGAAACTAACTTATCTTTGTAAATAGTTAACTTGAGAAAATTAATGAATAATTTCCGTTCTATACTACTATAAAATGTTAAGGTCTCTTAAGGATCATTGCCAAACAATTGAATATATTGAGCTTTAGGTCCAGCTAGCTTAGTCACATAATTTAGATCTATTGTTATTGTTTTTAATTTTTTGGTTCATTATATAATAAATATTATATTTCTGCTTATGTTTGCATGCTCAGTAGCGGAGCCCTCAAATCAAATTGGATCAAAAGTATTATGAGTTATGATAACGCGTAACTTATGAAGGGCATAGCACTAAAAAATATGGAGCACTTTAAGGCGCACAATCTTATTGTTTGCATATCAATTTTGTGTTTGTTGTGTTGTTTTCTTTATTTGATTTTTTTTAAAAATTTTCTTCGTTTAATCTACTTTCTTTCTATGTAGGTTTAGTGCAAATCATTTCGATGGCAACAGTCCGAATGGAACGCGGTGAGTTGTGACCCCCCAACAAAAACTTTCCCGTCTTGGAATCAAATGAGATTTAAGTACTATATCTTCAACTAGTCGGCGAAAATAATCTATATTTCGGCCAACTCCATTCGGTGCGAAATTCATTATTTACATTCACATACATAACAAAAGTAGGGTCCAATCAAGCTTATGAGAAATTAGAATTACAATGTAACCCCCTTGTAAAATCTTAAGATGTGTCTTATGCCTATATATATATATTTCGTTTTTTTATGAATTAATTTTCGCCATATTCTATTTACAGGCTTACTCATCCGAATATAGTGCAACTACTTGAAACATACGAAGACAAGGCTAAGGTTTATCTGGTCATGGAATTGTATGATTTGTTGCACTTGTAGCTTGTAGGCTTTCGTATTATTAACAGAATTATTAATCCATATATATAGAGTGACAGGTGGAGAATTGTTCGATCGCATTGTTGAGAAGGGATCCTACACAGAGAAGGATGCATCTCACTTAATTAGACAAATCTTAGAGGCTGTAGACTATATGCATGAGCAGGGAGTAGTACATAGGGATCTCAAGGTAAATAACATGTCTTAATTCTTGATACAAATAAATTCGAATTATGTATTCATTGAATGCAGCCCGAAAACTTACTATACTATAGTCCAGATGATGACAGTAAAATCATGATAAGCGATTTTGGCTTATCGAAAATGGAAGATTCTGGTATCATGGCAACTGCATGCGGAACTCCAGGATATGTTGCGCCGGAGGTGCTGGCCCAGAAGCCGTATGGCAAGGCCGTTGATGTTTGGAGCATAGGCGTTATATCCTATATTCTACTTTGTGGATATCCTCCATTTTACGATGAAAACGACGCCAATTTATTTGCACAAATTCTTAAAGGTTTGTATTGTGTTTTGATCGATCAACTTTGGTTTGTCCGCCCGTCGATCTCGGAAACTACTACAAAAGCTAGAAACTTCAATTTCGTGTAACATACGAAGAATATGTTCATCATTTAATGTCCATGCATTTGACATAATCTCTATTAAAGGTATACAGATATAAAATATTTCATTTCTTGGAAACATCCAACCTCTTTCCCCCAAATGCGGATAAAATAACTCACGTAGCGCCATTGTATTCATAATTCAGCCTTTAAACTTTCTGTTTTGTTTTGTTTTTGTCATATTTTTAACATGTGTAGGTGAATTTGAATTCGATTCGCCATATTGGGACGAAATAAGCGAGTCGGCCAAGCATTTTATCAAAAATTTAATGTGTGTCACTGTAGAAAAACGCTATACATGCAAACAAGCATTGTCACATCCTTGGTGAGTAAAATAGAATGGATTAAACTAATTGATAATTGGTTACATTAAATAAATTAAATTATTCGTATAGGATATCTGGAAATGAGGCCAGCAGCAAGAACATTCATGGCACTGTATCGGAGCAGCTGAAGAAAAACTTTGCCAAGAGTCGATGGAAGGTGGGTTCAATTATTTTTTGATATATTTGCTTTGTTAATGCTTATCACTATTTTAGCAAGCATATTACGCTGCGACAGTTATCCGACAAATGCAGCGAATGGCGCTTAGTAGCAACAGCAGTGCTTCAGCTTCCACTCTAAATATATCTACTGACAATGGTAACAATGGCAAAATCTGTGTTAAATCTGAGGCAGAAGCTAGCGCGTCCAATCAACCAGCCACGGCGGCAATTTCAGCCTCAAGCACAACATCTTTGAATGAATCAGCACAACCCTTGAGCCCACATAACGACATCAAGAATCACCAAAGAATCTCGCCAAATTGTAGTTTCAGCGGCCAAGCGAACTAAGTTTACGCACACCAAAACTAGCACAGAAATATATGAACGGCATACTGTACTGGCATTATAAAAAAACACCTAGTCCATTAATGCTGAATATATATATGTGCACTCGGACGACGTTATTGCCACTTAATACTATTTGGTTAATGCAAAACGAGACGTACAAATTCTATGTTCGCCACGTCCATCGTACTTAGATAGTTTTAAGCCAATCAAGCTTGAACCTAACGCACATATGTTTGTTTTTTTGTTTTTACAAATTATTTTTATACACAACTTATTGTTAGTATAACTCAATATTGTTATTTAACAAATGTTTCCGGACTACTCTTGTAAATTGGTTTTCTGTAGTTATATGAATCTAAAATTTTTTCAAGATATTCATTAAAATTAAATATTTTGCTTAAACTACTACTATTTTGCGCAGCTTTTTGTACTCTTTTTGTCCTCTAACACACGATTTCTGCTTGTTGTTTTCGAAAATAACCGGGAAGAAGTAAGACCGCTGCGATAACTTGTACTTGTTGTATGGAACTGTCCTCGGGCTCATTTTTAAAGAACTTTTTTCTGTACAAATTAATTTGAGGCGTTTTTCGCATAAACCAAACCTATTTGCATCTTAATGAAAATTTTGCTCTCACTTTTCATTTATTTATACACATTTTTATAACATTTTTATTATATAAATATTTATTTCAATTTTTGCTTATTTCAAAAGGAAATAAAAATGTTCGAAATAAAGTTTGAATATACGCTTTAAGGGATTCATAAATAATACACGAATTCAAACTTATTCCTGGTGATCATTTGTGGACTTTATGAATTAGAAACTCATTTCTTTTTGGTTCGCTTTTTCTTCTTATCAGATCCATTTACCTTTTTTTTGGTTATGCAAACGCGGCAAAACCAATCCTCATTGTCATTTGGAGCAACAAGTATACCCACACAAGTCCTAAAAACCATAATAAAGCCATTATTATCATTAAGATCAAAACAATATTTGGGCAAAAAAAAAAACTTACCAATGGTACCATGCATCGCAGCCATCGCATCCAATCATTGCAGAGCCGTCATCAACTTTTCCACATGCGGGGCAAATCCAAATGCGATAGCCGTCGGCATCAACATATGATGAGGGTCGGTTTAATTCCGAATTTGGAGGCAATGTCTGAGATCCTTCAGATGGTTTTGGTGAAACAGATGCCACAACACTGGGAACAGTCGTGGACAAGGAGGAAGAAGACGATGACATTTTTGGGATCTGCTTTGATGGATGCAGTAACTGTTGTGGCAATAAAACAGAACTAGCTGATATTGTGGATGTAGAAGGATTCGACATCCAGCTGGGTGAAGTTGCACTTAAGATTGGGGCCTGTGTATTCGGCATCGACATCATGGCTGGAATTGTCTGTGGCTTACTAGTATTGGGCACAGAAACAGAAGCCGATGTCGCCATAGATAAGTTCAAGGTTTGTGATTCGCCTAAAACAAGATCACCATTAATTAAACATCATATGCATTTATGAGATGAGAGAATTTGATTGCCTACATTGCTTGGGCTTTGGGGGTCTAGTGACAAGTGGCGAGAATCGAGCTAATTCTGGAGATGGTTCCCTTTTAGTCCGATTTGGAGTCTGAGGCGTCAAATCAGATATTGTTGATATCTCACGATCGCCCTCAAATAACGATTGAGTGGGCGTGCCACTAAGTTTAAGTGTCAGTTTCGGCACCTGGTTAGGTGAGAGATCTAACTTGGGTGACACCAAATGATGTATCACTGGTGTTTGGGACACTGCTGCTGCTGGCAAAGAGTCTCCAGGTGGGACGCCGACGGAGCCTAAAGCCATGGATTTTGTTTGATGAACACCGCTTTCCAGATTTTCTTTGGGAATCTGTAATTCGTCTGGCGGCACCTGCAATTGAATATTGAAATCAGATTAAATCATCAAACATGACCGTACAAACTTGTTTAATTTTATTTAAATATTTCTGCTGGAGGCAAGGTGATTATTTATTGTTTTTACCAATATTTTTCTCGAATTTTTTTAAATTACCAGCCAATTGCCCTAAAACTCATTTCGAAAGCTCAGCTTTGAGAAAATTCATTCCATCTTGATGGAAATAGAGGTCAAAGATTTAATGGGTTAAGTTTTAGGTTCAAATTCAATTCCAAGAATCTTTATGAAAAATCATTCTCAGAATTGAAGCTTCCTAGATGGAAAATGCGATTAAAAGAAGTTCTACATACAAAAACTGAATACGTTTTTTTTTTTTTTTTAGCGATTTTGGAAATTCCACCCGTAATAGTGAAATATTTTCACATTTTCATTAACCATGGAGTCGGCATCAAATCATTATTTTTAAAGATAATCGTGAAAATTTTTGGATGGAAAATGCGGGTTAATGGTTTAATGATCGACAGTTTATTTTTCGGAGTTAAGATTCTCACCACAAGACTAAAATGGGATAAACAGTTGATTCTAATCTTTTCTTTAGTTGAAGGACTTAGAACGGGTAGACTTAAATTTTTCACATTTGGGAATTGGTTGAAAAAGTTAGATCGAAAATTGTAAGCACAAAACTTGCCACAGGCAAGCAAGGCCAGGAATACTCGGTTAACAAGATTTTTTAATAATTACCTGTTTTTCCTTTTTTTTATCCCTTTTTTGCTTCTTGTCTTGACTTTTCGGTTTTTCGACATTTAGCGTAGTATTCCTCTCGTCGCATTTTTCTTTATTTCTTACTTTGTCTTTTTTATCCTTCTTCTTTTTGATTTTGCCTTCTTTCGGCTTTTTAAGTTTCTTGTGCATTTTACGGATTTTCAGTTCACTTATGGACAAACTATTGGTTGGGGTTATTGTGACATCGTCATAATTCAGAGAGCCAACAAAGTGCTGATCCGGAGCATCAGAAGTCGCATGAATCGGCACCGATCCGGATGTTGCACCGGCCGCTAGACTTGTAGCTGGTACGGTTAATGAGGAGTACGCCATGCCACTATCGACGCGGGACAATGGTATAAGATCGGCGCCGCCGGCTAGGCTAAATTTATCATTGCCCATGAAATTTATGTTAAATGGCGATGGAATGGCGGCCGATAAATTGCTATCGGGTTGGGTAACTTTCAACGATGCTGGCTTGGCTTGTTTATTGAACTGTATACCGTCAGGTATTGGTGAATGCAAGGCGGATGCGTTCATGGCATATAGATGCGAGCTTTCAATCTGTTGCAGTGGTCCAGAATTTAATAGATTCGATGGTTGAATTAAGCTTGATTTGAGTGCATGCGTTTGTGGGAAGCCGGAAATTGGTTGACCTTTGATTGCCGCCTTGGATTCGTCATCGTTGGAATCATCTGATACCTCAATGGGGTCCCCAACGTTGCCTGTCGCAGCCGGTGTAGGCTTGATTGCTTTAATAGATCTAGCTATTTGGTTAGTCTGGGCTTCATCCATTATGCCCAATAGTCCAACTCCCTTGGCGACAGGCATTACATTCGAAATGGGCGAACTGTGACTAATGTCTTTGTCGCTGTATTCATTGCTTAGCTTTGCATCGGGCGCAAAACTATGTGGCGAACGAAGTTTATTGGCTGCGATTTGCTGCTGATTTGGCAATTTCATCGAATCGGGCACCAGAGGAGCCACATTACAATAGCTTCGCTCCAAATGGATATCCGAAAGCGGCAACAGTCCCAAAAGTGCCGCTTTATTATCTACAAAATTAAATATATGAATCATTATGACACTCGAAAATATTGGAAAGAGATAATTTGTTCTTCTTACCAGGCGTCTCCATAAGCGAGGGCCTGGACCGATTTGGAAATGGCATAAATGGGTTTGGCATCATCATGTTTGTAGAGCCCGTACTACAAGCAGCTGTTTTATTGAAACCGGTTAGGTTTGGTGCAAAGAGACCAGGCCCAGATGGTATTAGGCCGGGACGTGGCGGAAAATGCAGTAGCGGCAGTATTGGCATCATATTCGCTGGACTATTTGGATGCAATATTGTTGAATTTGGGTTGAAACTTGACGGTCCAGCGCTGGCCACAAGCCTATTACTACCAATTAACGGCGGTGATGCGTCGATAGCTCGGTTTTTAGTTCCTCCAGGAAACTTATCTGTTGGGATTTGTATGTTGCTGTCACCGATTTCTAGCTTTGCTTGAAACGGGGCATTTTTCGATATCTGCTTCTCTGTATCCATTAAACAGAGCTTTTTGTTGTCCACAATATTATTGGTGTCAATGCGTTCCAAATTAATATATTTTGCTTTACTCTTTTTTCTATCTTTTTTCTCTTTAGTCTTCTGAAATTTCAGGTTTGTAGCGCTCGTTTCACTGAATGCGCTATTAGCCGTTGATTCGGCTGCATTTCCAACGCTGACATCACCGAGAAAGCCCAAAAAATTGTTGCTCCTCAATTGATCGACGTGGCTCAAATTTAGTGGCTCCATCGGTAAGGGTAAAGAAGTTGCTGAATTGTCAATTATAGACGCGTCCGCTGCATTATATGTATTTAATTTAGCGGACTTTGTTTTCTTTGGCGATTGAATGGGTATTGTTGGTGCGAGGCTAGTTAGCGGTGCGATAGTCCTGAATTGATTTTTGCCACCTGGCTTACGACCGCGTTTTCTCGGCTTATTCATACCAATGGCCATTAGATTGGCAGCCGTTGGAGACACAGTTGATAAGTGTCCATGAGGCTGCATAAAATCGTATGTGGCCATGCTACTATTACTCACGGACATGCCCAGACTGTGCAGACTGGGCATATTTACATTTTCAGTGGCGCCAGCCGGCGGAGCTGGCGTTATGGTTGTTCCGGATGGGAGTGTTATCAATGGCGATACATTGTTACTGGGACTTTCGAAGAGATTTGTGCCAACAATTAGTGTGTTTGGCGATACTGGTTTGGGCGCCTTTTGTTTTGATATTTTTTTAAAAATATTTAATTTGTTTCGGTCCGGTTCGCTCGCAAGTTTAATTTCCTCGGTCAGCGAAGCATCCGCAATGGTGCTCGCTATTTCTTTGGAGGTTTCAGCCAAATTGGTTTGAAATATTTCCTTATTTTCGACCAAACCAACAACATTTGCCGCTGCTGTCGTACTGGAGGATACCAATGGGTGTGCGAATGGTACTAAAGATGGCTCAAGATCTGCACTGGATTCGGGAACCAAGGCTATGGGATTGATTGCACTAGCTTTGCCTAGCTTGGGTTGTAATTGCCGCTGTTGCTTTTGGCTCTTTAGGTGCTTCTGACGTTGCTTCGTTTGTTTTCTAATCAATTTTTCTAGCTGCAGCCTCTCAGTTGAGCCGTCCGGCAAAGCCGACAACATGCCGCGATTTAAGTTTTTCATCGATTTTTTGAGTTCGATTATGTTGCCGCCGCCGCCGCCGTCAACTTGATTCTTTGACAACTTCTGATATATTTTTAAAGCTTTTCGCTGGGCCTTCTCCTGTGCCTTTATTGAACTAAGATCTCCTGTTTGATCATTTGGCCGGCCTCCGCTTACCAAATTTCTCTTTTTATTCTTTTTCACTTTAAGGTTTGATAGTGCTGGAACCGATGGAGTACCAGCTTTCAAAGCCGTGTTGACTTCCTGCAAGTTATTTGGTGTAATTGGATCATTAAAAACGGGAACATTTTCTACAGAATGTGGTATGGCCTCTAAAGAGGCCATTCTTTTTATAACTGGAACGTCAACGACATCGTTAGCGGAATATTTTTGGGTTTCCGGAGTTTTAGGCGCTGGTGGCGAAATGGACGGTGCATCCAGTCCTTTGAATTTATCTAAAAATAATTCGATTTAAAAGATTCAAATATTATCAATTATGAATTCACCATTTTTCTGGGCTTACTGAATATTATGCATTTATTTGCCGCGAAATGCAATATGTTTAAAATCGATCGGATAAAAACCAAAAAGGACTCCAAAAAATGATGCAATTCTTAAATGTTGTTATATTACAGGGTAACTCCTAGGTCTGTCACTACCGACTAAAGCACTCGCACTTGTAAAAGTTGCTTACCAATAATATCGGGCACATATGCTTCGGGCAATTTTCCCTCTATTGCTGGCGAAATAAAGCCTCCAGTTGTCATAACTACGCTACTAATTTCTCGTATCGCGTGACCATCGTGATCCAAGTTCTCTCTTGATGTCGACGCGATCGGTGAATCGTATTTTTGTATTCCAGTCGCGCCAAAATCAGTTTTGACATCTTGCAATAGCTTAACCGCAGTTTTATGGCCAAATGTGAGTGCAGCCTCTCGATTTGACTCCAGTTTACATAGTTGGAGATGTTGCTGGTCAGATGCTTTGTCGGGCCATCTTGTGGAGGAGACTGCAGTTGGTTCTGTGGGCAGCATCGGTGGCAAGTACTCGAATATGTGGACTGGTCGCGTCAGAGTCTCCGCACTGCCAGGTTTTAGGAAATTCATATTTGAGCTTCTTTTGACGGGGTACGCTGGCACTTCCCGTACAAATGGGATTGGCTCAACATTTCCAATATAGTCAAGCAATTCGTGTACGTTTATGTTTAAATTCCTTAGGCTGAGAAGTGCATCCTTTAGATTGGGCTCAACGCGGTTTGCTATGACCAATAAATTATTTAGTTTAATATAAAATTGTTAAGTGCAACATCAATAGAACTATTTATCAGCATATGTATGTATTTCGTTAATTACCGTGCTCGGCTTGACTATGTAGATCGCGGGCGAGTTCTTGGATAAATCGTTGTAAAATGTCCTCTAGCAATTCCAAGGGGGCACTCTGAGTCCTGCTATAGCCAATTGTTTGAGCTATTTGAGCTATAACAATACCTAATATCTCCGAAGTATATTTTTCGGCCATCATTGATTTAATTGACGTTTTAAGTGTATATTTATTTTGTCGGTGTGCATGTGTTAGTGATTTTCAAGTGCTGGGTAACACAGCTTGCAAGAAATCGTTTGGCCGCCACAGCATATCGGTTGTCAATCGATATTTATTGGTAATATTTTTACCACTGATTTATTTTTTTGCTTAGCATTTCATTTCCGGCGGCGGAACTTAACTCTATTTTGTATTTTATTAAATAAAATCAATTAAAAGTTGCCGATGACAACGCGCTGGCAGCACGATTGTCGAGTGTCGTACAGCAGCGATACTGCTTAACGATGAATTCCCGAAAGTTATGAACTATCGTCAACGCTTGGAGATGAGCGAATGAGAGCTGCTAACTATCGATGATGAATCATTATTAAAATCGAATTTTCGATTTGGCGGAGGCTATTGTGTATTTAAAATTTATGAAACTGAAATACAAGAAATACTGTATGCATTTGCAATATTTTGTTTTCAATAATTAAATATAAATGTAATTGTAAACGTAACTTCAATATTTTGTAAGTGTAAGCCATTAAATGTAGTTAAATAATTAATTTCTAAAGGGAAGAATAAGGAGGGCATCTTCGACATCATAAAGCATAAATATTCTATAAAGGTTGGGGGCTTAAGATTTGCAAGGGGGAGGAAGATTTAAAACAACGCCCCGATTTTCCAAAATCGACTTATATCCTTTTCTAGCTGCTGGCTTGTTTTAACACAGAAAAATCTATCTTTTTGAATATCTCACCAACGAAATTGAGACAAAGTGTAATATTATTTGAAATACACTTCATTTCTTTTCCAAGAAATACGATCTCCGAATAAATATAACCTCTATTTGATTGTTGTATCTTTAGCTTGTGATCAATAATATGCAAATGATGATACAATTTATTATTTCATGCGTAACAAAATTTTAAGAATTAAACCTTAAACTTTCAGAAGAGGAGAATAAATGTATTTGTCTCTAGCCCATCTGCTTTCTGAGATCCAACGGACCGACAAATAGACAGACGAACATAGTTAGATCTTCTCAGTTCGTCATCTTGATTAAGAATATATACAATAATTGAAGAGGCCCGTGTCCGTGCATCTTGCTGTCTATTACATACATATTTGGGCAATACCCAATATACCCAATTTTATGGCAATGAATCGTTCAAAGTACAATATCTGAATCTCCCAATCATACATATGTGTAAGCGAGTAAGTTAAATTATATATATATATATATATTTCGGTCCATTACCATGCATCGATACTATTGCTTCTTTTTGTTGCTGTTGTTGTTGTTTTTAAAAAGCTTTTGAATTATTCTATGTTATGCCGGTAGCGACGAAGGCGTGCACTATTTTCTATTTTGGGATCGCCCGGTGGAGGCGAAATATCATTCCGTATTGGAGGCTCGACTGTATTTTGATTTCGTGCTTCATTGTGTGAGACTGCTGCTGCTGCTGCCTTACACGATAAGGTTCCAAAGCTAGTATTGTCTTCACAGATTTCCCTGCCAGCATGATCATTGCTGATATCCGTTGATAGATCATCGAAATTGCCCAACATTGTTGTAGGAACCGCACGAGTTCTGTAATTACGCCGGATTATTAACAACAAGCAAGTAGAGCGAGCCTCTGCCACTACAGACTAATTGCTTACCTACTAGAGATCCGAGCTTGTGGTCGTTGAAATCTTAGATTTAATTGTGTGGGATCTGTCACGTACTTTCCTTCTGTAGATTCACGACGGCGACGCAAACCTTAATTGAATGAAATCGAAAGTTGCGTGAGTTTAAGATACAAGCTTATTCGATATAGATATAGAGACATTCACGATTTGTCAGGTTCGAAAACTTATTAACATATATATTAATATATTATGTGATCTGACAAACCTGGTGTTAAATCCATAATATTTGGATAATTTTGTAATGCACTAGAATAATGGTGAGTTCGGGAAGGGTCCACAGCGGTTGTTTGCATCTCGTTTTGTGGAATCTCAAGAATTTGTTGTCCGTGAGAGTCAGATGTTGCTGCTGCTGTTGTGTCAACAACACCACTCCAAGAGGCACATTTCGCTTGACGCAAATTGGAAGTAAGTACAGGAATCTTACTAGGTGTACACGATGATGGCACTTCACATCCACCGTCAGCTATATCGAAGACTCCGCCGCTCGATTCGATTCGGCTACTGACACCCGCGATTCGTGGATTCGAGTCTGAGGGAGCAATCTGGCTCTCACCATTGCCCTTGATAGCTTCATCGCCAAATTGATATCTGCACGGATTGAAATCGTTGGCCGTTTCAAGCACCTCTTGAGTAACAAGTGCATGACAATTAGCAGTTCGATTTGTGAAGGCAGAAATTGTTGCTGCCATTTCATTATCATCACAGTTTACTGACATCTTATCATTTAGGTCCAAAGCATGCATATCACCAGATACTACGTCCTGTTTAGAAACTTTGTAAGCGTTTATTGGTGTTTTAGTAGTGGCTGCTAAGGCATCGTAGTAGACTGAGTCGTCTATGTGCGAATTTTCTATAAAATACAAGATTTCCTTATTATAGTACAAATTAAAGAGTGCTCCATTCCCGACTAGGATATACCCTGAACCCAGCGCCAAGTTGCCGTCGTTACAAACATTCTGCCTCCTTTCGTACACAAAAGCACAGATGCAACCGGTGATAGGTATAGGTATATATATTGTATATATATACAATGTGTATAGGTAGGTATAGGTATATTAAGGAGTTCAAGTCTCTGGCTTTTATAATTTCCGAGATCGACGCGTTCATACAGGCTGGCATGACTAGCTCGACTTCGCTCCTCGTTCTCATCATGAATATGCAATGTGTATACTTTTTGGGGCTCCATCAAGTATATTTAAGCCAAAAGCCAAGTTGATCTAGCCATGTCCGTCCGTCTGTCCATCCGTATATATCCAACGTGTTAATCTCAGAACCTATAAGAGCCAGAGTCCAAGTTTGTTCCCGAACAACACATTATTCCGTTCTCATGAAATCGATACAAATCGATATTTTTGAATCCTGTTTTTGAGCATAGAGCAGCTTATGGCTTATAAAAGCTAGAGACTTAATAATTTATAAATATCAGACAATGAACACCGAAGCGAATCATAAGGCTATTCGGAAGGTTATAAAAGGTCGATAAAAATCGATAGCTGAATCCTTTTTTATAGAGCATAGAGCTTATATATATAATATAAAAGCGAATCACGAAAGCAAGGTTAGACCCCGCAACGATTGGGTTGCAAAAGGTGGCTAGAATATTTGTGAACGCAGTTCGGAGCCTTCTAAAAATATTAAATAATAATAATAAATTTAAAAAAAAATTGCTTAAAATATATGAAAATTGTGTTATGTACCTTTCGGAATGACACGAATTTCAAGTCGCCCGCTAACACAATTGTCGTTATTCTGAATAGCTGCATCGGCCACTCGGTTGGCTCCATGAGGACCCGGCATATCCAGTGGATCTGTGGTAGGCGGTAGGTTGCTCCTCTGGCAAAATGTTGTTTTAACACACCAAGGCACTGCGACGACGGCGCTGTTCGTCCTGTTGATGGCATCCTGCTGTAGCTCAATATGCGTATTTGTGGTTTGATTTGTATTTGGGTCCGGCTTTTCATCAAAAATATCTATCAGGCATACGTTGGGAAGGCTATTGCGATGCTCGCAAGTGGCTTGACTTTTATTTGAATGGATATCAGCAGCAGCAGCAGCAGCATCCTTGAACGATGCAATTGTGGAGAAATTAGTCGACGCCTTTTGATTCGACAATGGCGCGTTTTCCGATAGAGATTCACGAACACAAACGTTTCTCGCTATATCCATGCGATACACCTTGATCGAAGACAGAAAGAATACAAATATTATTGTGATATATCGATTTTGTATAACAATAATATATATTAATATATATATTTATGGTTTGCAATTGTCAATAGGTAGGTAAAGCAGGGAAATATTGTATTCTTAGTTGCAAATGACAAAATCGATAAAAATCGAACCTGTTATTTATCTATTATGCTTAGTCAATAGCAGAATAGAGAGGACTCTTTTTAAAAAAAATGCTTAAAATGCTTATATAAAAAAGATTCGCAGTTGAGTTTGAATGAAAATCAAAAGGAAACATGCAACATGATGATACTTGACAATGGACCAGACCAACAAGTTATCATATCAAATACGCTAAGAAATATGACTAAAAAAGGTGAATCAATTAATTTTCAATATGCTTACAGTGTCATCAAAGGCTGCTTGCTGGACAGCAGGTGGCTCTAGCTCTTTGCGTAATACATTACCCATTGCAGGCTCGGACCAGCAGTGCGGTATGGACATTTGCAACGTCTCATAGTTCTCAATTCCAGCTATGTTAAGTGTGTATCTATTGTGTCATTTGGAAGATTATTATACACGGATTTATATTTATATATATTATATATATTATACTATATGATGACAGCTCACATTAAGTATGGTATGTATGTACAATTTTCGAAAATCGCCTTCAAATCAAAATTATTTCTTAATTACAGAAATTCAAAATCAAATTTTCTCTTATTTTGAGACAAAAAAAATATACATAATATAATAATATATTTTGTATAGAAAATATTTTTTAACTTGGGAATAATTTAAATTTTATTTCATACTTTTTTAAAAGTTAAAAGTTTAAAAGTTCAAGTTAAGAATCTTTACGGTAATTTGTTTTTTTTTTTTTTTTAATTAAATTTTCTCCCATTTTGAGTGTTTTTCGTTTTTTAGAAAATATTTCTTGAACTTGGGAATTATTATTTTATTTGAATTTTATAATACTCGAAAATGTAAGAAACCATATTTTTTTTTTGTTTGGCCTAATTCTTTGGAGCTTAAGTTAAGGAATTTTCAAATTTGTGCCTTTGTGAAAATAACTAAAACATTTTTAATCAAATTTATGTTTAAAACACGTTAAAGGAAGAGTCTAGCTTATTTAACATTTGGTTCTCCTTGGGAAAGCCTCACAATTCTTTAATAATGAAGAGATGAGCTTGCCAAGAATCAGCTCATCGACATATTTTATAATAAATATATATACATTTTAAGGTTGGGAATATCTCCCTTTTTTTTATCTTACCACAACATTCTTAATTGCTTTTACTTTATTCTTCAAAAAATTATTTAATTGCAAGAATCGCAAATTTGGACCTTTTTAATAGAACTCCAATATCGAAAATTGAGTTGAGAAAATACATTTTAAACAAAGATGTTGCAACGCGAATCAATCAATCAAAATACTAGTCGCAGTAGGGTATTTCCGATTCGAGTAGTCTCGACTGGATGTTATATAGGAGATTATCTTTAACAGGACATATAGTCATATATATGTAACATACATACATACAGGAAGGAGAGCAAAGATTTAAACAAAGGTTGTTTCAACTTACCTCTTAACATTTTGATTCTCGGATGGTTTTGCTTTACGAGTTACGGGTAAGTTAGAGGTTCGGCGTATTAACGGCAATGACACGTCCGCTTTAGTAAATTGATCCAAATTTGGTTGTGACTGTGAGGCAAGAGGTTGGAATACTTAACATGTGATCTCTACATATAATGCAACTCGTGAGTGTAAACACAAATATAACAATCGAATATGCTCGACTACCAAATACCCTGTAATCCCCTCAATCAATATATTCTTAAATACAGCCCAATATGAATTCTTATGTACCTACTAATAGATACAAAATCGATTTGTTCGATATTCTGGAACTGTAACGAGATATAACCAATACAAAATTAAAAACTGGCTCTACGTATAGGAAAATATTAGAAATTTCAAGTCCTAGTTCTCGATAATACCGGCGGGATGGGCAGACCCAGTTCGTCGTCTCGATCTGCCTCTTACATATCCTTGTATAAAAAATAATAAACCCTTTTTCATTGGTTTCAAGAAGAAATAACTACCCTTCTTGACATATGGCTGAAGGGTTTCAGAGATGTGAAGATGATTTTAACAGACTTTCCCTTGAAGCTATATGATGATAGTAGAGTCCGATGTTGATAATATCTTGAACAACCTGAAACTTATTAGTTAAACAGTGATGCTTACTTAAGAGCGAATTCTTATCAATATAGAACTATTCTATTATATAAACCCGGTCGTCGCCCATCCCTAGTCGGACAAAACAATTTTATATATATAGGATGGTAATTTTGTAAATTCAAACACATATATACATATGTACAAAAGGAGTTGGAAAACGATATGTACGCAAAATATAATGTGGACATTTTTAAGCATTTAAATTATGAAAGTCCTCCCCTCTGCGATTGAGTACAATGATTTACCTGTGGCTCCTGCTTCCATTCGTTGTCGGTTGTGTCTTCGGAATCGTCAAACTGACTCTTCCATTGGGAAGCCAGCGTAAGGGCTCCGCCGCCCTTCGTTACCTGCTGAAGCGCCGACACATTTTCATCGTCGATTAATGCGAACTGGGTGACCGAATGGTCGCCAGCCGTGCTGCTCTTGGCATGGGTCGTCGTAATGGGTCCGGAGCCAGCGCCGCCGCCGCTGCTGCTGAGCAGGGACGATAGACGCAGATTGGTTGATGTTGCCGAGCGGCGATTGGTTGGCGATATCGTAGTGCTCGTTGTTATTCCAATCAGCATCTGGTCGCGCTGACAGATAACGTTCTTGGGCGTCAGACTACCATTGCTGCAAATAGCATTAATCTCCTGATGCTCCTGATCACTTAATTTGGCCATCTCAATCTGGCTGCCAATTGCCGGAGCGGCAAGCACGCGCAGTCGACCATATGTCGATTTTTGATCGGCAATAGATGATCGCTTGCTGTCGCAGCTCTTCTCTCCGACAGTTTGATGGTGTTTTACAACAGACGCTTCTGGGGATTCCATCATTTTTGTGGTCTTGCTCGTTGGCTGCTGTTCCCCGCCCAGAGATCGGCTGGTTGCGCCCTCGACACAAATGTGTCTGTTATTTTTCTGCTTCAGATCGTTGTCGATGGCATTTTTTGTCACATCGATATTATTGTCCCTGTGACTGTCAACTGTTGCCGTTTTTGTTAAAGCAGTTGGCACAATTTTGCTTTCCGGATACTGTTAAATATATAACTTGTTGGTTAACACATATTAATCAATTATAAATTATACGACTTACATAAACTGGCGCCGAGTTGTTTTGATTTGATGCAGTATATGACCCGGATACGGTCTGAGGCTGACAGCGCTTGCCGTGCGATGTCTTCAACTGCGCATTGTGCGTGCTGCCGGACACTACTTCATGGTTGACAATGCCCACTGTCGACGATTTGATAAGTGCACTGGGCAGATTCGGAATAGCTATCGACGTGTTCGCCACCAGCACAAGTTGCTGCTGCTGCTGTTGCTGCTGTTTTGGTAATGTTGTATTTTGATTGCCTGAATTCACATTTTGCACGGCACAGTCCGCAGTCGCTTGCGGTGTCATTGTTGCATTGCAGTTCTTATCAACCTACAAATAGTTTGAGCTATATTTTAAATCAGTTCCACAATAGACAATAATCGAGTAACAGCATCAAGACTTTGATTATCACCTATCACGCACTATTTGATTTTAAATACTGTCCTTCATTCAAAGTAAAAATAATGATTTTTTTGAAGTTAGCAAAAGGTATCCAAAATAAGAGAACCTGCATCCTAAATTTGTGGCTGTCTGTCTGCGAGTCTGTCTCTCAGCGTGTCTGTCTGCCTGTAATCCTGTCAGCCTATCTGTCCGTCTGTCTCTCTGTCTGTCTATAAGTCTGCCTGTCTGTCCGCCTGTCTTCCTATCTGTCTGCTTGTCACCCTGTCAGCCTATCTGTCCGTCTGTCTCTTTCTGTCTGTCTGCCTATGTGTCTGTCTGTGAGTCTGTAAGTCTTCTAAATTTGAAGTACCTAAGTATTTATAAGCTCTGAAATCGATAGACATGTCAAGACAAGTGGCAGATACAGAAAAATGTTGGATTAACGATCCCCCCTTTAATTTCATATTATTTGCTATTCTCATTTGTGGTCAAACGAACCTCTACAAGAGGCTGCTCCTACTTAATACATAAATTAGCAATGCTTATACTATTTTCTTAATTTACAAGGGGAGATATTTAAAAAGTTTGTCGTTTTTACTGTTCACCTTTTCCTTTATATGAAGAGGTTCCGTTGACGCCATCTGAGCAGTATCAATATCGTTTCGCTTCCGTACCTAAATCAATGTTAAATGACAACAAAAAGTTTTTTTTTGCGGGTAAGATAATTATAATGATAAAGAACTTACATATTCTGTGCCGCTGGCATTGGAAGCCGCCACCGTCATTTGGGTAACATTGCCGTGCATATATTCGTTTTTAGCCGGAGTTGGGGTTGCGTTTGTCGATGCATTTATGGTTCCAACTGTGGCAGTGTCCACCTTCTCCCAGTCGTACGGATCGGCCTCTTTAACGCCGCGGCGTTTCATACAGCGCTCGAATAGGCCAATTAACATCTTTTGATATAAACAGTAAAAATATGAGGTTATCTAAAAAGTTAAGATTCGAGAAACTTTACCGCATAATCTGGCCGGTCGGCGTACGTGAGTGATTGTATGTGCTCTAAGAATTGTTTCAGGTCCGACGGAAGATGTTTTAATAATATTCTATGGTCATATTTTTCCTTTGTCAATCCAACTTGTTCCTTGTCTTTTATCTTTCGCCAAGGCAACTGGCCATTCACGAATTCAACTAGCATATAAAATAGAGACCACAGATCGTCATGTCGCCCCATTTCACGATTGCGATGTGCATTAATTGAGGCGTAACGCACAGTGCCTCGAAATCCAGCCGCTGCTCGGGGACACCGCACCTCTCCTGTTCCAGTTGTATATTGGCGCGCCAAGCCAAAGTCGAGCATGTAAACGCGCCGGCAATTATATGGCAAGCGTCCCACAGAAAAGTTGCTCTGTAATCAAAAATATATAATATAACGAATATTTGCCGAGGTCTCTCTTCTTCTTCTCTTCTAATATTGCTCAAAAGTCCTTTTACGAAAAACAAACGGCAGAGACTCGATAACATCTGTGCGCTGTAAGAAGCTTCTATATATCGATTTGTCGATATTCACCAACACTGATTTTACCGATTACAGCTCGATGATTTTATTTCCGATAAACATCGATAAGCAGCGCAAATAATCGTAAAGAAATTGCCAGTGCCACAAAAATGTAACTTTTAAGCAGCGATACTTAAGTTATTTTTGCAAATTTCTATATTCAAAGTGTAATTATTTGTGTGTTTTGTATTTAAATGTTTGCATTAAATACGCCCATGTGCTCTGTTAGCTGCTGCGAACGGTTAACCAAGTTGCTCAACATGCAGGAGGAGCTTGTACAGAAGGTAATTTGGCGCGCATTTCGGGTAACTATTGAGTACCCAAACAAATCCATAATTAAGATTTTAGGTTAGTGGCTTACCGGTTTTATGTCGCGGTGAAGGAAGCCAACCGAATGTATAGACTCAATTGCTTTTAGAATTTGCAAACCCAGCCTGAGTGTTGTACTGAGGGAAAACGCGCCCCGTGGCTGGGCTCGTCTCAGCTCGGCCAAGTTCTTTCCCTGCAGTTGCATGACCACGTAGTTGAAGCGATCGTTGCGGCCGCATCCAATGAAGCGGCAAACGTGTTCCTTTCCTTGCAGCTTCTTCAGCACGGCCACTTCCATTTTTAGCACCTGTTTCGGTTGGCGGGCGGACTCGACCTTGAGTGCCACCTGCTCACGTGTGATTAGGTCTTGGCCCTCGTAAATTTCACCAAAACCGCCACCGCCAATTTTTCTCACAACCTGAAATGAATCATAAAATAATTATATGTATATAAAACATTTTTTGTTTTGACCCTATGTAAAACTTATTGCACATGTAACTCGCTAGAGAAAACTTGGGAACCTCAGGAAAAGGTATCACACCCTATATAAAGGCGTAATGGAAAAGTTTGGAGCGTTATTTTCTGTTCAAACTTATTTTTAAACCTTTGAGAACATTTAATTGATACGTGTTTGCAACTTTTCAGATAATCTACACCGCTCTTCGATAAAAAGACAGAAGTTTATTTTTGATAGGGTTGAACTTTCATATCTGCCATTGAAATGCCAAGGGATTCAAACATTGACCAAGACGAGATGCAACAGCATTTGCAGCCAAATAACCAGGTGGTATTAGATCGGAAGAGAACGGGAGTTTGGAAGATTATCGGAACGGTAAAGCTTGGTCACAAAATGGGGAAAGATCCTTGAGACACACCGCAAATCATTGGACAAAGGTCGTTCTGCCTTAACCTGCTTTTAATATAGAAAAGCTGAATATCGAGCGAAAATCTGTTGTGTGTCCAAGCCAAACGTAATGCTGCGTCCATTTGGTAAGCCCAATCCATTTTGTTTTATATTTGAAGCTCAATTCATGCTCATTAAAGAGAGAGAGAGAGAAAATCATCCTCAAAGCTTGGCAACTGTCAAAATTGATCAATACCCCTTAAAAAGTTATGCCTAACAGATGGAACTAAGAGAAGAGCCATGTTGTAGATCGTTTTATTAATTGCCACTATTATTTTTAGAATGTTAAATCAAAACAAGTAAGAGGTTCTAGTCGGGAGCTCCCGACTATGGGATACCCTGAACCATCTTCGTTCAACAGGCAATTGGTATAAAATGAAAGATACTTGATATATATATACTATTCTAGAAGCTACATGTCAAGTTTCGTGATTTCAGCTCTTATTATTTACCAAAATTGCTCAAAAAACAGGATTTCGATATCGATTTTTATCGATTACTTGGAAACGGGGCAAGTTATCGAATATTGGAAACAAACTCGATCTGCGCGGGGACTAGGAGGACCTACATCCAAAATTTCAAGTCTCTAGCTCTTAAAGGTTCTGAGATCCTTGCGTTCATAAATACGAACGGACAGACGGACGGACGGACAGACGGACATGGCTAGATCGACTCGGCTATTGATGCTGATCAAGAATATATATACTTTATGGGGTCGTAGATGCTTCCTTCTGCCTGTTACATACATTTGCACAAATACAATATACCCTGGTTACCCCATTTTCAATGGGTACAGGGTATCTGAATGAACTAGTTCAAGCTGTAGCCTACCTTCCAGCGCTCCTTGACGACATGTCCCGGCTGCAATAGGTCCTCGGACGTCATTTTGGTCGTCTCCTTTGGCGCTGCTTGGTTACCACCAGCACCACTTGCGACAATGCTGCTCTTTTCTATTACGGCCGACGGGGTTTGGGCGGCCGTTGATGGCACCTTGAAGGTCACACGACTGCGTACTCCTAGACGATTATGTTTCGCTGGCAATGTTGCAGATCGCTGCAATGCATTTGGATAATGAAATCTTCGATCTTCGGAGTTATCAGCAACAGCAACTAGGCCTTGATTCGCACCAGTGCGAATGTTTTGCAGAAAGTTTGCCTGCGGCGAGCCAGGCTCTATTGTTGGCGGCGGCTTTGACGGCGGGGGCGGGGGCTGCAATCGCACTAGGTTCTGCTCTATATATTTGGGGCTACCATCAATGTGCGGTCTCTGCTGATGCTGGTCTTGGTGCTGGTCTTGGCGCTGGTGCTGCCGATTGTCTTTGGCGTGGGCTTTCTGGTTTTTGTGTGGCTGGGCGACATTTTCGTCATTTCTGAAACGAGTTCAAAATGTCAACTAAATAACTTAAATAATTTTTGTCGTTAGCGTCCTCAAATCAGACTGTTAATTTCTATTCTATGTTCGAATTTGCATTGCTTTGCATTTTCGTTCTCATTGTTGTGTTTATTTGCCAGAATAATTCATTGCTAATTAATACAGATGCATTACAACAATGACATTTATTGGTCAGCCCTCAAATGAGACCGTTAATTTCTATCTTATGTTCGAATTTGCATTGCTTTGCGTTTTCGTTCTCATTGTTGGGTTTATTTTATCAGCTGATTGCCAGAATGATTCATTAGTAATTAATACAGATGCATTACAACAATGACATTTATTGGTCAGTCCTCAAATGAGACTGTTAATTTCTATCTTATGTTCGAATTTGAATTGCTTTGCATTTTCGTTCTCATTGTTGGGTTTATTTTACCAGCTGATTACAAGAATGATTCATTAGTAATTAACACAGATGCATTACAACAATGAGATTTATTGGTAAGCCAGTCTTTTTTACAAGTAAATATATGATTTTGTATTACCTAAGGGCCAATGGGCTGAATTAAAGTGTGCTTTACTTATGATTAATAATAACAAATCGTATCAAACATAATGTGTGTGCTTGTAATGAATAAGGGGTTATTGTACTGATGAGCATCGACTTGAAATATGCCATTTCATTTTCATACGTATGAATATACATATATATATGTACATACATATATTTGCATAACTTTTCTCTTAGAAAATATTCGTATGGAAAACGAATCAAATGGGGCTTTCGAAATTTACCTTAGTTATTTAATAGAAAGCCATTCTCGTCTGACAACCACATGATTGGCTTTTTGGAAACTTGGAACCACTTTGAAGAACACGTAATGCAAATTTTTTGTGTGCACTATGTTATGTATATATCGACACTTGGACAAAACTCAAGGATACCGAAAACTTATGAGTCCTTTGACACGTAATGAGAATTACACTGAAAACTCATTTAACAACATATGAAAACCATTTTTTTTTAATTATTAAACACGGAGGTTCGCTTGGCATATATATTCAAATCCGAAATAAAAAAATCTCGTATTGATTGTTAAGCTCTCCGTTCCAAGTAAAGCTTTTTCCGCACAAAACAACAGCAAGAACAAGCCCAAGGAAAACGCGAGAGAGAGAGAGAGAGAGAGAGAGAAACGTTGTCAATGACAGTTGCCAATGGTTACGACAATTTTTACCATCGGGGCACCCTTCCAGCAGCGCGTGCGCCAGGACATCGACCACATCGGGCACATCGAGTGCTATACCAATGAGCTTTCGTTTGACACTTATATACTGTTAATTTATAGTACTGTCATTGAAATGTTAAAGCTAACAGTGCTCTTAACACTATACGATAGTTAAGTGGGGCCCCTCTTTACACATACCCTAAAAATGGAGGTTTGACATTGGAATTGTATTCACTTTTAAATGCGTACAGATCTACATCGTTGAATATTTGAAGGATTTTTACCGATTTCAACAAGTAAATAACATACTTGTTCTTAGAAATTCATTTATAATTAAATTTCCTTTGATTTCCTTTAGCGAATATTCAGTTAACAATGAGTGTGGAAATAAACTTGAGTACGTCAGCTGTTTTATCAAAACAATTATATTTATGAATGACGAGTTTTTCTAAACATACTTTATATATCATATAAAAGGGTTTACAAATATGTTTTTTCTATAATTTTTTATTTTAGCATAATAGTTTTACATTATACCGTATGTAACACAAGCAGAAAGAAGCATCTCCGACCCTATAAAGTATAAATATAATTTTGATCAGCATCAATACCCGAGTCGATCTAGTATGTTAAAGCGACGATCTTAGATTCTATAGATCCTAGCTGCTCCTAGTGCCCACGCAACACGAGTTTGTTTCCGATATCGATAAATTGCCCCGTTTCCAAACAATCGATAAGAATCGATATCGAAATGCTGCTTTTCGAGAAAATCTCTTATGTTTTAAGAGCCAGAGTCACCAAACTTGACATGTAGCTCTCCAGAATAGTATTCACAGATCAAATATCTTTCATTTTATAGCTATCTAATTTATATATCGAGTGGAGGGAGTCGCAAATCGTACGGTTTTTCACGATTTCAAACCCTATTTGGGGGAAATTTTTACCTCTTACTTATTTTCGACTGGTTTCCCACGCCCATTTCTACCCAGAACCCATTGAAAATTTGGTTAGATGTGTAAAAGGTATTTGGAAAACTGGAAAACAACGCGTTTTTACTTACTTGTGAGTCTCCTGTAAATGCATGTGTTATCGTTGGGTTCTTCAGTTCAGTTCAATTCAGTTATAATCCTAAAGCTCAACTTCTCTTATTCATCTGATTTATTGCAAATTTGTGCAACGCATCAGATACACTAAATGAAGATCGCGGACATATAAAAACAAAAAAAACAATTAAAATTTGTGTTGAGAAATAAATTGTTGATTGAATTGATTTTCGATTTTGCTTATCATGGCTAACTTTTAATAATTTTAATCATTTCAATATTGAATGTAAAATGTGCACATCGGTTGAATTCACATTAGTATGTTATGTATGTTTGATTGGCATTCATTATCAAGGAATGATAAATTTGGAAATTGTTTTTATTATGATTATGATTATGATTACGGTCAGTTTGTCATTTAAGCTTTTTGTTGTTGTTGTTTTTCACGCTTTTCTCTGTATATTTGTTTATTTAATGTGGGAACCATCACTTTTATTTGCATTAACTAGGAAGCTTGTGTGTATGAAATATTCTATTTTTATAAATATATATTTTGGTCGTTTTAATTATAGAGAAACTTGACGAAAACTTTGACCGAAAATGACTAAACGATATGAAACACGTTTCCACAAATTCATTTCGAACCGAAAACTTTCAAAATATGCAATACTAATTGCTCAATCTACTATTCATTTTAGTGCATTGTATATTTCATAAAAAAGAAAAACGTATGCAAGTCTTTTTGTATTATAAAGGTATCTATTTATACCAAATGTCTGTTCTCTTTATAAGTATATATACGAGTCCGATTTGATTTTAACAACAAATACACAAAAACAGAAAAACACAAAAAAACGGGAGCGAGCAGGCGATTGACTCAGTTCTTAGCACTTTTCACAGAGCTTTTCCACGTACATACGAGATTGTTCACTGAAAACTTTATACTGACACGTTTTCGATCGTCTCTGAAAGAACTGAAAGAATCTTTTATGTCCACTCATACATACGTATTTGACGTATTCGGCTACGTACATAACGGATATGTATAGGTATATCTAAAAAACTGATACATACGATTTCGTATAAGAATCTAACTCATACATAAAATAATAAATATAAATGATCAACAATTTTTTAAGTTAAATATTGAATAATATTTATATATTGTTTAACCTGATGAAGCGCAAGAAAGCTTTCGAAAGCTATTTAATGTCGAGAAGCTTAGCGAATACTAAAATATTGAAGTATAAGGAGTATTAATGGGCGATCTCTACTGACGATCGTATAAAGAAAAGATCTATAAACAAACAGGAGTATACTATATATGACCAGAAATATATTTAGGTAGATGTGTAAATTCTTAAATCTGTGCTTGAACAACTTTATGATATAGAAAGAAAACGTTTTAATCTTAAATTGACTTAAATTTCACAATATAAACAAGATTTTTGTTTACCATCCGATCGGCTTCGATCTCATTTCCAAAGAACTTTGTGCAAATGTACTTGATTCGTGGAAATTGGGGTCGAAGATCTGCTGAGCGGTGATTTTTCGGCATGTTCCCCCCATTTTATATAATCCACATATCCTTAAGCTTCTTTGTTATCCAAAAACGAAAAAGTACTCTAATCAGGAGTATCCGACTAGTGGATGCCCTGAACCTTCTTCGATGAATTCCAATTAAAAGCTGAAACTTTATAATTGTTTTTACCAATTAATAGACGATAGAAATAATAATGAAATTAAATAAATAAATTAAATAAATAACTAACGCTTTAAAACTTTTATTGCTGACCAAAAATATATATAAAATTTTTGGGAACGGAGATGCTTTCTGCTGCCTGTTACATACATTTTCAATAAATTATTATACCCTTTCTACCCTTTATTCATTGGCATTCAGGGTATACTGAAGGTCGCCCCTTAAAGACTGGCTGATATGAGTGCAAACCAAAGCTAGTTGATACGAAACTGATACGACTATCGATGCACAATATATTGGCGCAAAATTCAAATTCAAATTATGCCACAAACTGACAATTTATTGGCATGAATTGTTTTCAATAATATTCCACAGAATCGAATAGAATAAAAGTAATTATATGGTGAAAAAGTATAGTTTCTTACCAATCTGGTAATTTTTAAGTCAAATAATTTATTAAGTCAGACTATTAGATACTCTTTCTGTGTTTCATCATTCTGGATGTGTATTCCGGCCCAGGAAACTAAGATTTTAAAGATTGAACAGCATAAATTATATATTTTATGCTTCGGTTTTTTTATAGTGAAGACAGTTCAAGTATAGGAATGAGAAGTCGAATTCTAGGTTCTTAGATGGCAAAATATTCTCTTTTCCTGGATATTTTCTTCAAACACGGCTTTTTTATCTTCACTTTTTTCACATATTTGGAAAATGGAAGTGTGTGCAAGGGTATTAAATCTTCGGCGTGCCAAAGATATTCTTACTCTCTCGCTGCTTATTTAAATCTCTTTTTCCAGTTTTAACGATAAGGAATATACAAGGAATTTAGCGCTAGAGAATTAGGGAAACGTGACTTCTGCATGAAATATCAAATAGAAAAAAAGGGTTAAAAGTTCGAATTCCAGTCGGAAAAAGGTTCGTCGATAATATTGATTGCGTATCAACTGAATGAAGGGGTTAGAAAAGACACGCGACCATTGCCAACTCTAGCGCAACTACAGATTATGTGCAACAAAATCAATTTGGAAATAAAAAATGTATCCAGCAGCAGTTGTCACCCTTGATAGTATACAAAACAGAACACAAAAAAAGAGTGGCCCAGCTCGACTAGAGAATACCTTGTATCCAGCCCGGTTTACCCTAACGTACACTTACACTGACTTTCGACCATCCATACACACATACACACACATACATACATACGCAGTGTTGTTTTCTCGTGTGTCTGTTTTACCACTTGATCCGAAAGTTTGAGCATTAATATGGTATTATACAAATATACTAAATCCCAGGTATTTTTTTTATAAATATCTGTACCCCCACTTACCCCCCGCATCGATCACGATGGGACAGTGCACACGCATACGCCTGCTCGGCCCCAATTTAAGCAAGTTTGAGGTCAATAAATACACGAGAAGTTTAAGGCGGCAGCTGCTGCACATAAAACGTAATTGGAACCAAATTAAACTGACCACAATTTTTGTTTATCATATGTGAACACTCCAACTAAACTCTAAATTTTGAGATTTAAAGCTCTAATTTGCATGGTCACACTTGTAAATTGGCGCTAAATAAGTAGCAAAGAATTAACATACATAAATAGGTGCGTTTATAGTGTTCGGTGCATTTATAGGCGCGTCTTACTTGCAAATAAAAGTCTTTTAATATTTATTAAGTGTAAACACCTCAGAAATGCGCTCAAATTGTATTTGCAAGCATTTAACGCTCAAAGCAAATGGACATTTACATTAAATTATTTGCAAGCATTGCGAAAGTTGCCACTCTATTCGAACGGTTTTGGTGTCTATGACTATCCGGCAGCTCTACCGCCCAAAAATTTGTTAATAAAACAGTGTAATTATATATGTATGCAAACCGCTCATAATTAAGCTAAAGAAAGTGTTTAACAGAATATGGCAAATAATCGGTGCAGCTGAAGTACGAAAGTGATAAAAGATCTTCTCCCCACAATAAAAGCAAATATACATATGTATGTATGTGTGTAGAATGGATGCTTCAGAGAAGAATGTTTCGAAGCAACGGTAAATTGCCTGACAGTGGTGAGTTTACGAACTTCGTTTCGTACGTTTGGCCGGGAGGAGAAATGCAATGCAAGAAACAACAACAAAAAGCGCTGTGCCAAAAGTGATTATAAATATAAATGCAGAGGGTATTATAAATATGTCTCCAAGTGTGTAACGCATAGATGGAGTCATCTCTGACCCCACAAAATGTATGTATATGTATATTCTTGATCAGTATCAACCATGTCCGTCTGTCCGACTGTCCGACATACATATATAAAAAGCAAATAAGTTCGCAGATGTTAAATTGAAATAAAAAGCGGATAGCCCGAATAACAGAGTGTACAATATTCGAGTGGTTCCAGCCATGTCCGTCTGTCTTTCCGTAAGTGTGAACGCATCAAAAGCAGAATCAAAAGGAACTGGAGAAATGGTATCGGAAAATAGACTCGTTTCCAAGCAATCGATAAGAATCGATATCGAAATGAAATAAATAAGAATATTCAATGGGATCTACGTTAGAATTTGTATCAAGAAAACACAGAAGTTATTAAAGTTTCGTAAGCCATAGAGCATTGATAAGCTCTTTAATTTCAATAAATTGAATTCGAATTGCAATCTTCAGTTATATTTTTTTCAAAACAATCAAATTCTTTGCAGGGCATGAGTCGATGGCAAGTATTTCGGTTCGCGGTTGAGGGTAGTTGCCTTTTCGACACCGGCAGCGGGAAATAATTGTACTTTTTTTCTTTTTTTTTACCATTTCTTTGAAATAATGTTAGTGCATCGCTTTATCCATAATATAGGCAAGTGAACAGGGTATCCCCCAATCGAGCACTCCCAATTAGATCACTCTCAGCCTGAATATGTCCAAGTTTTTAGAGGTAGATCAAATAATTTGTGGACTCTACGCTCTAATAACGTATCTGGCGATATTATGAAATGCAATATTTGATTTGGATGTGATACATTATTAACATAAAGGAGAGAGGGTAGCAAATAAGTCGTAGCACTTGTGGGTGAAATATAAATATTGTTAAATAAAATAAGTTAAAACCCGAAGAGCTTTTCTCTAAATCTGTGGTAACAATCGGTCGAAAATAAAGTTTGTATATGAACAGATAGAAGATAGGAGATAGATAGTAGATACTTGTTCTGTTTACGCAAAAAGAACACATTTGTATTATTAGATTAGCATGTATTAGACGCCTTTGCTCGCTCTCGCTCGTAGGAAGAGATTTCCGCCCATTTTTCGACCGTGAATTGGGTGGATTGGTTTGGCAAACATATTCATTATTATGATAAGTATGACAAGTACTCAATTGAAAATGTTTAAGAAAAGTTTGTTCTAGATTTGTGGAAATGTTTGTAAGAGATGTATTTACTTTTTCAAGCAAGTTTTCACTTTTTAGCATATTTCCCTAATATCT